AAATGTTTTTAGAACATTTGACAAAAACAATAACTTTTGTCAGACAAAAACAATAACTTTCACTTTGTTAAGAAAGAATGGAATGAAAAGATTGTATGAGAAAAAAAGTTTAGTAGATTGACAAAGTAGATGTTTTGACTTTATTATTGTCGAGAAGTTTTGGCGAGCGGGAGAAATAGACAAAAGAGAAACCCTACAATTGCTCAAATCTGATGCTGCTCCATTTTTGTTTACATTTCATGAAGGAAGAAGTTGTGCTCAATGTCTTTTTCTGAGGTTTTTATGTCGTTCATTTCTTCAGTGGTTCTTGTTGCAGTGCCACCACAGGTGAGGAGATGAACAGTTTTTTCAAAGGGTTTGGATCATTTGACACAGCGCGGTAAGAAAGAGAACTGCACCAGGTGAAAATGTAATAAATGTTGTGATTTTGGTCCCGAATCAAACCGCGCCTACCAGGCGTGAAAACACTCTTAGACTCCAGTTCGAGTAAAGATGGTCCAATCGTGTTTGAACAAATTGAAATTTTTTTACTCCGCCTGGTTCAACGCACTATAGTGGACGCGTTGGCTTGATATCAATGGAATCAAGGGTATTCCATTAATAATGGTTATGTGGTACCAGCCCCTTTCTTTAGTTCCTACTTTGTTTCTTTCCAAACCAGTGGCATCGGACTGAAACCAACGTCTGAAAACTGTCGGTCACTGATTGGCTAAGTGGTGGATCCACTAGTTGCATCAAAGGAATGACTCTGTTGACCATTATCAGAAAACACCAAAGCCACAAAGCAACGGCTAGACTATAATGGACAAGAAGAGATAGATGGTTTAAATTGACAGCATTTATAGGCAACAACTGGTGAGCAACGGGAGGGAGAGTTGACTCAACTCAGTCAATTTGTTCCATGATGGATGACGTTGAGTGTTTTGAGACTTTCAGCATCTTCTAGGTAATTCATCACATCATTTGTGAGCTTTCTTAGAAGAATTTTCTGAAAGTAACGCTGTTATCTCCTGCATGAAGATAGTATGATAGCTAACTGCTGTCCATTTCCAGGATTCACAGATGTCTTCCATGTTGTCTGTAACTGCTTAATATGTCCTGGACCTTTATCTGATTTTACTAAGCTTCAGAGAAAGTGATTCATGGAACATCATGTATGTTTATGGATTTATAGGCAGAAATGCATCAGCAAATGAAAATTTTGATAACTGACTGATTGACTGGTGCATCACTACCAAAAACCCTGGAATTGAAAGATGAACTTTCCTTTTCCGTTTCTACATACCCTTTAAGTGTCACTTCCCAAAGCACTTACATGTTATCCAGTGGGTGCAAGTGGTTTCAAACAACTAGCACGCAAAGTAGCATCTTCAGATGTTTATGCTGTTATAAAGTCCAAAAATAAGAACACAAAAGTTTACAATAAAAAAAACTCCCTCTAAGAGTTGGAACAGTGTTATTTTTTGGTGTATGTACTTACTTAACAACATAGTTGCAAATTTCTGACCTTTGACTCATTCAGCCATTGAAATGCTCAAAAGTTTAAGAGATGAATCAGCTGCGACTTTCAGAAATGAGCTATTTTTAACTGGCTCTTCAGACAGCCGCTCATAAAGACACAGTTTGTTCTATCATAGTTTAATCCATGATAATTACCAAAAATAAAACAAAAAATAGAATTTTAGCACAAACATGTTGGTTCCCAAAGAAATAACAGCTGAAGCAGATGTTTAGGTCCTATATGAGGACTTTGCTGGATTTTCCTTTCCATTTTTAAAGAAATTACTTTCAGATATGATTTAAATATTTTCACTTGGGCCCATTTTTCTGTTTATTTCGGAAAAGATTGAACAATCTGTTGTTATGGTCAGGGCTTTGATTGAAAATTAGCAAAAAAAACAGGTAAAACCCCAAGAAAAACTTGAAAATACCATCAACAAGTCTGTTGACAAAAATATGAAGAAATGAAGAATGACGGAAACCTTTTGCAAAAGGCATACAGATATTAAAAACACATAGGCAAAATTGAAAATACCAGTCTAACGGTTTTGTTGTTTATAAAGGAAACAACTCCCCCCAAAAAAGACTGAATCATTCATTGAAGTTGTTAATTCTTCACTCAAATCTAGACCAGATGAAGTGAACCGTCTGCCTTAGTGAGTACGCACTCAGAGAAAATGTGTCAGCTGACTAAAGGCTTTGGCTGACTTTAAAGAGTCAGGAAGCAGCAATAACAGCAGATCTAACTTGTAAATCTAATAAAAATGCCAAAAGTGTCCTGGTTTGTTTCCAATCAATGCGACGCAGCAGATATATGTGCAGCACGGTGGCCAAACCCACAGTTAACTTGCGAGGATGTACAGGGATTCTGCTGAGCCCTGTGGAAAGAAGAGTGCGAGTGCATCTTGTGCAGAGTGTTGCACAAAACCTAGAAACCTAGAGAATGGCTTCTCTACCATCAAAGACACAGCAGGCCGTGCAAAAGCACAATGAGGTTACGGTAAAGTAACACGTTGGCTTTGCAGGAATGTTTGATTACCTTTTAAATCGGATTGTTTTCCAGGCACACAGTGCCTTGCCAAAGAATTCAACCACAAACTTCAATGTATTTTATTGGAATATATACACAATAGACCAACCTAAAGCTATTTAGAACTAAAATGAAGGACAAAGGATACATGGCTTTTATAGTTTACACACACACAAAAAAAACAACCCTTCTTTGCTTTGTTAACTGTCAATAAAATCCAGTATCTTATTAAATAGAGTCCACCTGAGAGTAATTTAATTTATCAAGTAGATTCTGTTTAATTGGGGAACAAAACTGCAACATTTGTTACATTTTCAAATGTAACAAATGTTACATTTGAAAATGGCTTTCTTTCACAATGCTCTGTGTTAAACTATCCAAACATTTTGAAAAACCTGCTCCCCTCCTCGCCTGTGTTGGTGCTCCACCAAGAACCGCCGACGGAAACAACACAAAAACCTCTGAAGAAGACACGGAGCACAACTTCCTTCTTCACGAAATGTAAACAAAGATGGAGTAGAGTCGGATTTTAGAGGTTTTCCTTTTGTTTTTGGTTAAGAAAAAAAAAGTCACAAGCCATTCCTCCTACTAGGGTTAAAATTTGTTATAGTGGTACTTACCACTATAACAAAATGCCCTGCACTGTTGTCTACTTCCTGCTTTTGGAGCGGCCTCTGGTCCACTTGCTGTTCACATCTGCATTCAAACCGAAGCAGAGTTAAATTAAACCAAACCAAGACCAAGGTTTGTAGGATGACCAGAGTTCACTTTTTTGGTTGGCAGCTAAGTTCATTTAAGCATTCACAGCTTCACAAACGAACCAGACTTTCTGGGCAAATGTATTACAGTTTGATTAAAGCGGACTCAACATGGCTGGTGTGAATGAACCCTTAGGCATCATCAAACAGTATCGAAGACCCAAGAAGACAATATCACAGGCTTGGAAATACTAGTAGAGCTCTGGAAATCATCCGAAAAGGGAACGATCAAACAATTGCAAAATTAAAACAACATGGTTGTCCTTGAGAGAATCTGCTCTCAGGAGAATAACTGGTTGTCCATTGTACAAATCTGGAAGTCAGTGGTGAAAGAAACCAATATGAAGATGGTCTACTTGTCAGACGAGGCCAAAACTGAGCTTTTTGTACAAGCAAAATTTGTACAAGCAAAACAATGTGTGGCAGAAAACAATCGCCCAGGGCAAAACATAGTGGTGGTGCGATCATGCTGTGGGAATAGTTTTCTTCAACAGGGATAGCAAAGCTTTTCAGAGTTGGGAAGATGAATACAGAGTAATCCTGGATGAAAACCAAAGGCTGCAGAAGACCAGCGAGTAATCCTGGATGAAAACAAAAGGCTGCAGAAGACCAGCGAGTAATCCTGGATGAAAACCAAAGGCTGCAGAAGACCAGCAACTGATGCAGAGATTCACCTTCAATGACCCTAAAAATACAGCTGGAACCATAATGAAATGATTTAAAGTAAAGCATATCAATTAATTAGAATGAATCTAGTCAAAGTCCAAACCAACATTCAACTGAAAATTTGTGGCAAGACTCAGAAATGGTTTGCACAGAGAATGTCATCCATTCTGGCTTAGTTTGCAAGGAAGAAAAATGGACAAAAATGTCAGTTGATAGAAATATGCCCCAAATCACTTCCTGCTGTCAATGCCAAAAATGACCAATTTTTTAAAAATATTCATTTTAAAAAAAAAGTTAAAAGACTGCATAGAACTTTAATCCCAATTAGGCACCATTTTGTGTCTATCACATAAACTTCACATAAAATACACTGAAATGTGTGGTTTTAATATAGCAAAATAAACTAAAGGAATCCTCAAAAAATATTCATTTGTGTATTCCTTGCAAACCATCTTGCAAGGTACCTGATTGCTTTTTTGTTTTTGTTCACTCCCCACACTTTATGATATATTTAAAGTGATTAATTATCTATTTTGGTGTATTTTCTCAAAAGAAATGCATGTAAAACACATAATTAAATTATCTCTCTGAAAAGATCCCATTTTGAAACCACTTGGGCAAATTAATAGTCTCTGGAAAATCCAGGAGATGACAATGAAAAAGTGAAAAGTTCATTCATTCATTCATTTGAACTCGGCCTGCCGTGCCTCCAGTTCTCCAGTAAAACTCAGCCAAGTGGAGATCTGGGAGGTAACCCGGTAATATAAAGGAAAATAATCACACCACCCACGCCTCCGGCTGCTATAACCTCACCGTGACAGACTGAAAGTCCACAGTAAGTGGATGTTCATGAACCAGCAGGGTGTCAGGGATGCAGATAATGACGAAAAAGATGATGTTGTGCTCCCAGTGTAGGCAGCAATAACCTCCTCTTATTATCAGGGAAATTAGCCCCTTAAATCACAGCGCACCGCGCGCGCGTGGCAGGGAATCCGCACCAACGGCTAATCTAACGGTAACGTATAAAGTAGAAAAAGATCACTCACCACTTGGTCTGTCAGCAAATATAAATCCCTGAATGATTTTTTTGTAAATTTCCGTCACCGTGTCACACCGTCTCATGTATCCAACTAACTCTGTTCCCCCCGTTTCTCGCTCCCAATTTGTCGATTCAGACCTGCTCCGCTCTGTCGCCCTCCTGGTTGCTCCTTTTTAACGATAAAACTTGCCGAGCCCAGGCTATTGTTAGCGAAGCCTACTGCAAAGAAAGGTCCGCCTATGGTGACGTGATTCCAAGAACGTCATTGGTCAATCAGAACTCACTCAAGCTTCTGATTGGCTAATACAGATGTTCGTTCTAAAATCGGGGCGGGTCCAAGTTTGCCGGTAAAGATTCAGCGGTGTTACGTTCAAAGTCGATGACGAAATCTCCGAAACTTTAGCTCTACCACAGATTAGAATGGATGGCGTTGCGTTCAGGTGTACATTTTGAATTGAATTGTGTAAAAAAAGAAATCAACTGGTTCTTCTTTCTCTGCAGATAATGAAGAGACTACTCCACACTACTCTACACTACTCCAACGTATCTTTACAAAATGAAAATTAAGAAAAACTATAAAACTTTGTTTGTTTTAGCACTCAACTTGAGAGAAAATATAACTTAACAATTACACAATTAATAAATCATATATTGATTATAATATTGATTGCATTAATTACAACCCGAATGTCTTTTTTCACACCAATAAAATTGGACCTAAATAAAGTAATATTAAAATCTGTTAGAACTTTGACCATGACTGACGCAAATAATGTAGATTAAAGATTGGGACGGTAGCGACATCTGGCGGTAAAAGAGTGCATATCAAGGTAATTAAACTGCTAAACAATGTATTATTTCCCTATTAAGTAACAATATAACTGAAAACACAAATAGTTATTTAACATAGAGGCTGTCAAAAGAAGAAAATATGAATAAAAGAAGAATGCAAATAATTGGACAAAGGAGAACACAGAAGGGGAATGCAAAAAGAAAAAATAAAGAAGAAAATAAGTCAAGGTACAATAGAATAAATAAATAATATTGGATATTATGAAATGAGGAAAACTAATGAAATGCATCAACATAGATGATCTTTCAAATACAGAATATGAAAAAAAATTAAGAAATTAGAAAGTTAAAAAAGAAAAGTAATTTAAAATATTGGATTGGAAATAAAATGGAAAATTAAATAGTAGTGATTATGTTAAATTAATATTGTTGAAAATAACAAATGCACATTAATTTTCATCATAATGTATCAGATAAATTCTCAAAGAATTCATTTTTTATATGTAATATTTGGGATATTGACGTTGATGTGAATGAGAGAGGCAGAAAATTATACTTATTAAAAACAAGTCAACAGCACATTGTCTAATGCATGTCAATTGACATTTGTTTTATTTTATTTTATTTTATTCTGTTTTTATATTTTATTGTCTGTTGAGAAGTTAATAAATAAATATTAATTACTCTATCACATTATGGCATATTAGGGTTATTGTACATAAAAAAGAAGACTAAATTTCTGCCAAAAAATTCGACATTTTCTGAAAAACACTTGGAAATTTCTGAGTTTGAAAATTTGCTATAAAAAACTGAAATTTTTTAGATAAAACATGGAAATTCAAAATTGTAAACTTTTGAAACTTTTCAATTTTTGTTTCCCAAAAATTTCTGAGATTGAGCTAAACTTTTCTGATTTTTTAAGCCAATGTTCAACTTTTCAAACTCTAAATTTTCCCTTTTTCTAGAAAATTTCCTAGATTAACCTAAAAATGTTAGTTTTTTGGCAGAAATTTAATAGTATTTTTTTCCACACTATCAAGCCATTTATTATTTTCTACATTTCTACATCCATTTGTAAATTTTGGCAGGATCCATCCTCCATAGGACCAGTTCCAAATTTGTGCAAAGGCAGGCAGAGGACCCAAAAATTGTAGAGGTAAGAGTTGGACTTCTACTGATTTTTACTCGAGTAAAAGTAAAAGAAATTACTCAAGAGTAAAAAAGTATTAGGTAAAAAGTCAACTCAAGTACTGAGTAACTGATAAAATTATCAATCATTTAATATTCACAACTTACATAATCAAACAAATAAAAATTTAAAGTGAAAAATTTTGGTATTTCAGGGACAAATATTACGGTGATTCATATAAGTAACAAAAAGTTTTAAAAAATCAAGCAAAACATTTCCCAAATCAGTCTTTCTCAATAAAAAAAATAAAAAAACTGAAACTTTAACAAAACTGAAGACATGTGTCAGTCTGGTGAATTATTTGTTAAAACATGTTTGTTTTTAATTCAGTTAAGTTACATTGAGTAGAGTATCTAGAAACTTTACACAAGTAAGAGTATCGCGAAATTAACCTTTCATAATCTTATCATAATCATAACAAAATAAAAGTCAAAAGTAAAGTAAAAATACTTCTAAAAGTAATTTCTCAAGTAGGCTAATTGTAATTGAGTAAATGTAACTAATTACTACACAACTCAGAAAGTTGATCAACTGACTCACAGTGATGAAGCTTGTTAATAACTTGAGGATTAATTTTTAATTTTTAATTTAATTAATGTTTGATTACGATGAAGGAGATTTGACTGGGCAAAGGAGCAGGAGGAAGAGGAAGAGGAGGAGGTAAAGGAGGAGAAGGAAGAGCAGGAGGAGGAGGAGAAGGAAGAGCAGAAGGAGGAGGAAGAGAAGGAGAAGGGGGAGGAGGAGGAGGTAGAAGGGGAAGAGGAGGAGGAGGAGGAGGAGGAGGAGGAGGAGGAGGAGGAGGAGGAGGAGGAGGAGGAGGAGGAGGAGGAGGAGGAGGAGGAGGAGGAGGAGGAGGAGGAGGAGGAGGAGGAAGAGAGGGGCGAACGGGCTCAGTCACTTCCGCACCATGTGAGCAGCACCGGGACTGAGGAATACTTTGTCCCGGATGGACCCCGCATCCTCCGGGATTGAGGAGCGCTAACTCGGTGACCTCCAGCGGGGGACCGAGCGGCTGAGAACCCGCGCCCAGAGACCGGACCCATGGCTGCCGACGTGGCCGTGTCTCTGTCGGTGCTGGCGGTGGTGGTGCTGCTGAGCGACGTGACCCGCAGGCTGCTGGTGCGGGGCCTGGCGAGCACCGGGCTCTCACCGTACGCGGTGGAGCTCGTGTCGACCTTCCAGCTCTGCTGCTGCACGCACGAGCTGAAGCTGCTCTCCGAGTCCGGCGGCATCCCGCCTCAGCTCGCGCTCACCTTGACGTATGTGACGTCAGTGGCTCACGGGCTCACCTTCCGGGGGGCCGTGGGTAACCCCTGCGGAGCGCTCGAGCACGCGTACCGCGCGAGGTTGTCGGGTGGGTGCGCAGTGCGGCGGATCGCGTGCCAGTTTGTCGCGGCGGTGGCGGCGCGCGCGGCCGTGCCGGTGATTTGGGGTTTGGGGATGTCAGGGCTCCACAGCCGCCAAAAGCTGCTGGGGTTCCGGTGTGTCAGCGCGATCCACGCATCTCTCCCGCAGGCCGCTGCCGTGGAGCTGGTGTGCGCCTTCGCTGTTCAGACTGTCATCACGCACACGCAATCTGTGGAGGAGAAATACCGCGTGCACGCGGTTGCTGCTGCCATAACAACAGCGGTTTATGCAGGTGGGTTGGTTTGTTTTTTAATCTGCTGTCATATATGGGGCGCCATTAGTGAAAAATTAACAGCAATAATTTTATTTATTTAAAATGTTGGGGTATTTATTTTTCAAAGTTATATTTTCATCGTATTATTCACACATTTATAAATGTCAGAGTTCCAAACTAAACTAATTCAAAATAGAAAACTTACTAAACTAAATATTTAGCATTCCAATTAAATATTTAGTTCCCAACTAAATGTTTAAGTCTGGGCTAAATATTTAGTTTGGAAAATAGATATTTTATTTGAAAATTAAATGTTTTAGTATGGAAATTTAATGTTTAGTTTGAAGTCTAAATATTTAGATGAAAAGTAAATATTAGTTACCAACTAAATGTTTAAGTAATAAAAAGTATCAGTATGAGTATTAGTATCAGCAATACAAGCCTGGTATTATGGAGGACCAAAACTGACATAATAAAAAATAGAAGCATATTTTTATTATGTCAGTTTTGGTCCTCCATATGTTACTGGCTGTACATTCTGAATAAATTGGTGTATAACTTAATAAATTCTCCTTGTTAAGTGTGTGTTTGTATTTTAGGCGGCGGTGTGACCGGAGCCGTGTTTAACCCGGCGCTGGCCTTTTCCACGCAGTTCCCCTGCAGTGGGAACTCATTCCTGGAGTACTGCTTTGTGTACTGGTTGGGTCCACTTCTGGGTAAGACCAATTGGCAAAACAGTCTGAAACTTCACCAACTAAGGTCACATTTTATAGACTTGTCATTAATTATATGTGTTATGTTTTTGTGCATTTGTGTAATTTCTTTTCAACATATAAGACTCCAAATTATTCTATTTCTTCATCTATTTTTTGACTGGGTTGAACACTGTTAATAATATTTGAAAAAATAAGGTTTAGAGCTGATAATCACACAGCAAACTGTGATTATCAGCTCTGAGTTCAATTTTGCTTTCCAAAAGCAAATAATTTAAGTCAAATGTGAACTTTTTATTAAGTTATTTCTTTATCAGAAATGCATTATATCAGATTAACATAGAAAGAAATTAAAATCACCTTTGTGTCCCTGCCTGCGTACAACCAAAGCGTTGACATAAATCTTATAAGCTGATTAACTACTGGATTCTCAAGTCTCATTTGCATGTTGCACACAGAATCAAAATGACTAAATACATATTACATGTAAGAGATATTTGTCTTTGTATCCAGCCCTTTTTAACCTTTTCTACTTTATTTTTGATCTTCTTTCTTCTTGTTGCCTCAGGTATGATGAGCTCTGTGCTTCTCTTTGATAAACTCACAACTGCATTTTCCCGAAAGTCGTCGCCTCTTCACCTCCCGCTGCGAACCAAGAAGCAGGCATGAGCGAGCGGCAGGGCTGCATGTTTACCCCACAGCACATCAGGCGTAAATATCAACAGTTCACAATATCTAGGTTTCTGCTAAGCTTCTAAATATTTCAATTTGAGAGACTTTTTAATGTAAATTAGACTAGATATGACATTTAAAGCACAACTGAAATACAAAATTCTAGAAGTAAGTCTGTTTACTTTAGAATTCAGTAAAAGTGTTTGATTTTTGGCAAACTTATCAACACTTTCAGATTGATAAACACAATCTGAAAGTGTCGATAAAGTTGGACCCTCTGCAACTCGTTAAACCACATAAATGTAGCCAAAATGTTCAAATCTATTGCAACAATTTCATATTTGCATTTGGATAAAAGAATGTGTAGATAGTATAATACAACATATTAATTCTGTGTAATATTTTAAGCAAATTGTTTTTAAGAGGAAATGTAACCAGTGTTATTCATGTATTAATGTGATATTAAAGCTGTACTGTGACTGAATGACCTTTTACTTTTTGCACAAATGTAACTGGTGCCTTTGGATTCCAGTAAAAAAAGATAATTTAAATACAAGTGTTAAAAAATTTTACTCGGTAAAATGTTTTTTTTGCAGTTCTGGGAAGTGTGTATATTAATGTCAGTATTGATGCAGCTGTTCTGTTAACATCTCAGGCTTGTTAAAGAACATTTCCAGATACTTGAAGGTGCCACATCCATCTGTTTAAAAAAATTAAGTTCAAGTGCTGACATGATGGGAATCTCCAGCCATCTCATCACTCAGGAAGGAGGCGGGTTCTGGTCCAAAATGTGACGTTATCTACAGTGAAACGTGTTCTATATTGATATTGGCTGAAACCTCAAGACAACAAATCAAACTCAGAACAAAAGATACAAAATTACTTTATTGATCATTTCTTACAAAGACATCTAGGGAGGGGGAAAAAATCTAGTAAATTAACTTTTAGGTACAAAACAAAATGTTTTCATAGAGTCAACAGGATTTGTGTATTTTCTCCAACAGTTCATCAGTAGCTCCCTGCATCACAGCAGCTCGATGACCTAACCATAAAAATGCATCAACATGCTGCAAACTGAGCTTCAACACGAGACATGAGATGATGCAAGACGGACCACAAAGAACAGAAAGCTCCTGAAACAGCAAGAGGGTTTGGGCCAGAGCAGAACCAACGGAAATAAGTGCTGCCGTCTTCTTCTCTGATCCCACTGGTGCCTGGTTTGGACACGACTTCATCCTGCAGAGAGAGTCAAACATATGCATGACCAGGCCTGCAGCAGCATTTGTTCTGTTTATATTTTATTGCTGCCATTTGGTTTTCTTGTTCAGAAATGCAAGATCAAATCTTATTGGTGCTAAATTTATAAATTATCATTGAAGGAGCTTTTAGATTCCATCAGTTTGAAGTCATTGCAGGACAGGAAACAATGAAATAGATGAAGGCCTGAAATAAACAAGTAGTCTGACGATTAATCGGTTATTCTGACGATTAATCTGGTAGTTTGATGATTAACTTGATTAAAACATTGGCACATTTTGCTGATTTTTTACCACTTAAGCCTTTTCTAAAGAATATTAGAAACACTTAAGTATGCAAATAGAAACTAATGTAATTTCTTTTTTAAATAGGAAAGTAAATGTGCAACAACATAGTATTCCCTTACTGAATACTAAACATCTACAACTAAAAAAGTACTGTGAACAGCTCCGTTTGACACATCACTACAATGTAGAGCTGATTAGTTATTTTTGGGATTAACTGATTAATAATTGGATGCAAAAAATGATTCATTTGAGTTTTTTTTTTTTTTTACAGAATTTGAACCAAGTAAAGCTAAAGCAATGATGCTACCTGAGGAGTTCTGGGTAGAAAACATTTTCAGACAAAAATGGTTTTCATCCTAGATCCAAAATGTGTGTATTTGTACAGTTTTAGCTAATATCAGCTCTGACTGTGTTGTTCTTCCAGCAAATGGTCTTTCTTCAGTCAATATACTCCAGTTCTCAATTAATCAGTTACTAAATTACTTGATGTTTATTTTAATAATGAATTAATCACAAATTACTTGATAAATCAGCTCTAGAAGAAGCTGATTCGGTTTAAACCCTGATGTTTGTTGGAATCCACAGAAATGTGACTCCATTTTAACTGCAGTTAAAATGTAGTTTGTTGTTTAAACCTTCAAAAGGAATGAACTCTGGAAAACATTCACCATTAAGACAGGATCTTATGCACATATTTATAAAAATCCAATTAAATAAGAAACATTTGTCAAATATGAAAAAAAAAACATTTAAAAATACACATTTATTCTAAATAAATAAAACAAGAATTGTACTTACTAGTGCTCAACATCTGCATCCTCAAACTGCCCGGCCTCCATCGCTGCAGCATCCACCTCCATCCCATCTGCAACAAAACAAATATGTCTCATATTGGCTGGACCTCTATTGAGTTAAATCACTTTAAAAGGAGTGAATAGTTCTGCATTTATTTTTGATTTTTTTACTTTAAAAATAAACTGCTTTCACTTTCATATTATTACTTTTTATTAAAGCCTAATTTCTATTGATTGTGGTTTAATTGTAAAAGCTATAAAAATGCGAAACATCCCTGGAAATTTTTTATAGCCACTGCATTGTGTTTCTTTCTCCAAATACAATAGAAATTTTAAGTTTATTTGAGAAAAATAAACATTTACAAAACATAAATCACAACATGTTGGAAAAGGCGTTTTGTCAAAATGAACTTAAATATTGCATGATTTTATATGTAAAAATCATTTTCAAACTGCCCTTTTTTGAGTCTTGATTTTTTTTAAAAAACCCGTTCTCAATTAAAATGTGGAGGATTTTCAGACAAACCTTTTCTGGAACACAAAACAAACCTGTGCGGAGTTGTCACAATGATAAGAAAAACACTCTATACTGTTTTTGATGCCATGGAAACATTTGTTAAAACCTTCAAACTCGGCTTTTGTTTCTTCGGTTCTGACTCCGGCCATGTGGTACTGCTGGCTGACGGACTGGGCCAGCATCCCCTCCAGCCTCTCCAGCGTGGCCTGGCCCTCCTGCGTGAGCGCCGACAAACCCTCGTCACACGTGTAGAAGGTCGGGATGTCGGCATGGCCGTGCTCTGAGTGCATGGACAAACAGGGGGAATCAATCTGTCCTGAATCAAGAACTGTTTTAGCAGGTTCTGGATTTTTATGAAGCTACGATCAGACATATTGATTTTAATATGTGCATTTGAAATAGTTTTCTTCTGGAATTATTTACTTCAGGACCAGAGACGATGTCACATTGTGTGTTCCAAGTTGGAAATAAATATTTTGTCATTAATCTCAACAAATCAACATGTGATGACTGCTGAAAATTTCAAATCAGCACAAAATTTGCAAATGATGAGTGAAAATGCATTAATGTTTATGGGAGTGGTTAGCACAGAGGCTTAATTTTCACGCTTTGGTCCTTATGTCACACTGACGTGATGAGAGGATATTTCAGGGTTTTATGGGGCTTTACTACAACAGCTAGTATCTCTGCAGGTTTGGACGTTTCTCTGGAACCTTTAAAATGATCTTAAATTGTTATTGCAACATTTAAAAATGTCAACGTTATGTGATAAACTTTGCACATCTTACCTGCCTCTGCAAAAAACCCAGTCCATGAGGAGATGAAAAAAAAAAAGAAATTAAGAAAAGTTAGCGTCATCTATGTAATTCAGGGATAATTAAGATGAGCAACTGAGCAAATCAGCAGTTCCAGAATCACTTTGAAAGAAAAATACAGCAATATTAGAATATTATAGTCAAAAACACTAAATATCAAAACATACTGTTTCAATAAATCTGAGATTTTTGAAGAAAAACGTTAACAATTCCAGTTTGGTGAAAAATACTACATTATTTACAAGTTAAACACACAAATGAAGGAAATTAACTTTTAATTCCTGCTTTAAAGGACCCAGACTTTAGTCGAATATTTTCTTTTATGGCTATTACATTTTTACATTGTTTAAAATGATGGGTCACAACAGTAATATTCACTTTCATTTTTTCAAATTTAGAAATATTAAATAAAAACAGAGGTAACTGGCAAAAATGAATTGAATCCGTGTGGGAATCATGCTGCATCAAAGCAAATTGTACACAATTGTCCCTTGGTCAATTTAATTTCAGCTGCAGAGACACTAACCTCTGAATCAGGAGGCATCAATATGAAAATATGGGCCAATGTAAATATTGCTGTTATTACTGTTAATAGTGACACAATGAACTTTAAATACCTCCAGAAAGGCTGATTGAAAGGGGATGTATCACGCAAAATGTGCGTTTTGTGCGTTTTTATACTTCGTTTGGATCTCTGCTGTTTTCAAAACAACCCAAACGCTTAAAAGAAAAAAACCCCACAATGTGAATGTTTTTATCATCTTTACCTCTATTTTTGGTGTCTGGAAAATGAGCCATTTCATAAACCTTCGGAATGTTGAGTCACATTGCGCCATTACCTAGCAACCCAGCCAGCCTAACCCATTACCTATCAAGGCATGATAGGTCACCTTTAATTATTACAAGAAAGTCTGGAACCTTGGAAGTAAAACATATTAAAATCACAGGTCAGTTTTGCTCTGTGTTGTGGATTTTTTTTTCCTCACCAGCTTCTTCCACGTTGTACTCCTCTCCCTCAAAGTCATTATCAGAGTCTTCGTCGTCCGGGTCGGGATGAAGGGCCTGGCATTCACACATGGCTGAGAACATGGACTCCACTGCATGGGACAGATCAAACCTGCATCACTGAGGCAGCACTATTCCTCTACTGTCACTAACTTCAAACACAAAACTGTTAGTTTTGTTTAAAACAAGATAAAAAAAACTGAATAAAGAAAGAAAATAAGGATGCTTTTGGAAGAAAAAATAACAGCGGGTGCTTTATAATGTTTTTTTTAAAGCGGGATAACTCTTGATGACTATAATATTGATGATCTAAGCTTTTGTCAGATCCATGCATTAATATTTTATTCTTTCATAAAACCATTATTAAAAAAAGGTACATCCTCCTTCAATCGAGAGCAGTGGTGTCCAAACTTTTTGCCCCACAGACCAAAAAGAAAAAGTTTTAAGTACTCTGGGCGGCCATTTTGTCATTGGCTAAAGCACATTTTCTATTTCATCTGACAATAGAAAATACATCTGATGGAATATCTAATATATGGAATATTCACTCAACTCTGATCCAGAACTGCACAGCATTCTGAGAGATGTACACAGAGCAACGACTTTAACCGCTAACAGCTGAAGCTTAGTTCACATGGCACGATTTTTCCCTTCCAACAATCTTAGAAATTTGGTCACCTAGCAACTCACTAATTTTTTGGTTACCTTGTAACAAGTTGTTGAGTAATTTGCACAGCAGCAGTTTAAGGTTTCGCCACCATACCTCATAACTGCTTAAAAATAAAAACAACAACGGCGTGGGGTGAAAACTGTGTAAAACAGGAAAGCTCATGCTACCAGAATGGCAGTATATCAGATATTTAAAACAAAAAAAAACTAATCAATAATTATCAATATCAAAAGAATACAGGCTGAAAGTCAATTCCTTCAGTGTGGTCACTCACATGCTGTCTTGTCGGTTGGCACAAACCGAATCTCTGTTATTGTCCCTTCATCATCGTCGTCGTCATCCCCGTCGCTGCCGCCGTCATCATCACCAGCTCCTTTGTCGGCCATTTCAGCCTCATTCTCATCTGTGAACATCAAACCAGTGACTCCAAACATTTTCTCAGAAGGTGAGAGAAACATTCACTGTTATAAAAACAGGTATTTCAAACCAGCTCCCCCCCCTTACCGCTGAGCTTTCCGTTCACCATGACGTACAGGTGTTCCTGAGGGTAAGAGCTCACGTCCCTGGAGATGGCATGGAGACTGATGGAGGGATACTCCAGAGAGAAACCCAACCCTGACCCATCAAACCACGACAAGCGCCTGACAGAAACAAAAATACACAAGGTGTGGGTTTGTGCAAAACTCCTCAATCACGTTTATTTGAATAGCACATTTCAGCAACAAGGCACTTCAAAGTGCTTTATTTTCATCATAACAAAAAAATGCAAAGACACAGTAAACAACTGGAACACATCCTGATAGTTTAATGTACGTTTGTACACTTTTCAAGCATTTTCAAGCTTTTTTTTCAAGCACCACACTTTAAGCCACAAAAGACCATTTCGATTCACTTAATCCTGGACAATAAATCAATAACTATATATATCGCGATAAACACGTAACCAATATCAACAGAAAATAAAGCTTTAGTACTCTATGTGTATTGAATCTCTAGAAAATAATCTCTTTTCTGAAATTACTGACAAGAAGTATAGCAATATTCTAACGTTTGTAGATGTAATTGTTTTATCTATACTTTAACAGCCTGTGCGGTATGATGCAAACAAATTAAACATCGGTAATCATGCAATTAAAACCAAGTATGACGATCCAGGCAATATATTATACTACATATTCATCTACTTTATTTGTAAATGTTTACCCATCTTCTGCAATAAATATGTCCTTCCTACCTGCTGTCCAGATGAAAACAAGCGCCATGTGCATCACTTACGTTTCGGCGACGTACAGCGTGCCGCAGCCCAGCCTCTGCCCGTCCAGCACCGCCGTGGTGTCGGCTTGCTTGTGCCGCACTCCCTCGGTGGGAGGGGGGATGTTTTTCAGGAGAGCCATTGTCCGTGTAACAGTAAAATCGTCCTCAACGTCGAATTTGGACCGAACAAGTGGCTGTATGACCTACTTCGTGTCGTAAATCTGGCTAATTTATCCCGAGATAACTTCTCGGTAACAGCGTGACTGTGGGGCAACGGGTGAAGAATGAACCGTAGCCGCTTCTCTGCCTTTCCCCTCCCGGATAAACTGACCCAGGATAAGTCGTTTGGAGAACTTTCACAGGAACTGATAAATAGAAAAGTTGTGCTGTTAGTTAGCTAACTGCTGTCCCTGTTGCTTGGCTGCGTCGGCCTGAAATAACGCGGCTTGTTCCATTCGTGACGTATTACACGCTAAAAGGAAATCACGTGTCACACTCCAGCCTGACGGTTGGAGGCACAGACGTTCGTACGTCACTTCGAAATTCACGTACATATTTCTACGTAGTTTAGCAGTTTCATTTTTAAAGAGTTTCCGGCGCCCTCTAGCGGTGATAGTGCGCAAACTACCAAGATTAAAGCAATTTTTAAAAATTTATTTACGTATGCAAGAATAAATAAAATATTTGTTATATATGCAACTGTGCTAATTACATAAAATGTGTAGAAAATATATCTATAGTAATGAAAAGGTGTCTATAATTTCTACAATAAATGTGCTACAGTACACCAAGAAGTACCAAAATGCATATTTAGTTTAATTGGTGTAATTTAATTAAATTTAAATTACACTTAATTAAAGTGTAAATGCATTTTCTCAATGACTTAAGAGAATAACATCATAAAATAAATACATAATAAAGTATTACACACAGGCATGTCATTTTCAACTGAAACGTGTACTGAAAAACTAATAAGACATATATTAAATGTGTTCATTAATCAAGCAAAATTATGAACGTAGACATGGTCTTTATTATTATTATAAATTTATTTTATAAAGCATTTAAAAAACATATGATGAATGTATGCAAACATGCAGAAAAATAAGTTGACATAACCTTATTGGTGCAAACTGTCTTATGAAAATTTATATATTTCTGGGTCAAAATCCACAACAGGCCTGTCTCTTTTCTGTTTTTTTGTTTGTTTTTTAAATAACTACCAATATTTTGTATGCAGCCATCATTTTTATACTTTGATTTAACTATTTTCAGGGTGCTGGGAGACGGAGACAGACTAAACCAAACAAGGTTCAGTGCACACCAACACAAATTAAAACACTTGAGCTATTCACATTTTTGTGCTCTGATCAACGCTTTGTGATGAATCCATTTTATCCGTTCGCAGCTCTTCATCCTCTTCCTCTACCTCAGTGGGGATCCTTCCTGGATCTTCATCTCTGTTGGAGTCATCCTCAGTCGCTCCAGGATTCTCATAGCAGCCTTCTTCGCAGATTGAGGAAGAGGAAGAAGAGATGCACGTGGCGGTGGGTGTCGGCACAGCATTGAAGACAATGAAGCCGATGAGGATGACCACAAGAGAGACCAGGTAGAGTCCGGAGAACTGAGCAAATAATTGATATTTTTCCAGATGTAAAAAAAAATTAAATAAAATAAAGAAATAGTGAAACAATAAAGATAGAAGCAAAAATGACAAACATGTACAGTTACATGCAGCAACAATCATAAAAAAAACAAAGTGTATTCTGTCTTAGTTATAGCGTTTCCCAAACATCTGGTCTTTCTCAAGTTATAAACGTTTAAAAGGGAATAAAAACTGTCATTTTATTACTGAACAAAGATAAAGTCAACCCTACAATTCAGTGTAACATTTACAGTTGCATATTTCATTGGGGTTGAAATAACTTTTCTAAGATCTTCGCAATATTTATGTTGAAATTTTTATAATATCTTACCATTTTTTAAAAATTATTTATTCTGTATTTTAAGTATTTTATGTTATATTTTGTATGAGCCTGCTTGCTTTATTGTTTATTTTGCTCTTAATTCTTAGATTTGGTTCTTATTATATTGCATCTAATTTTGATTTCCTTAGATTTTGAGTTATCTTCTACTTTCTGTTGGTCTGATTCAGAAAAGGAGCTCTGTCTTTTCACTGGTCACAAAACAAAAACACAGCCTTCTTTTTCTTTCTTTTTTTCTGATCAAATCAACCCTGAAAATTAAACATGTTGCTCACGTTGTACTGGAAGAGGAAGATCCCGCAAAAGAGGCTGAAGAGGTCAGCGGTGAGCAGCGAGAGATTGACTGAGGTGGCGCTGCTCAGCTTCATCACTATGGGCATGCAGCTGTACAGCGCGTACATGCACAGAGCATATGCAGCAAGCAGAAGCCCTGGGAGGAGAGAAGAGCAACGGTAAATTCAGATAAAAACAGCGAAAACCTGAACAAGCGATTTAGGTTGTAGCATGTGGTTATTATAAAGCAAAAGGTTGGTGTGTGGGAAACATTTCTACAAAATTTTTGTAATTTTTCAAAGAGGTGTTGGCCAAGTTTTTGCTTTTTTCCTTACATTTTACTCCCAGGTCTGTTATTTGTAAACAATTTCAGCCAAAATGCAAAGAAAATTTAAGAACCTGACATTTAAGACATAGTGGAAGCTGTTGACTTTAAAAGATTACATAAAAGTTTCTGTAGGTCAAAGTGGGACCATTGCAGTTGAATTTTCCTGTTGGTTACAGCAGTACTGCTTGGTTTCCAGCAGCAGGAAGCTTGACTAAAATCACTTTTAAAGTTCAACTTTCTGAAGTGATGGCTACTTTAAAATGTCGAACAAGAAAATAAGAAGTGAAAGGTACAATCTTCTATGTCATGGCCAGTTTCATTATTTTTTTGAGTGACAAATTTATTTTTTTTATTTCTTTCTTAGTTTGGTTTTAACTAATTGTGTTAGTTACCCATTATTTTTGTAACCAAAATATTTTTTTAATGTAATCGCAAGATATCAACATTTATTCCTCTCTGCTTATAAACATCACTGAAAAAACACTAGTTAGTTGTTATAACACTATAATTTATGCTAATGCTCTTATTTTGAAATGTACCCGGAAGTCTGTGTTAAGCGAGGCGGAAAGAGAAGCTAATGTCGGACCAGCTAACACAATCTGTCTGCCGCTGTCTTATCGGTTAATACGTCTCTAATACCGTCGCTACAACAGCAAATTTGTGAAATTAAACAAATAAATGAAAGGCCGATGCCACAGAAATAAGTTAGCTATATTTAGAAACAGTCAAAAGATAATTAATTGACGTTAATGTCGTCATGCCCTCTCTTGGCCTTGTATCTTGGCTCCGCGCGCTTCGGTCGAAGTTTTTGCACTTTTAACGTTCAAAGTTATTTTATGTAAAATGAATACTTACCAACTTGCCAGCTCCAGATAATATTGGACAACTCATTGCGCTCCAGGATAACCCTGCACGGAGGGGGAGAAAGAGGTCAAATAGCTAAAAGGTTAAACAGGACCTTAAATTAATGCATGTTGCAGATGACGGCTCACATCTGGACGGTGCTAATGACGGTCCCAAACAGGCCAATCATCCCCAGGAACTCCACTCTGCTCAGGTTCTTCACTGTGTACTCCTGAGCCACATTAGACACCGCGTACAAAGCAGCACTGAGCAGAACCAAACCGTCTCCTAATAAGATGTTGGAGGCTGCAGAAAGAGGGGAAACAACTTTAGGAAGACCAGGATCCAATTAGAATGGATATTTTGATGCTAATGAGAACCCAGATGCAGAGACGAGCTTGAGAGGAACATGGTGACGTTTTTAAAAATGAAACCCAGGAGATTGGAACAGGTTGGCCGATACCAGGGTAAGGAAGACAAAGGACCAAACATCAGAAATAACTTAACCAAGGAGATTAAATGAGTATGGAGCGTTGATTATTAAGTTATACAGTCAAAAATTACTTGGGTTATTTAGCCTGCCATTAAAGAAAAAAAAAAAAGGGGGGATTCATTTTTGAAAGTTGTATGTCAGAGTTTAAAATATAAATATTTAAGTACCTAGCTTCAGATTAAATATTTTGCTAACTAAATATGATCTGATTCAGCTAAATACTTAGTTTGATGTTAATCAATTAGCTTGCGAAATATTTATTTCAAACTTAGCTTACATAGCAAGCTAAGTAAATAACATGACAAAATATTTGGTTTGAAGCTAAATAACATGACAAAATATTTGGTTTGAAGCTAAATATTTAACTGTTTCATTTAGCTTTGTAGCTAAATGAAAGTATTTAGTCTCCAGTTGCATGTTTAATTTTCTAACTAAATAATTCATTTGAAGCTACATATTTACTTTAGCTTAAAGCTAAAAAGTTGTCTTAAAGCTACATATTTTGCTCATACACCAAATATTTGGTTAGAATCTATAAATGTAGCTTGGTAGGTAAATATGTAGCTTGTAACTACATTTTTGGCTATTAAATATTTTGTGTGAAGCTACATATATATATTAGCTTGCTCTCCAATTAACTGGCTTCAGACTAAATAATTAGCTTGTTATTTCAATACTTAGTTTAGCTACAAATTTAGCTTGGTAACTAAAAAATTGGTTTGAAGCTAAGTATGCAGCCTGCTAATTAAATATTTAATTTGAAACTGTTGCATTTTCAAATGCATGAATAATATGGTGAAAATATAACTTTTTCTCTTATAAAAGGTTAAGTAACCCAAATTGTTGCTGTCAATGAATTGACGTCACCAAGCAAAACTTAAAATCCGAACCATCTCATCGAAAACTTTTGATTTTGCATTTTTTATGCAAAACCAAAAAAATTGAGTCCAGTACAGCCACTACTTTCATCCTAAAACCCGGTTCAAACATCACAGGAGTTCTTACTGGAGCCCTGGTCTCTTCCAGCCAGCAGGTCGGCGCCCACCATGGCCCCGACTCCCAGCAGACAGAGGCAGACGGCCACATAGTGGATCAGTCTGTACCGGGTCTTCAGGATCCACCAGGACAGAATCATTAGGACCGGAATAATAAAGCAGTCCAGCAACTGGGACACACAACACAACCAACAATTAAATACAGACACAGTAGAAAGAGAGCACACCCTTTAGAAAATGCTAAAAAAATTATTTTGTTGTTAAAAGTTATTTAAAGCTGCAGGATGTAACTTTTATTAAAAAAATATCTTTCATATTTGTTAAAACTGTCACCATATTGTGACAGTTTGTCATAAGACATAATTTATGAAAATGTTTCTCTCCTTCAGCTGCTATTACCAAAAAGCACAAATCTCAACTAAAAACAACCAATCAGAGCAAAGAGGTGGGGCTTAGCACTGTCAATCACTTCATGTACTTGGTGCTAAATGTGCTAATGAAGGCGACACAACTTACAGGAAAAACTTAGCCGCTGTTATCTGTGCCTATACTAGCATTTATGATAGAGTGTGCTAGCTGCAGCTTAGCAGAGAACAATTCAAACTCAAAAATACTTTATTGATCCAAAAGAAAAATTAGATAGCAATAGATCACATGGATGGGGTGATTGACAGCGCTAAGACCCACCTCTTGCCTCTGATTGGTCGTTTCTAATTAAGTAGAGGAGCTCAATTTTTTTTCTCAAATTATTTGTCTCATCAAACTGTCACAACATAGAGACAGTTTAAACAAATTAGAAAAAAAAGAAACAGCGTTAAATCAGTTGAAGCAGACAAAGAAAAACTGAAAAAGAAATTTGCTATGAGATTTAAAGACAACAAGAAACAAAATGACAAACCCTATATAAAAGGACAGCATTTCACTCAATAAAAATATTTATTTTTGTCAAGAAGAGATCAAACATATTATTGATGTACTAACCTGGACGCTGGTGAGGGTGGTGTACTGATAGGCTTTGACCACGGTGTAGTTGGCCTCCACGTCCACCAGACCCAGCAGTAAGTACCTCCACCATCTTCTCTTAAGGATCTGCAAGATATTTCCATCCCCTGTGTTTTAAAGGGGATCACCCCAGAGTTTCAGTGTTGACGTGTTTGTTTCTTCACCAACCATGAGGACAGTTCATTAAAAATAAGTAGATCAGACAAAATGCGTGCAGTAATTCTGCAGATAATGGTGCAAACAAGCTGTGTTGTAACTGAAGAACAAAAAGCATTCAGTTGCATAATTGTGGAAAAAAAAAACAAAAGTCAAAACCTAGAAGGTGTCAGAAAAGGATTAAAGTCACTGAAAAAAAAGGTAATTTTTCTCAGAATCAGAAATATTGAAGCTGCTTATGCACTACCAGGCAAATCTAGTCTTACAACTCAAATCTAGTAAATACATTTGTTACAGGGTTTACATATATAAACATGGAAGAAATAGTTATGTCATTATTGTTACATGTAAGCAATGTAACAGACATACACATAAGAATATTTGGTTATTTATTTGAATTTTGATATAGATTGACAGAATTAGAATTATGAGTTAAAGTTGAAATTTTGAGAAAAGAAACACATTTATGAGGAGAAAATCTGAATCTGAGAAAACAAAATGTGGATTGAAAAAAAAATTCTGATGAAAAATTAATTCTGACAAAAAATCTTAAAATACTGAGATTAAAGTCAGAATTCTAATTGTTGAGATTCACAATTCTGAGGTAACAGTTGGAATTCTGAGAAGGACTGTAGAATTACAACAGTAAAGTGAGAATTGTGATTTTAAGGTTAAAGTGAGAATTCTGAGAAAAAATCTTGAATACTGATATTAAAATCAAAATCTTGAGATTAAAGTCAAATCTGAAGAAAAAAGCTACAAGTCTGAATTTGTCAAAAAAAATTAAATTTGCAGAAAAATGTCAGAATTCTGAGATTAAGGTCAAAATTCAAAGAAAAGATTAGAATTTTGAGGTTAAGAATTCTGAGAAAAATGTCACTATTCTGATTTTGAGATTATAGTCATAATTCTGAAATTAAAGTCAGAATTCTTAGAAAAACAATCTGAATTTTGAGTTTTTAGAAAAAAAAAATCTGCATTCTTTTTTTTCCTTCCAGTGGCTCAAATCCTCATCTGTAGACGAACATTTAAAACCTTGAAAAAGTCTGAAAGCGTCTTCCTGAATAAAATAAGAAGCAGTTTGAATTTTGGCAGACATGCTGTTGACACTGTTAGCTGTGTTGCTGTACCTCTCCTGCAGATCATCATGCTCGTATAGGTGGCGCACAGCAGCGTGTAGTTCAGGAAGCTCTGCAGCATCGGAGTGTTCAGGTGAAACTCGGCGGCCAGGTACTGAGAGGAGACCGCGGTACCACAGATGAGCGCAGCCAGACCCTGACCCATCGCCAGCGTTTTGGCGAGCTGCCTGAGAAAATTAAACATCACCGCCTGGTCAGGGATATCCACACGTTCACCAGATTCAATATGTGACTTAAATCTAGTGCTAGCTCCAATGGCAGATTATTAAAACGATAATTTCACTGTAAAAACTCAAAATTTGTCTTTAAATATCTTATTACGCTTAAAATTGGAGAAACCTAACTTAATAGTAACTTTTCAGCACGATATAGAAGTTGAAGTAATCAATTCCTTAATGTTGATGGGAAAAAACCCAACTGAAAACAAGGACATTTCTCACATGCTTTCAGTGAAATAATCTGCCAGAGAAACTGGTAGATTTTGGCTCATGTGTGGCCTAATTTTGGAAAATACCCAGAAAATAATAAATTCAGAACAGAAAAATAGCAGTTAAGTAAACAATATATGAATTTCTCATGTGAAGAAAAAAATTACAAACACAAAAAGAAAAAGAAATTAGGTTTTCAGTAAGATGTACGAGCCCATAAATTGGATTATTTCACTTATCTTGTTGGAATAAAGTAAAATAATCTGCCAGTTGATGACTTAAAACAAGCTCTTATATTTTGCTGAAAAGTTACTTGTATATCTTGTCTTATTTCTAGATGAAGATTCTTGTTACAAATTTGTGTTTATGCAGTTTATTTAATGTATTATTTTTTCCTTTATTGTTTTTAATTTTTAAAAGTGATGGTCTTAAAAACAGAAAAGGAATGTTTTGAAGAGCTTTTTTTGGTATGAATTTGAATTAAAAATAACTTTTCCAATGTTGCTTTTTGCTTAAATAACCACAAACCTCCTTACAGAGTTACTGTTATATCCTGAAACTAGTTTTTTTTTGTTTTTTACTCACCAGGTGAAAACCTCCTTTGGTTTGAACTCCCTGATCTTCACCAGGAATCCCCCCCGCTGGTCCTCGGACCGCCCGTCCCTGCACTCTTCACCGGCTTGTTTAGCAGCCATGTTGTCTCACTGCTGCAGCTGCAACTCACTTTTTAAAAAAATCTTTTCCTTTCTTTGTTTTGGAGCTGAATGATTAACTGTCTGAGCGGTCAAAGATCATTCCTTTACTTATTTGTGCTCTTAAAAAGTACGCAGGACACAATCAGCGCATGAGATAAGAGCTAATTAGAGTTTTATTTTATGGTAGTAAAACTTCGATAAATGTGAGACAATTTAAAGTAGTAATAACTGTGTTTCCTCTTGCTATAACTGCTTATAATATCAACAAATGTACTTATTCTTTGTTATTTTAGTCAATTTGGTCATATTATTAAAAAAGAAAATATATGTGCATGTAAACTATCACAAAACACTAATATTTTTTCTAGGGTGATTTTATCTATAAAATTGAAGTAGTAAATTATTTAAGTGTCTATCATTACAATGTCCCAGAGTGTCATAACTTTATCTTTATGACTTCATCCCTTATTTGTTGTAATTTTAATGTCCTCTTATCTTGTCTGTCATAATAATAAAAACACTATGATGAATTTATTTTTATCACCTGTTAGAGTAACCACAAGGTTAATCGAAGTGTTTTATAAATAAAATAAACACATAAAACACAATGAATAAAACTGATTTAGAATAATATTCGACTCAACAAATACAATTTCACTCTACATTGTATAATGCCAGTAAAGGGGTTAAATTAAATTAACAATTTAACAGGGCAATGGATATGTACATTTTTAATTATTTCACTGGAGAATATTGACATCTTTTAGAGCTTTGTTCCATTTTGTTCATTTTTTCTCAAATTTGTCATAAGTAGAGTAATAAATATAACTTAAACTTACTGGATTTGCTCTGTTGTTTATATATTTGTACGACCTGTTTTATTCAAAATGGAAGAAAAAATATGAATATTGTGTCATCAATAAAAGCAACAGGGATGCAATTTAATAAACATGCACTGCTTCCTACTCATTTTGAGATCTGTGATAAGAAATGAGGATTAACTTTGAAGCTGCACATTTTCTTTTATTTGCTTTGCTGTATAATGTATATAAATAAATGTTTCTGAATCTGTTTACATCTTTTTTAAAGATTTGCATTGACTTATTGTAGCTGAAATAATGTGGAAATATTAAAAAGGTATTCTTCAGAAAAAATCTAAAACCATTTAGTTTAGATTTTTATTCACAAATTTTAAAATATAGCTCTGTTTTATTATGGTAATATTTTTCTCTTTTTAAAACCAACGAGACACTTAAAAAACTTTAACTTTTATGTTAATGAGCAAGTAAATCTGTCGGCATCAAATTATATTAACACTGACCAGCAGGGGGCAGTGTAGACTGCCGTACGTCTACACAAATTAGCATCAGATGAAAACAAAACTGTTTTTATATTGAATAAACATTTTTAAACATGTCTTCCACCTACAGCTTCACCCATAAAATAGTTAATTCCTCTGAAACGTCCCCATTTAGAACAAAACATGGGGATGTTTATTGACAAAAACAAACTAATAATATGTTGAGCAAAATAAATTCTGTCATGTTCTCATACTTATATCAACTGTAAATATGTTATGTTGTGAATGCTTAGTACAAAATTATCAAGTGAATAAAAAAAAGGGGAAGTCAGTCATGATGCAGAGGGCCCAACTGCAGGCGGTTCCCCCAAGTGAAATTCTGCTCAAGGCCTCATGCAACCTTTGACCGGCTCTGCATGCACGACCTCATTTCATTATCAGCTTTTTCGGACATCATAGGTAACATTTAAGAAATAACAAGTTTGTTTAAAAGTAATTAGTGCTGAAGAAAGGACAAACCAACATTCAGGACAGTTTATTTGTTAATTAAATCCAGCTTTAATAAGTGAAAAGAACATATTTCCCCCAAGTTTTACTTTTATTTCACTGTCTGGGTTAGGTATAAAGTTCACTATTCAACTTCAAGAGGTTAAATATATTATTTTAAGATTTAAGAGCCAGAAATCTTTCTGTATCAGCTTATTTGTTATATTGAAATTGTTCTTAGTTTATCAATTAATTAAATTTAATTAAAACTAAAAAGATTTACACAATCTACTTATTTTTAAACAACTTTTCTACTGGTTTTCATCTGTTTTTATGCACTGATATTCTGTATTTTAAACAGTCAGTCTTTTTAATGTACAATACACATGCACTTTATGTACATTTAAATAAAAACTAATTTCACTCAGTTGCACATTCCTCTTTCTATTAACTAGACAGTATTTTCTATATGTTGAGGCATGAGTGGTTTTTTTTTACATATTGTTTTAAACACTTGTGAACTTTTACATCTGATTACAATAAAGGTTGTTTCTATTCTATTCTATTCTATTCTATTCTATTCTATTCTATTCTATTCTATTCAACTGTACAAAATATTGATGAGTGTTCCTTTAAGACTTTTTAACCTTAGTTAAATAGAATTGAATTAAAATATATTCTTAGCTGTAATCAGATCATTGTGTTCATACTGGGAAGACGACAACTATTAAATAAACCACAAAGTCTGTTTATAGAAGCAGAGTTTATTTCGGTGAACTGGGTTACCATTACCTAATCCAGACACCTGTCTCGCGAGAATCTGCGAGGTGTTAAGTTGGAGAAACATGGCGACGCCTAATTTGTTAAAGGTAAGAAGCAGCTGAATTACATTCACTGTTTCTGTGCACATTTAGGTTCGTTGCTGTTACGTCTTTTTAGGTTAACTGCTGATAGATGTTCTCGGCGCTTCAGCCTCCGCGCATCTCCGCTGATGTTAGCATTCATGTGATAAAAGCCCAGAAAGGTGCGCCTGAAGTGGCCGCTGCCGTTGTTGAAGTCCGGTGTTATGCCGGGGTTCGTTTCCCCGATTAATCTCTTCACGCACCCCCTCACCCCCGAATCTGCGCTTAAATTACGAACCCAGCCTTCATTCCTGAGGCTCGGAACTGAACACAGAACTGTAAGCCGTTAGCTAGTCACGTGGATCAGTCCGAGAGATGGACCAGAAGAAGCAGGTTCCAGCCGAAAACGCTAGAAACACGGTTCGGAAAGAAAACCGGACCTCCACGCCACGAACCCCCACACGCCCACAGCAGAACCGCTTCAAGCTGCTTCTGTTTGGACTTTATTTCGACTGGCTAACCTCTCAATAAGGTTGCTAAACCTAGCGTCTGTTCCTGGAAGGCCTTTCAAAATAATATTCACCTCAGCCAAAAGTTTAGTCTGCAGAGAGATACGCAGATCCCAAACGAGGGATAATCATCCCCCAAATATCCGCTAACCTGCTCGATAGCGTTAAAACGAACTTCACGTTGGCTCCAGTGTAACTCTACTGACCCAGATAACACATTTAACGGGATATTCGTGTCTAAACATGCCTGATAATCCCTAGCAGGGCCGGTCCGAGCCCTCTGGGGCCCTAAGTGAGATGTTGTTTTGGGGCCCCTAGTTTATCAAACCACAATGAAGAGATTACTAGCTCTTTATATGGGTCACAAAAATGTCACATACGTCCAAAACAGATTACAGCCAATATTACAAGTCTTGAGGTAAAATAACAGATTAAAAAAACTTTAACAAAAACGGCAATACTCTATACAAAATACTGATTTTGATTGCTTATAAAATCTGATAGAATATGGACGTGGCCCATCTGGTGTCAGTTTTTCCTATGTGACGTACTAATGAAGCAAACACAAAAGCTGAGGTTCTGATGAACAAATTCTAGCCAGACTAGAAGACTAGCTAGCAGGACAAAAAGCTTGCACTTAAGGAGTTAAATGCAAATACAAATCGTGCATCTATTTTGTACAGTTTTGGGCTAATTCCTTGAATATTTTCTCTTCAACAAATGTCTTTCTTTTTGAGTTGACATCTGCCAGTTAATCGATTACTAAATTAGTTGACGATTATTTCAATCACGATTAATCAATCGTTTCAGCACCAGTAACAGCAGTGCTGTTTCTATCAAAGAACCTGCATTGCATTTTTCTTCTTATGTGATTTAAGAAACAGAAATTTAAACTGCCAAAAGGTAAGAGATCGATAATCGGTATCGACCCTGATCAGTGTGTCTCTTCGTTATATTCTTTGTCTCACTCCCAGCCTGTATTTTCTCATGTCTGTGTTGTAATATTAGATTTTCCTCCACCCTTCCCACATGTCTTTCTGGCAGAACAAGGGGTCCCTGCAGTTTGAGGACAAGTGGGACCTGATGCGGCCCATCGTTCTCAAGCTGCTAAGGCAAGAGGCCGTCACCAAGCAACAGTGGTTCGACTTATTCTCGTAAGAGACCCTCTTTGATCCGCTGCGTTGGAGCTGCTGCTTCTGTAGAAACAACAGCTTCAGTTTTAATGCAGAGTGGACGAAAGCCATGGGTTATTATTTCATACAGAGTTGCTTCAGATTCACTAAAGTAAAGCTACGTTAATGCATCTTAGGCAGTCAAGTGTTTATTTTCTTATTCCAAAAAGCATGTTTAATAGCATATTTCAGCATATTTAATAGCATATTATTTTTAAAATCCAGTTAATCCCCAGAATGATCAATAGAATAATCGATTTCTGAAATGATTGCTCCTGTTGCAGTCAGGAGCTGAATAATAGCTGAGCTGCGTTCCTTGTGGACAGAAGTCGGCACCTGTTCTGAGGGAGTTTCATCCATGTTTCAATCCGTCTGTGTGAATTTCTTTCTTCAGCGAAGTGACTATTCGACTGTCTTTTAGCTTTCCTTTGTTGTTGAGTCTCAATCAGTATAAAGATGTGAAACAAAATTAGAGAAAAACCCTCTTCCACGTGAGACGATGCAGAAATTGTAAGGTAGAATTCATCATTTCCTTTGAGAAGACGGGAAAGTGCCATAAAATTTCAGAGCCATTTCATCTAAATGCAGTTTGTCCTACTGAACATCTTCCCAGATCTTAAAGCTACAATTTATTTTATCTTTAAGATAAAATAAAATAAAATGTTTTTTCTCTTTAAGATAAAATAAATTGTAAAGTGATTGGAACTAAAACCCAACCAGTTTATAATTTTGCATTTACTCAGTTACATTTACTTAAGTAACTTTTTGAAAATAATGTATTTGAAGTAATAGTTTAGTTTTATTACTCTGTACTTTTTACTTGATTAATATTGTCAGCTATTGCTAGTTTTGACAGAGTGAAATATCTCAATACTCTGTTACAAGACAGACTTATAGTTTATGTCAAAGTGAGACCTCTTGTTAACACACAAGCTTTGCAGTTTTGCTATTTTCTATTTGTTGGGCCTTTTGCATATTAATACAACATAGTAAAAACTATATATTGCTTCTTATTTCCTAACTGTAAGTATTCATTTTACATAAAGCTTGATATAGTCTGTGATGTCATTTCAAGTCCAGCTGATGTATTGAAAGATTTAGTATTTATTATTTGTAAAAGTGATACACTTTTTCTTGTAAAAATTTTTTTTTTCTTTGTCTGGCCCTAATACTCTGTCATACATTTCAGGTTAAATAAAAAAACAAAATAATTTAATAACCTGATCTATATCATGACCTCAGATGTAAAACTTTTGCACTTTAGAGTTGCTTAAATCCCTGAAATATACTATTTTCTGCTTAAAGATCATAGGAAAAGGCTGGACATGTTTTGTTTTTTCCTTTGTAGTGACGTCCATGCTGTCTGTTTATGGGACGATAAAGGTCCTGCTAAAATCCACCAAGCCCTCAAGGAAGACATCCTCGACTTCATCAAACAAGCACAAACCGTAAGAAGCTTCTTCTTTGTCTCCAGTGTTTGTTGTTGTTTCAGTGTAATTCTTATTCACACTTATATTATTTGGGTAATTCTAATGTCAGGTTTCGAATTGAGGCAGACGTTTCTCTCTAGGATTTCTGAAGGTTATTGTTTAACCTTTGTCTGCTTCTTTATTAATTTACAGTTGATCATCTACTGTCTGTAGCCAACCTACAATCACCATGTTGGTGCTTAAACCTTATATTCTGTTGGTCAGATTCTGAGTATAAAAATAAATCTCCAGAAAAATAAATATCTAGAAAATAAATCTATTTTTCCTTCTGGAAAATAGTTTTTCCAGAAGGTGGAAAAACTATTTTAATGCTGGTTTAGTTTCGCTGTTTTTGACGTTTAATTCTTGGCAGATTTTACAGATAGCTAAGAAAAAAATAATAACAAAATGCAGCTTTTATTTTGAAAATTTTATTTTCAAAATAAAATTTTGAAACTGAAAAGAGGATTTAAAACTTCGAAATGTTAACTGAAAAAAATGAAGCTGAGAATAAAAATTTTAAACTGAAAAAAAAAACATTGAATTTGAAAAGTAGTTTTTTTTAGCTTCACATTCTTGTTTTGCAGTTTCAAAATAATTTTTTAGTTTCAAATCTTTTTTTATCTCCAGTTTAATTTTTTTGGTCTTGAACCAACTTTAAAAGACAAGTTGGTCTTCGAAAGACAAAAAAGACTTACTCAGTATACAGATTGAGTTTGCATGTTATCGCCACACAAACTCAGTTCCTTTTCCTCTGTCTCCGTTGCCGTTGCAGCGCGTGCTGAGCCACCAAGACGACACGGCGCTGCTGAAGGCGTACATCGTGGAGTGGAGGAAGTTCTTCACCCAGTGCGACATCCTGCCCAAACCTTTCTGTCAGCTGGAGATCACGCTGATGGGGAAGCAGGGTAGCAACAAGAAGACAAACATGGAGGACAGCATCGTACGCAAGGTGAGACGGGAAAACAGGGAAGGAAGACAAAGCTGAAAAAAGAGAAGCTGCAGGAAGGGAATTTATGGGCAAGCAGAGCCCATAATAAAATCCAAATACGTTTTACATTTACTTCAGTTCAACGTTTGGCTACATCTTTAGTGAGGAGTAATAAAAAGGAAGCACATAAAGAAATAGTGAGAAAGTAGAAACTCACGCATCAGAAATTCAGTATTGATCAGCTGCCTTATAAATCCATCCACCAAAAAGTGATTATTAATATGTTTCCAATAGTTGAAAACACAAGTTATTAGGAGTTCTTTGAAATTGAAATGTTTTTGTGTAGATTCAACGTGTTTCACTCTCTGCAGCTGATGCTGGACACGTGGAACGAGTCAATATTTTCCAACATTAAGAGCCGCCTGCAGGACAGCGCGATGAAGCTGGTGCACGCAGAGAGGCTGGGCGAGGCCTTCGACTCGCAGCTCGTTATCGGCGTCCGGGAATCATACGGTGAGAAACACCGTAAAGTCGACTCGCAACGATAAGCAGATTGGATTGAAGCGTCAAGAAACAACAAGCCAGAAAATTAGTTTGCAGAGAAGAAGAGATTTCAAAATTTCCAGATTTTGTGGTGACAAGTTTATTTAGATTTTTTTTTTTTTTTGCAATGCAGCATTTCAATTGTTTTCTTTTTTCAGATTTCTGTTTATAACTTTTTTCCGTTTGTCATGTTGCTTTTTTGGACAATTATTGCCTGTGGCTGTGGAGGAAATATGACCATGAAGGGTTTTCCTCTCCCTCTCCAGTCAACCTGTGCTCCAACCCGGAGGACAAACTGCAGATCTACAGGGATAACTTTGAGAAAGCCTACCTGGACTCCACTGAGAGGTTCTACAGAACACAGGCACCATCCTACCTGCAACAAAACGGTGTCCAAAACTACATGAAATATGTAAGTTTTTAAAAAAATTTTTTTAAAGTTTCTTTCACAACCCTTACATTTTTATTTTCTGGATCAGAAACTGGAAAGTTTGGGGATCACAGCTATACGCTGGTTGTGGCAAAAGACTTGTTGCGCTTTTCTTTCACTTCTCCAAATTTTATTAAAATCCCAAGTGAATAAGCAGAAGTTTGTGGTTGCAACATGTTTGACAACATTTCTCTGCTTCCTGTTTGTTTCTTTTTTTTCCCCCCTGCAGGCTGATGCAAAACTCAGAGAGGAGGAGAAGAGAGCGCTTCGATATCTAGAGACACGACGTGAATGTAATTCTGTTCAGGCAGTACGTGACTTTCATAAGATCCTTTAAATCAAGTTTTTATTTATCAGCTGGAAAAGGAAATCATGCAATAAACACACAAAAACAACCAATATTATTCATAATAGTAAATATTTTTTAGGTTTAGGTAAGTTTATGTATGTGTTGGATGCCAGTTTACGTGTCTTGTTTCTTTCTCTTGCAGCTAATGGAGTGTTGCGTTAACGCTTTGGTGACTTCGTTCAAGGAGACCATCCTAGCCGAATGTCCAGGAATGATTAAACGCAACGAGACGGAGAGTGAGTATCCAGAACACTATTTTCTAAAAAAATCGTAATTTTTAAAGTAAATTATGACAATTATTTTTCACTAAGGGAATTTTGGACCCCTTACAGCATGACATCAAGATCCCACCACCGTTTCCCTGCTGGAGGGCAACAAGCTCCACGCTAGCGATGACTAGCATTGGTTTTAGCTGCTGAATTGTTAACATAATGCGCTAAAACTTAAATGTACGCCTAATGTGTAAAAGGAAAAGGGATGCAGTACTTTATTTGTCAACACTATGACAACTAGCTAACAAGGTCTGGAAAGAGTTTTAATTAAGAAAAAAAAGAGGTAGAGGGAAGTAGCACAGTGACGCTAGCTTGACTATGACAACTTTAACACTTAGATCTGATGTAGAATTCAGTGTGTTTTAGATCACTTACAAAATTAAAATGCAAAGGTGACCTAAACACCAACTTTGACAGATCCTCAGTACAGCAGGTGTTTAAATTAGATAATCAACCACCTTAGCTTAGCTATTAGCAGTGTTAGCTAATCTACCTCAGAGATCACTTATTAATAATCACAAAATAAACATCAAGACAGAAAACATCAAACTGTACCAGACTGGATGTTTTGTTCTTTGTGTGGGAAATGTTTGAGGTTTTTTTTGGTGTCAAATCCTGACACATAAAGTGGTGGTGTTGTGTAGCTTAGCCGACACGTAGGGCGAGCAAAACGTGGTTCTGATTTCGTTTCACAAAGAAGAAAGTTGCGCTCAGTGTTTCCTTCAGAGGTTTGTATGTCATTCCGTTCATCGGTTCTTGTCGCAGCGCCCCTACAGGCGAGGAGGGGAACAGGTTTTTCAAAAGGGTTTGCTTCGTATGCGAACCACAACAACTGATCTCCCTCCATCATGCTTTGTTCTTCTGATTTGTTTGTTTGAGCAGAGCTGCACCTCATGTTTTCACTAATGGACAAGGTTCCCAGTGGGATCGAGCCCATGCTGAAGGACCTCGAAGAGCACATCATTAATGCTGGACTGGCGGACATGGTGGCTGCCGCTGAGACCATCACTACGGTACGCTTACCGACTCCAGCTGCTATTTCTGATCATTTCTTCTGGGGGTAATTTCTCTTCCTGCGGCTCATTGTTTTCAGTGACGAGTAGAGTAGCTAAAAATTGTACTTAAGTAAAAGTCGGACTACTTCAACATATTTATACTGAAGTAAAAGTGAAAAGTGTCCATCTAAGTGTAGAAACGTATTTGGCAAAAGTACTGACTAACTGATGAAATTATCAATCATTTAATATTTAAAAATGACATAATCAGATGGACCAAAATATAAAGTTAAGTGGAGATTTTGGTATTTTAAGTACAAACTCACAGTAATTCATATAAATAACCAAATCTTGCAAAACATTTTATTTTCCATGTCAGTTTTCATCATTGGAAAACTTATGAAACTTTAACAAAAACTGCAGGCGTGTATCTGGTGAATTGTTTTTCATTCAGTGGGAAGAAAATCCAGAAATCTTGCTCAAATAAAAGTAGAAATACTTTATAATGAAATTACTTGAAGTACAGCATAGTAAAAAAAGTTACTTAAGTAAATGTAAGTAGTTATCACTGAACTCTGATTGTTTTTAAATGTTGTTGCAGGATTCTGAGAAGTATGTGGAGCAGCTGCTGACGTTGTTTAATCGCTTCAGTAAACTGGTGAAGGAGGCTTTCCAGGACGACCCGCGCTTCCTCACAGCAAGAGACAAGGTGTGTTTTTAGTTTCACCCTCAAACCCAACCTTCTGCTCTTAATTAGTCACAGAAATAAGCGGACTCGCTGGTATTTACCTGGTTTTTTAAAGTTTTAATGGAAGCTCAAGTGCACAAATAGAGAGGCTTTGTGTGTGGGGAAAGTCAAAGAACAGGAGCTACCAATTAAAACACTTTTAATAGATAATAGTTGTAGTAAATGGTAAAATTAAAAAGTTTTGCCAGGATAATTGAATATTTAACAAATAAATAATTAAAATTAAATTAAAGAATAAAATCTAAAATAAAAATAAATGAATAAAATATGACAAATTAAAACATTCACAATAAATAATAATAATAGTAACAAATAAAATCTAAAATAATAATATTTAGCAAACATAAAGTAAAAACCAAATAAAGTTGTAAAAAAGTTCAATTGAAACAAATATTTAACAAGTAAAGAAATAAAATGAAAAATCTAAAATAAAAAAAGAAAATAGTGTTTCAGTCCTAAATAAATAGTCAAAGTAATAATGACAAAACCCAACAACTTGTCCTTTTTTTTTTACACATTCGCTTTACATTTTTAACCCTTTTGTTGTTTCTCTCCAAGGCTTACAAAGCCGTCGTCAACGATGCAACAATCTTCAAGCTGGAGCTCCCTATGAAGCAGAAGGGGTGAGTCTGAAACGGCCCGTTAAAACCCGTCTCCGCGGCGTAACGTCAGAATCAACGTACGACTGTTGGTTTTTAATCAGAGTGGGAATGAAAACTCAGCCCGAGTCCAAATGTCCCGAGCTGCTGGCGAACTACTGTGACATGTTGCTGAGGAAAACGCCCCTAAGCAAGAAACTTACCTCTGAAGAAATCGAGCTGAAGCTCAAAGAAGTGGTGAGTGGATTTCCCGACCCATTCACCTGTTTCCTTCCCGTCGGTTTCATGATTTCTCTTCCCTCCATGCAGCTCTTGGTGTTGAAGTACGTCCAGAACAAAGACGTCTTCATGCGGTACCACAAAGCTCACCTGACGAGGCGCCTTATTCTGGACATTTCAGCCGACAGCGAGATTGAGGAGAACATGGTGGAGTGGCTGAGGGTGAGTCTCACTCCCAGATGATGACAGAAAAAATCATCATTGCTGGAAGTCCTTGAATCTCCATTCTGTGTTTGGAAAGAGCTTTATGATTATATCTCTGTAGGAAGTAGGAATGCCTGCTGACTATGTGAACAAGCTGGCCAGGATGTTTCAGGACATCAAGGTCTCAGAGGATCTCAATCAGGTCTTCAAGGAGATGCACAAACACAACAAGCTGGCTCTGCCAGGTACGGCTGCAAACTAAAAACACAAAGCAAGTCGACAAACCCAAATTCAGTGGCTGTTTTATGAGTTTCAGCTGCTAGTTCTGTTTGAAATGATAATAAAACTGAAATTAGTTTTCTGTGTTGTAGTTTAAAAGTTATTAAACGCTGACTTTGACATTTCTGTCGAACCCTGATACATAGTTCTCATGTGACCGAGAGCCACCTGGGCATGCAGTTGCTATGACAGAGACAAACAAGCAACGTTGCTGCATGACTTATTAACAGTATAAGTACATCACAGCTTTAATTGGTCACAGTTTGTGAATAATCTGCCCGCCTCTGTGTGAAACCAAGATAAATATCTGTGATGTTTACTGAAATAGTTGCTACCGAACTCGCAAAATTAGCTAAGCTAATGTAGCTTTTATTCACAGGGTTTTTACAAATCAGTTCAAATATTGATTATGAGTCCATTGGTTTCAGACCGTGAAGCTCCTCCATTGTTGTAAAAACTCTTAATAAATAGCTGCCTCTGCATTGGATACGTACCAATGAACATAGTTTAACTTTTGTGATTGTTTTTGTGATATTTTTTTTCTCCAGTCAAAATCACTGATTTCGTGGTTCTAATTTAGAAATATTTTAAATGAATTTTGTATTATTTGCTCTAATGTATGAGGATGAATGTGACTTCATATCGTTCACAGAATATAACTTGATATTAAGTCGAGGCAGCAGTGTAGAAGAAGAGAGAAATACTGCCACCTTCAGGTCGGCGTTAGTATCACATAAACCAGATTTTTTCTTCCTTTTACAATTTTTCCGTAAAATTTGCAAGAAACTCACAATTCTTCATTAGTTAATGCATAACTTTCCTGTGATTGCGAATTTGAAACCTGTAAAATAGTTGAGGATATGAATTTACCGTCCACAAAAGCTGGGAGAAAACACCAGACTCAGTCGGTTTTTCAACAATAATTTAATATATCTTTTGAAAATTGTGTCTTTTGATGAGGATTCATTACCAAATCAACACAATACTTGATCAATTCTGCACCTAAAGGTTAACCAGAGTATAAAAAACTAAAACTAATACAACCTAAACTAAAACTGCACACTATTTAGCTGGCGCATTCAAAAAACGAATCAAAACTACCTGAATTGGACAAAGTCTGAAGGAAACAAAGCCGAACCATAATGAAAAACCCAAATTGATTTCCACCGCCGATTCGTGTCTCTGCAGCGGACAGCGTGAACATTAAAATCCTGAACGCCGGGGCGTGGTCACGGAGCAGCGAGAAGGTTTTCGTCTCGCTGCCGACGGAGCTGGAGGACCTGATACCCGAGGTCGAGGACTTCTACAAGAGGAACCACAGCGGTCGGAAACTCCACTGGCATCACCTCATGTCCAACGGCATCGTGAGTCCAACAAACTCCTGCTGCGTCTGAGAGTTTCATCCCCCACATTTCAACCTCTTTGAAATCTTTTTGTTGTTTGTTCAGATCACGTTTAAGAACGAGGTGGGCCAGTACGACCTTGAGGTCACGACCTTCCAGCTCGCCGTGCTGTTTGCCTGGAATCAGAGGCCGAGAGAGAAAATCAGCTTTGAGAACCTCAAACTGGCTACAGAGCTTCCTGACGCCGAGCTGCGCCGAACGCTTTGGGTCGGAACAAAACAATGAAAACAACAAAACGTCTTCTCAGCTGCATTATTGACACTTTTTAGTCCTTAAAATACCAATATTTCCACTTAATTTTATAATTTGGTGTATCTGATGATTATCAATCATTTTTAAATATTAAGTTATTGATCATTTGATCAGCTTCTCTGTGCTTGAGTGGAATGTTTTAGCAAATACTTTTTCACTTTTACTTGAGTAAAAAGTATGTTGAAGTATTGCTACTTTTACTGTTGTACAATTTGTGGATACACTTTCCCTCTGCTTATAATTAACTTTTCATCAAGAAATATGAGTTTGTTTTAATTCCTTAATATTGATAAAAACATTTTTTTTAAATACTGCACTGGCAGATTATTAGACTTATTGCAAGACAATTTTTTCCATGTTAGAAATGAAATACTCTGCCAGTTGAGCTAGAACTTTTTCCTCAATATATTAAGGAATTATTGACCTAAAACAAGCTGCTATTTCTTGCTGAAAAGTTGCTTTTAAGTTAGTTTTGCGTGTTATTTCGAGTGTAATAAGACATTTTCAACAGAAACGACACCAAATATACTTGGTATTTTACCACACGAGTTGCTGTTTTCTGTCTTGACAGTCTCTGGTTGCGTTTCCTAAACTGAAGAAGCAAGTCCTGTCGTATGACCCGTCTGTTAGCTCGCCCAAAGACTTCACGGATGCAACGCTCTTCTACGTCAACCAGGAGTTCTCGCTCATGTAGGTCACTGCAACAGAAAATAAATTATTTCCTTTATTTTGGAATAAATGCTCAAGGCGCTACAATTTTTTTACACATTACGTTTTGACATATTCTGCGTCTTTTCTCAGCAAAAACTCCAAAGTTCAGAAGAGAGGGAAGATCAATTTGATTGGTCGGCTGCAGCTCACGACGGAGCGAATGAGAGAGGAGGAGAACGAAGGAATCGTTCAGCTCAGAATACTCAGAACTCAGGTATGTTGCCAGGTTTCGCTGCTGCTTTCTCGACAGCAATGGAGCAACGAGTCGGATCAACGAGTCCTTTCATTTTATGGTTGATGGTTCCAGGATGTTGGTGGCATCAAACACACTAATTTGCATTATGCTTCAAACATAATGTAAATGAATACTCAAAGCAACTGGAGAAACCAACTGTAAAATCACAGTTTCACAAAGTATTTTAATCTAGTTTCTAGTGTCAATATCTTATTACACTTGAAATAAGACAAAGTAACTTTCTGGCAAGATGTAGGAGCTTGTTCTTCGTCAATCCTCCAATATTGATGAAAAAGCACTTATTCCACTGGCAGATTATTTCACTTATAAAATTGTAAAAATGTCATAAATTAAATAATCTGCCACTAGAACTACAATTTTGTAATCAATATTAAGGAACTATTGACTTATAACAGGCTCCTATATATCTTCCTGATGGGTTAGTTTTATCTTATTTTAAGTGTAAAAAGAAAAACAAGTATTTTAGTCCAGTTTTTAGAGCAGATATCTTAGTTTTGTCTTATTTAAAGTGAACTAACTTACAAGTAACTTTTCAGCAAGATATAGAAGTTTCTTTTTGGTAAATAATTCAAGAATTATGTAAGATTTTCTGTTTTTGCAGTGTATGAAGAGTCACTTTTAGTTTCTGTGCCAAGCCGCTTTGTTTTCTAATTATATTTGACTTACGAAGGACATTTATTGCATTACATTTCCTTTAGGCGGGATTTCTCTAGCTGTATTTACATACACAAAAGTTTGTCAATATTTCGCGAATGCAAAAAAAAGAAAAAACACAATTTTGCAATTGCGGTGTTTCCTCTTAGTGAGAGACGTGTGTTCACGCAGTAAATCATTACGAACATGCAGCACCGTCATCCTCCAACTTCTTCTTCTTCTAAACATTTTAATTGAAAAACTCGAGTTTTTTCAAAATTCTTATGTTTCCAGTAAGCAAATTTATTGTCGTAATTCCAATTTGCGCTATAGTGAATAAAAACGCCGCTATTGTATGTCTGGTTAAAATAAATGTAAACGTGTTATTAAGTGGATAAAATGCAAAAAAAAAAAAAGCATTTTTAATTAAAAATCTGTATTATGTGTTCAGGAGGCTATCATCCAAATTATGAAGATGAGGAAGCGCATCAGCAACGCTCAGCTGCAAACGGAGCTGGTGGAAATCCTGAAAAATATGTTTCTGCCTCAGAAGAAGATGATAAAGGAGCAGATCGAGTGGCTCATCGAACACAAGTATATAAAGAGGGACGAATCGGACATCAACACCTTCATCTACATGGCCTAGGCACCAGCAGCGAGTGCTGGTGCCATTTTTCTTTTACCGCTGGGGCCGCCACCGGCGCTTTGTGATCCCGAAGAGGAGCAGGCCTGACGAAGGTCGATGGAGGGACGAGGTTGAGCCTTTTCAACAAAAGTGTGGATGTTTTCTTTCTGTTTGTGTGACGCCGGTGTGTCATTTAAAGATGTAGCGTTGAGTCGTTGTTTGTCTTCGCTGCCCTCTAGTGTCCGATCCGGGGAAACGCACGGCACGGCGGGCCTTTTTGCCAGCAGCTCAGCTCAGAAGAAAAACAAAAACAGTTACACACTAAAAATTAAATACTTCCTGCCTTACTTTCCTCAGCAGAGAGCTGCAGAAGAGACGGAGGGTGACGTGTGCAGCAAGGGGAGGACAGTTTTCCCGCTTTCTCTTGAGGCCTCGGCTGCCGTCTTTGCGGCGCCCATCTTGCATCCCTCCTATTCGCTACCGCTCTTGTTGAAACTCAAAAGAATTGCGAGTGAAAGTGGAGACTGCGAAAGGACTAGTTCAGAGTACCGAGTAGTATTTTTGCCAAATTGTGTGTGTGTGTGTGTGTGTGTTGGTGTCGCGTGGGTGTTGCGTGTGTTTGGGTGCATGACGTGTACGTGTTCTTTTATGTGTGTGTATCTCTATGTGCACTTTCAACAGCATGCTGCTCTATGATTATTATTATTATTATTTTGTTTTTTCCATCAACGGAAAAACGATCACACTTTGTGACGGAGGTGATTGAGAACCGAGGATCTGCCACCGTTACAGAGCCGATTTTTGATTTTCTTACTCTTCCATGTGATTGCCGTTAAAAAGTTTATATTTTTAGTCCATTGCTGAACCGTTATCACACTGCAAGCTATTTATTTGGTGTCGATCTCGACATTATGAAATTAAATTCCAAGTCGGACAAAGTGAAATTAATGACCAGGCTACTTTTTTTGTCAAAATAATCCGATCAACAGAAAAAAGAGATCATTTCTATCGCTTCTGGTTAATAACTAAGCCTGATGGTGTTTGGAGACACACTGCAAAAACACTAAATATTACCAAGTTTTTTTTTTGTCTAGTTTCCAGTGCATACATCATATTATACTTAAAATAGGACAAAATTAATATACAAGCAACTTTTCTGCAATGTATATGAGCTTGTTTTTAATAATTCCTCAATGCTGATGAAAAAGTATTAATTCAACTGGCAGATTGTTGGACTTATTAAATTTTTCCCTGTTATAAGTAAAGAAAATTGCATGTGGAACTAAGTTGTACTTTTTAAAATCAATATTCAAGATTTACAGAGTTAAAACAAGCTCCTATATCTAATTGAAAAGTTATTTGTAAGATAATTTTGTCTTATTTCAAGTTCTTAACAAAATTACTCAAAGATTTTGTGTTTTTGCAAGTGGGAAAAGAAAGTACGCCCTCTCTCAGCTCTAGAGTTTCCCATATTGGGGCATATTCTGTCTCTATCAAGCTCTAGAATCACCTGAATCTGATATTAAGTTTGCAAAAGCAGACAAAATATTTAAAAAAGAACATTAGCAAGTACCACTTCCACACAAAGCAGCAGATCCATACATTAATGCGACAACTTCTATACAAATGCATCATCCTAAATTGATTTATTTCATTTATTCATTTGAAAAAGTTAAACTTGTGTACAATAAAGATTCATCACACAGTTATTTATTTATTTCAAGTGTTTCTGTTGATGTTTATTGTTCACAACTGACAACATACCAACAACGTTAAAATTAATACAACTTGAAAAAATTATTAATTAATACACTTTTATAAAACTTATTTTATAAAAGTGCAGTATTTCTTGTAGGATATCTCAAGAAGAGTCAAATATTTTTACTTTTTTTTTTCTTTCCATTTTTAATGATTATGGCTTACAGGTAAGAAAACGCTAAATTCAGTGTCTCATAAACTTGTATCACAAGATCCTGTTTTAAGCATATATGTCAGTATTCACATCTTTGCACTCAGTGATTTGTTCTGTTGAGGTGTAATGGAAACCCAGATTTATTTTCTTGGGTCTGGAGTCTCTCTTCTTTCTCGCCCTAGAAATTTCCTATGGTGTTAAAGGTCAGGGAAGCATGAAGAGCTCCAGAGTTTTCTGGTTAACTGTGGACTTCAGAAAACTCAGTGGACCAGAACCAGCAGATGACATCCTGACCCAAATCATCACCAGCTGCTTTTCCATTGCAAATGGTTGCAAAGCTTTATATATATTCTGCTGATGTTGGGGGTGGGGGGAAAAAAACACAATTTTTCAATTTTGTTGTTTCTATTAAATAAGAAATGCAATTAAAATCACATTGGGATACGTTACCTAATGCGATAAATCATTAAACATCACACTGCGTCATCATTCTCCAACCACTTCCTGTTCGTCGTCTTCGTCATTTCCACCAGTAGTAACATGGTGGTTGATCATACGACTCAGAAAAGGTGTTTGCATTGCAGTTTTGCAAAATACACTAATTGTGATGCAACCAAAACGGCCATCTCATCATAGTGCCGGAAGTTTCTGTTAAAAACACCATTTCTTTATAAATTGCCTCGTTTCCTTTAGGCAAATTCAATTTTGCGATTCCAATTTGCACAATTTTATGGCCAGTGGAAACGCAGCTAGAAAGCATCTTTTTCCTCTGCTCCACTAAGAATATCTGATGTTTGTGGTTGAGAATTGGTTTGAAACAGGGAATCCAACTATTATGGTCATACTTTTTGGTTTTGCACCTGTTTTTTTAACCTTCCACTCAACTTTTCATTGCGCTCTGAACAGCCGACCCTTTTTTGGCTCTGCTTGTGGAAAGTTTCAATGTCTGCGGGACGACTGTTAAGTCAGATGAAATCATTTCCGTTTTCAGCTCTGTTTTTACTGGTTTTATTTAATATTTTCATTTTCCGAGAATTCTTTTCATCTACAATCCATAATCAGAAAAATATCACTGTGTGTGATGAGTCTGTACAATATAAAAGTTTTATTTTTTTCAATTTGAATAACCGAAATAAATTCACTTTTGAAGGACATTAAAGTTAACCAACATGCACCTGCAGAAGTCAATCCCCGGTTCGACCTGGACTCCCACCTGTCCATAGAAATGCTGTTTTAATGAGATTTAATGTGATAAAAATCAGGAGGGCTCTTCGTTTCCTTACATGGATCTATTCTGTGCTAATGTTGCTTTCATATAAAGTCCTTTTAAATCATCTGTGTTGACGCCTTTTCTCTTTCTTTGTGAGGTGAGACGAGTTGATTTATGCATCCAGCTAAAAACGCGTCGAAACAATAACAATTTTAATTGTTTTCTTTGAGTTATTAACATCAGTGCAGGAAATAAACTGCATGAACAAGATTAATATTAAAGACAATACTTATTTATTTGTGGAGAATAAATGACCTGCTGATTGAATATGTTACTGCAACTGCATATCTCATCAAAACTTAACTTTAAAATGTAATTTTTATTTTTAAAGGGCTTTGCTTACAAACTAGGTTTTTCAAAAATGGGTTTTAGTTTTGTATTTAATTTGATAAAATCTACTTTTATAAATAGATTCTTTCTGTCATGGTAAAAATAATAATAAATTAAGTTTTACCTTAAGCATGATATAACAAGGCTTTTTCTTGTCACTCCTCAAAATAGGAAATATCAGAGAAAATATCATTCTGCATGGGTAGGAAGTAGGGGTAAAGGTGTTGCAACGTTTTAAACATTTATATGACCTTTAAATAACTGCCAGTAACCTATAGAAAGTAATTTCTGCTGTGAAAACTAAATAAAAGTTGCAACAGAAATTCTTAATTATGAAAATGAAAGTTATAATTGTAAGTTTTATATGCAGTACCTGCTCAATCATAAATTACAGCTTTTTTTAATACTTTAATTTTAAATGTAATAAAATTGCAACTTATTTTTCTAATTATGATTAAAATTTAAAAAATTAACTTGAAATTCTGACTTTTATTTTTGTGATTATATCTTTAAATCTAAAAAATTATCTTTATTCTCTCAATTATTACTTTAAAACTCAAATTTGGTTTAAAGTTTAATCGATTACTTTTATTCTCATAATTAGAATCTCAGTAAATTAGATGCATAATTGTGATTTACAAGCTCTATTTGATGGGTTGCTCTTTTTATTTAATTTATACTATGCAGAAAAATGAAATTGTTATCAGGTAAAGCTGTAACTTTGGTCAATTGGCTACTTTATCACAGTTATCGTTCGTATTTACTATGCAAAGAATTGATAAGGATTAAGAAATGGCATTTATGTTCCATTAATGAATGTGTGAAGGTTTCCCTAACACCAAAAATGAGGACGGCCTCTTTAAGAAACTCACGGAATATTCCACTTCTTCTACTACGTAGGGTAGATGTATTTTTTCCACATTATTTGCTGCTATATGATTTTATGTTTTTAGTAATTGTTATCTATTAGAGGTTACATCTCCAAACACTACCAATAAAATCTGCTATTTCCTGGTGGTGGTTTTCCCGGAGCTCAGAAGGTTTTGTTCTGCCTCCCCCGCTCAGTGATGGTATCGCCCACTCCCAAGAAACGCCGGTACAGCTGAAGCCTCAGCAGTGTGTGGAAAGCAGGTGGAATTAATTAGTCAGGCAGTGTGAAGCTGGACACAGTGAGTGTTTTGACACGAATTATGAACTTGAATAACTATTTATGAGTAGTTCTTCAACATCGTTAAAGTCTAAAATATTACACTTTGTGAAGCGTCTGTAGATAACCATCGTCACTAAAGCAGTTCTGCAACCCGCGGTGTGCTTGTTAGCGTTAGCTTGCTAACAAAAGAGAAGCGCTTACAAGCAAAAATATTCATTACACTATTAGGTTCTAGCATGCCTACGTATGTATTATATTACTTAGCACTAAGAGACTTTGACTGACTATTTTCAAACAGCATTCGATGTGAAATTCTGGGTGTTAGCCGCCGTGACTGGCTAATTTGCTGCTGCTAACGTTAGCATTAACTGTCGTATTTGGTCAAACGTTGAAACCTTAACGTTCAAACAATCCAAATTAAGAAAGCTACGAAAAAATTGGCTCTTTAGATGACGGCGAAGTATTCAGATTTGCCAAAGGCCTCGTTTTAGGTGACATTTTCGGGTCGACGTAAAAAAAAAACCGCGTATTTGTTTTGCTTTTTGAGACGGCTTCACGGTCACAGGTTGGATTTTGAACCTGTCATACTTCGCTCTGGGTAACTCTGGTGATTCTGTCGGTTGGCGTGTGTGAAATCTTTTCCGAACCGACTTCAAGTCTGGACACGGTTCTGGAGGGGGGGAATCGAGCTTGTGACGCAGTTCTTGTTCGCTGTTACTGTGTTTGTGATGACAGATGGTGATGGTACGACCTGAGCCGACCTGCTTCAATGCAGCTTAGAGGCTTTAATGGGCAGAACAGCGAGCAAAGCTTCTGCTGTTTCTAACAAAATCATAATTAGAAGTGAGGAGAGTACATAAATATTATACTCAATTAAGAGTAGAGATACTGCAGCATATTTTACACATGAAAATAAAAAGTAGGAGTGCATGAACTTAAGAGTAAAAGGTTAGTAAGAGTACAAAAGTATTCCTTTTAAAAAGGCTATGTAAGAGTAGAGATACTAATTAGACAAACATATAAAATTTTCTGCAAAATTATGGTTTTGAATGCAAATAATTAGGCCTGAAGCAATGAATTGTGATTGTAAATATATTCTACTCAAGTGCCATACCTGCTTCAAATTCAGTAATTTGAACCTATTCAATTATTAATCAGTTAATTAAAACAATAATCAACAGATTAGTCCTATGCTATTGATGTAAAGTTAAGCTTTACATCAATAAAGCTTAACTTTACAACATGTGATGTACTGTAAAAATCACATGTTGATGTTTACAGTATTTTTCTTTTTAGCTGCAGATTCAGCCTTTGCTACAAATAACAAAGGCATCCACCATCCACTTAAGGAATGCAATGTTATTGCATAATAGACATTCAAATATTTTCATATTGAAAATATATATTTTTATCTTAATTTTTAATGAATTTGTAATATTGAATAATAGGGAAGCTCCAATCAGGTATTCTGATCATCCAATGAGGCAGATCACTGCTAATTTTTTGCTTCAGGTGTAAATGATACTATGTTATCTGGCAAAATGGAAAAATTATCTGGCAATAAATTGACCTAATTTAGACATAAAACATGCGAAATACGTGGAGGCAAAATGCAGCAGCTATTCAGTCAAAAGGACGAGTAAAATATTTAACAGTATTCTCTCAGTACTGTAAATGAGAGAATACTGATCAGTATTGATAATTAAAATTCATAATTTTAATTATCAATTAAAATTTATTGATCATTTTACATGATCAATTAATGTAAAATAAGACAAAAAGGAAAGAGTCATTCAAAGTCAAATGCATGTTGCCTCAAAATAAACAATCCTGTGTTACTAAATCAAAACTTCCTGGGAGCACGGCTAGCTGATTAACGCTGGCTCTGATTGGCTAGCTGATTAACGCTGCCTCTGATTGGCTAGCTGATTAACGCTGGCTCTGATTGGCTAGCTGATTAACGCTGGCTCTGATTGGCTAGCTGATTAACGCTGGCTCTGATTGGCTAGCTGATTAACGCTGGCTCTGATTGGCTAGCTGATTAACGCTGGCTCTGATTGGCTAGCTGATTAACGCTGCCTCTGATTGGCTAGCTGATTAACGCTGCCTCTGATTGGCTAGCTGATTAACGCTGGCTCTGATTGGCTAGCTGATTAACGCTGGCTCTGATTGGCTAGCTGATTAACGCTGGCTCTGATTGGCTAGCTGATTAACGCTGGCTCTGATTGGCCAGCTGATTAAGGCCGGCTGTGATTGGCTAGCTGATTAAGGCCAGATGTGATTGATTGTTTTTGACCAAGCTGAAAATGCCAGGAGGAGGCAGTGGAGATAGATCTTCTGTCTTATGTTAGGTCAGCAAAAGTTTTATATATCTGAATTTTTTTATTTGTTATTTGCAAACCTCTGCACTAAGCAGACCTCGCTGTCTGGTGGAGGTTGAGCGGCGTTACGTCTGTGAACCATTACTACCAGTAGTGGTGGTCCAAGAGCAGAACCGGCGACAAAGACTTACTTCATTTTTCCGGGTTATTTGTTCATCTTTGACTGTCGCTAAATCAAATGCAAGCAAATCCCCTCTTTCTGTTTGACTTCGTATATGAATGCATTGAGCAACGTAGCTCAGTGCGTAATGCAGTGGACTCTGAATCAGAAGGCTGCAGGTTTGATTCTGGCTTGAAACGCGTATTAAAATCTGCTGGATCAGGCAAGGAGCCCCTGATAACTGCTTGCAGTTCTAGTTTTATTTTATTTCTTTTGTGTGTTTTAGATGCCAGTAATGTTTTGCCCGTTTGTGTGACAGATCATCGGATCGACTTGTGCGGTCTGGCCGACATCAGTTACATTTCAGAAACGCTGGATAAGCTTGTAAGTCAGTTTTGTTTCTACAAAATTAATTTTAGCCTTTTAATGTATTCATATTCTGAACTTTCAAGGTTTTCACTGTAAATGTATACTTTTTTAACTTCAGAATCTTGTGGATTTGAATGGACAAGGCAGCCAGAAGTTTACGGGTAAGGATGAGATAAGAGATTAGTTGATAATGTATTGATTAATTGATTGCTCATTGAGCTTCATGCTGGTTTTTCAGGAACAGAGGCGATCCTTTAAATATAGAACTGGAATTTTTTTGAGTCGTTGCTCACTCAAAATTATTTACAGAATGAATATAAAAGCATTAACCAACGTAAAAACAAAATATAACATCTTAGGGTCTCACTTTTAATTTATTTGAAAATGCACGACTTAAACTTAAGTCAATTTTATATTGCGTTGCAACATAACAATTTGTAAAATCTGCACACATGAAAGTCTTTTTAGGATATTAAGTTTGAAAGCCCTGCAGACTTTTGCTCAAAATATTTGAGATTCACGTTGCATTAGTCAGATTTTTGCCATTTTCTGGAGCAATCATTTAATCGGTTGTTTTTCCAAACTTTCTTTGTTTTGTTCTGTGCAGCCCAGCTAGTAAAGCCCAATAAAGTTTCCATAATGCCAGTGAAGAAGAGGAAACTGCCCGACTCTGAAGATCACGGGCACAAGTGTAAAATTACCAGGTAAGATTTATTTCCCATAATGTCTGAATTTGGAAATCTTTTTTTTTTTTTTTTGCTGCCATTCTTGGAAATAGTGGTTGAAATTTTCACTGAGATTATCAAATAGAGTTTATCTTAGGAACCAGCATTTAGTTTCATACCTCGCTAATCGTACCGAGCATAGAGAACCAGTATTTAGTTTTATACTTAATATTGGAGCAAAAAAAACTAGTTTACTTAATAATCCAAAATCAAACATGGAAAACCAACATTTAGTTTTATATGAAGCTAAATGCAACAAAACAAGCAAACTTCAGATCCAGAGAAACCCCTATTACTTTATAAACTATGGACTACTTATTCTTATTAAACATGGGGAACCGATATTTTACCAGTTTGTCTTTCTTTTGGTTCTGTTGTTTTGTGTTTCCTTCTAATTCATGTGACGCCCCACTGAACCGCCTTGTTGTTGAAAAAGTGCTAAATAAATAAAATGACCTTTTTAGTGAAGTTTTAATTTGTTTTGGGTGTCGTAGCTTTCCTCGTCCTCAGGCTCGTGCTGTGAAGCCAAGCGGCGCTGAAAGGCAGTTTTCCGGTAAAAAGTGCCTGGCTTGGTTCCACAAGTACGCCGGCCCTGAAAAGATGGTCGGCCCGGAAGCCATGGAGAAGTTCTGTGACGATATCGGAGTGGAACCAGAGAATGTGAGTCCGACTGTCCGACGCGGATCCTGCTCACCCAAAAACATCTGGATCATCTGTGTCTCCGTTCACCTTCCTTCCAGATTATAATGCTAGTTTTGGCGTGGCATCTAGGAGCGTCAAAGATGGGATACTTCACGAAAGACGAGTGGCTGAGTGGGATGACAGTACTACAGTAGGTGCTTTTTGTTTCACCGGTTTGGTTTTGGTCGGCATCTGATAAACGACTCTGCTGCTGCTGCCGCTTTGCGTTTCAGATGCGACTGCACTGAGAGGTTGCAAAGCAAACTCGACTACATGCGCAACGAGCTCAACGACGCCACAGCTTTCAAAAATATCTACAGATACGCTTTTGACTTCGCCAGAGTAAGTCTTTGTTAATTATGTCAACTCATTTTATATCCAGCTGATGTCAGTTTGTTGCTATTCTGTAGTTGAACCTGCTAGTGGTTTTATTTCATGATATTTTTTATTTCAGTGAAAACTTACAAAACTTAAGAGTTAAAACGAACAGGTGATTCTTTCAGCACATTTTCATTTGCTTGTCTGAATGCTTTGTTTAAATAAAACCTTTAAGTCTTTACACAATTTTAAAATCAATTTTCTAGATATTAATATCTATCAGACCCAGTATTTAAAAAGTATATGTCAGTATATGTGACAATGAGCCAGATCTATTCAGTCTAGTTCTATGCTTTATTATGTATTGTACATTTTATTTAGGATTTCTAATTTTACTTCCTGAACCACTTGAAAAAGTTTTTTATTTTTTTACCAAGATAGACCAACTATTGTCTTTGTCTGTTTCAGTTTATTTATTTTAAATTGGCTGCTTTACTCCTCATCACAGTGACTGAACAAATTAAGTTTGTTTTTACACATTTGTCTAAGTTAATGAACATATATGGTGAATCTAAATGTGATGTGCAGGTGCAGAGTTATCAAATAAGTTTGTAATTAAGTACATTTATGTCTGTGTTTAAAACAAATAACATTTTTATGTGTTTTTTCTGTATTGGCCTGGTCATTACTGAACTGCAGCTGCTTTTAGTTCACATTTCGTCTGTGAGGGTGAAATGGAGCCGTGTTGCATTTGGATTAAATGGGTTATAACTTCTCTTTTTGTTCACTGATACCCATAAAGATGGGGGAAAAAAACATTTTGTTCTGGAAATGGGACTTTTTTTTCTTAAATGAATTTTTGGTAATTTTAACAAATAATTCAATATTGTTGATTTCACATTTGGGAGCAGAAATTGATAAATATTTCAACTGGCTGCAGTTGATCAATTAATTGCATGATTAATTAAAATGAGCTGAATAATTTAAATTCTGATTTATGTTTTTAAGAGGATAAACTTGCAGTATTATTGTGGAACATCTTACTTGAAAATTGTCTCATTTACCATAAATAATATATTATCACAATATGACAGCCCTGTGAATGTTAGTTTTGTGCTCAGTTTCCTTAAAATGAATCGTCACCTTGTCGCTCCTGTTGGCTCCGGTTAATTGCAACGCAGTTAATCGGGTTTGTCTCTGTTGTTAGGATACGAACCAGAGGAGTTTGGACATGGACACGGCGACATCCATGCTGGCTCTGCTGCTGGGCAGAACCTGGCCTCTCTTTCCCGTCTTCCGCCAGTTCCTGGAGGTAAACCGCCCTCAATCTAAACGCCTGGGCCTCCCAGAACGCCAGTAGTCGGTAGGATGAGTAGTTTATCTTCTCAGAGTGACGAGAGAAAATGTTTCTGCTGGACACTTTGGCTCAACTTTCCTTTGTAAACGTAACTGGACGAGATAAGACATCAGCCTGTCGGATAAATCAGACGTCGTTGAAGATTATTTCAGATGGCGAAGGTTTTAAAAGTTGTTTAGCTTTTGTTTTTAACCTGAACTCTCTATGAAAGTATTTTTCTCAACAATGACGGCTTTTGTTCTCTTCCACAGCAGTCAAAGTACAAAGGCCTGAATAAAGACCAGTGGTACAACGTTCTGGAGTTCAGCAGGACCATCAACACCGACCTCAGTAACTACGACGAAGACGGAGCCTGTGAGTATCTGAAACTCACCTGCAGAGCAGAAAACGGCTCTGAAAGGAGGAAACTACCTATTGAAACATTTTACAAAATAAAAGTATTAATATTTGGCATAGAGAAGCTGAAGCAAATATCAAACACTTTTGTTTTTTAATTATTTAGATTTTATGTTTTATTATTTCTTTATTAAAAAAAATATATATATATAAAGTGTATTTTCTTTTTTCTGTTCTGTTTTGAAACCCAAGAACAAACTGTACCTGTTTGGCAGTGAGACACGAGGAAACTATGCTAAAGATGTGGGATGTTTAATAAAATCACAGGATGACAGAAAAGTGTTAACTTTCTAAATATTTTCAAAACGCTGTACTGCCACCATAAATGGAAAAATTGAGCAGGTTGGAAGCACAGGACTTTTATTCTAGTTCATCAAATCGACGTTGGGAACCTTTTTGGTTTTATTTGGATGTTGAAAACAAAACGCAGTGACTGTGCAGACGTTTGTTTCCTGCAGGGCCCGTGCTGCTCGACGAGTTTGTGGAGTGGCAAAAGGCGCTGCCGGCATCGCAGCGGCCGCCGTGCGTCACCACAAAAAGGGAAGGAGAGCGAAAACTACCTGCAGAGACGACGCAGCTCTGACATGGTATGACCAACGCAAATAAAACCGTACATAACACAGAAACATGGACTGCAGAATCGTCACTGTGGACTCTTTACTCCTCACCTCCAGACATCGTCTGCCACTGATAAACTGCTGCTGGGAATCCTTCCTCTCAGTAGAGGTCACTTTGTTTTCTCAGTGTTGATTTGGAGAAGAACACGTGGAAACAAAACGAGTGGAAGGAGTTGTGAAATTGTTTCGCTTTTCTTGTTTAGATGTTTTCACTGTTATTAAAAATGAGATTAAAATGACAAGATGCTTCTCCCTAAATGTTGAAACATGAAGGTTTATTTCAGCACATTAATCTGAAATACAGCCTGGAAAAGATTCAGCTATAATTTTACATCCTCCAGGTGGACAGGATTTAGTTGGAAAACATTTTAAACAAGAATACTCTGAAGAAATGTAGTTTAGTCTTTGCACTTTAAATTATATCATAATAACTTCATTGTGAACTATAAATATTTTGTTTTACAGCTTTTGGATCAGGGTGTCCAAACTTTTTGCTCTGTGAACAAAAATCAACAAGTTGAAGCTTTTAGTCATGTTTTTTCCCCAGTTAAAAAAAAGCCAGATTTTATTGTAAATATTTAACTTTTGTGATTTTTTTTTTTTTTTTTAGAACAAAACAGAGTTTATTATAGTTTCTGAAAAGGACCTCGGATGTTTGTTGGCTAACAAAAGGGTGTACAATTTTCTAACTTTATGGGGTTTATTTCTTGGTCTAGAAAATGTTTTCATACAAACAAAAACTTTCTTATAAATTCTATTAATTTAATAACTGGATACCCAAGTCCTGAATGTTTGTGGCCTGACTTGCATAGTTATATAAATGACCAGAAACGTTTTAAATTTAATTTAACCATAAAGTGTATAGGGAGTGGAAATGTTTAAAAGCAGGTGTAACTGGTGAAAATATTTACTGTGAGTACTTTGTCAGAAAATTGGACGGTAGTCCCAATAATTATTTTAACAAACCAAAAACTTTCAATATTAAATTTTACTTTTTAAATTGAAATTTTCTCAGTTTCAAAAGTCAATTTCTTTGAGAATATTTTCAAAATTTCTGAACTTGCAGAAATGTACTGGCTTTGTCCTAAATATGATTGATATATGATTGGTGATCATGTTAAAGCAGGTATGTGGACAGACTGGCCGGTTAGTTATAGCAATTATATTGCGCAGGATCTAAATGTCCATTTTCCCATGAACATAAACAAAAACATCAATCTCCATTTCATTCTGTTTTTTCATAAATAATAGTTGTTTGTGGTATTAAACTGACTTGTTTTTGTGAGTGAAAAACAAAAAACATACAAATGAATATATTTTATATATATATTTAATTTTGTGCTCTAGGCCTCAAACGGCACATCGCCTCCATTTTGCCTTATTCCGGAAGTACAATCTATACCATCAGCTAATGTGCGCATGTGCTAATAAAGGAAGGGTAATTTTATTCCCTTTTTCTTTCTGTATGCCATTGTTGTCCAAATAATGTGATAATGATTGAATCAGACCAACACGAGTCCTAAATGTCCATGCGGAAGTGCTGCCTCTCCTCCTCTGGCTCCATCGGCCCCGCTGCGGCCGCCGCCATGATGGCGTTCAGGCGGGTCAGAGAGCGGGAGCGCTGCCTGGGCCTGGGGGCCGCTTCAGGAGCTTCCGGCTCCGGGAGGTGACCGTATCGCTGGCCGTCCTCGTCGTATTGGTACAGGCGGATAACGCGGCTGCGGCGCCGGGCAGAACCGGGCGGCGGGTCTCCTCCTCCGGGCTCAGCTTCCGCTTCCGCTTTGTCGCTCCTCTCCTCGTCTGTTCCTGTGGATTCCTGCTCCAGCTCTTCACTCTCGTCTGTTTCTTGTTTTTCTTCTTCTCTTACCACCTCTTCTTCCTCTCTGTCCTCTCTGTCTTCTGTTTCACTCTCTCCATCCTCTTCATCTTGCTTGACGCTCTCTTCTTCCTCCTCCTTCGCTTCGCCATCCTCTCCGCTTCCGGTTTCCTCCTCCGCCATGTTGGAATCACATCCTTCCAAATAAGCAGTTCTCTCCGGTTCTTCTTCTTCTTTTTCTTCTACTTTGACCCGAAAGCTCCGCTTGGGCTTGGCGGGTGGAGATGGGGTTTCCAGCGCAGTTGGTGTCGCTGCGGTTCTCCAGAATCGAGAGTCATGGGGCGTCGCTCCGGTCCGGAAGGCCTGGTCGTGGTTAGCGGGTGGCAGGGATGTCATGATAACCCGAGAGCCGTCTGGTTCGTCAGCTTGACGTCTTCGCTGCTTTGGACAGAGTGACTTGAAGCACCTGAGTGGAGAAACCCGTGTGAACTGGTGAACATGTTTGATTTAGTAACATTTCCAATTCAGAATGATGCTAAATTATTGAATGGATTGACAAATAAGCTAAAAAATAATAAAATAAAAAACGTATTTATTGTTTTTAAACCATTCGATTGGTGCAACTCTGTTTGGACTGTGGATGCTGACATCTGCTGCATCATGTTAGCATTGAGATGCTACTTTGGCATTCAATAGCTTCGCTGGAAGGCTAACTCCTTTTAGCACAACTTGAACGCAATAATATTTTTTTCCTTTCCAGATGGCTTTTTGAAGCAAACGTTAACAGCCAGTGGGTCAGAAGAATCCATCGCTGCTGTTCTTTCTTTAGCTTTTCCTATGACAGTATACAGATTTCAACTCAACTTCTGTCCTTTAATCAAGTCCTTATTCAGCTGAGATGTATTTTTTCTAGCTTGTGGTCGTCATAATGGTTAAACTTCATCACCCACCTGAGAACAGGAGTCCGTGACAGAGCTCCAGCGCTGAATCCCACCACAAACGTTAGGAGCACCGATGCAGCCACAGCTCCTGCAAAGATCTCATCTGAAATAATGGCTTCCTTCTCGCCTGGAAAAGCTGCGTTCCTCCTGAACCGGCATGCAGCGCAGTCGCCGCCACCGCCGCCCCCTTCCTCAGCTTCAGCCCCCATGTTTTGGTCCACGTGGAGCTCAAAGGGCCACAGCGTGGTTCCCTCCGCGTGCCGCAGGATGCAGTAGTACAGCCCACCATGGTGGATGCTGGAGTTTGGTATAATGAGACTCCCATCCTGGTGCATAAACACTGGGTCCAGTTTGGACTGGGAACCAGAGCTCTGGAGGTCACCGAAGGGTGTGTGCCAGAACTGGACCTCACCTAAAAACACACATGGAAATACACATGAAGAGTCTTAAAAGTTCACATATTCAAATAAAATCTCGATGTGCCATAATGTTGATGATGGGAACAACTGCTGTAGCCCATTATAACTCTGGAGAAATTACCACAAATAATAAAATAAAACTGTTTATATCTAAGAAAAGTAGTTTATTGTAAAACCAAACAACTCAAACCTGGACAGGATTATTCCAACATTTAAAAAGGACATTTGTGATCCTGACTCTTATGTCCTCACATTTTTGTCATGAAAACGTATCATGACAAAAATGTTTCACAGCAATCTTTATAGATAATTATCGATTAGTTTTTTTTTTTGTTTTAATATCTGAAATAGCGCCAGACTGATGACCTGACTCTTCCGGTTTTATCTAGTCTTGCTTTTTTGTTTTTACGATGTTATGAGGCACAGTGGAGAAACCTGAAACTGCTGCTGCGCAAGTTAGCAGGTTGTTGCTAGGTAACCAAAGAATGAGTGTGTTGCTAAGTTTAAAGGTTTGTGAAGTTCACTTTCTTCTTCTGCTACTCTCCAATTCCACTATTCTGCTGTCAACATTTTGTTTTCTGTTATTTTTCTTTCCTTAGAAACTACAGCTGGTCTGTTGTTCTGTCTGGCTGTGATAATTGCTGACAAAAACATTATTATATAACTTTTTGGACACTTAGATAAATGTCCTTGTTTTTTGTAGAAAATGTCTGAAATTAATCTATACATTTCTGAGATTCTTGGTGGAAATTTACTTGCTTTTTTTTCTATTTACAATGGTTTTAATACACCATCTTACTGTTCAGATCTTCACCTTCTTTACAATTTCTCTGCAAAAAAGGCAGCAGAGTTATTGATAATCTAACAAATTACATATTTATCTGCATATTTTATGACATTTCTGAGTTAAATAGGAAAAAGCAGCTGAAATATTTTTATTGCTTGATTCTAAATGGCCTTTTTATGCCGGGTGATTCATGGCTCAGAGTTAAACGGCTCGGTAATAAACATTCCTCTGGAAAAAATTAAAAAGCCTTCAGAAACCAGTAGAAACATTTAACACCACTTTACGAGAGTCTTCTTCACCTTCATGTTCTCCATCACCGCAGCGTAAAACAATTTCTTCGTCTGGTTGACCTTTGACCCAACAAGTGGAAGCAAAAGTCACCGAAGTGTGGCTCTGTGGGTTTATCGAGGCGACCAGAAGAGCCGTGAAAATCAACCACATCGTTCAGACCTGCGGGGTAAAACAGACACTTTCATTTATCGCTTCGTTATTGACTCCAGATCCGAACAGAGAAACAAAATCTTAAAAATTAACAGGTTAAATGCAGAATATGTTACTCAGGTTGGTTTTACCTGCTTCTGGTTCTTCTGCTTCTGCCTTCAGTTAGAACAAAAAGTCATTATCAGAAGTTCAAAGTAAAGTTTAGACCAGAATGATGAGTTTGAATTTAGCATCATGTGGCTCCGTGAGGAGCTTCACCTCGTTTCTCATTCCTCTGCGGGCGAAGTCGTGTTTCTGGTGAGGTTTCCTCCAGATGAGAGTAAAGTGCAGCTCCTCACATGATGCTAGGGATGATTTCTCTGAAGATGTTAAAGATTAATAGCATCAGCTGCTGTTTGTTTCTCTGCATCAGCAAAGCGTTTAAACACTGGAAACAATTCACACCCCTTCACTGGTTCCATATTTTATTTAACACCCACTCATAGCACTGAAAATGCAACTTGGTTACTTAATTGATGAATTGATTTTGAAAATAACTACATTGTTCAATGAATTGGAAGACTATTATTATATGACCAATGCAGAATGAAAAGATTTTATGCAACCTAGTAGTAAGAAAATAAAAATAATGAAATAAAAATGTAATTTTGAGAATAAAGTCCTACAAGGAAATTTTGTCTTGTTGTATATTATGTGTAAAGATCAACATTCTTTTCATCTTTTACTCCTAAATGGTTGACCCAAACTAAAACAAGAATTTTATGTTCAAGGATTTTAATATACCTCGTCTGTTTCAACCCATTTAGGGCTTTATCGTACTCGCTCTGATCCATTGTCCTCCAGAGAAATCAACTTCCGGGATACCATCTAAATTTCCCGCGTCATCCGGGTCATGTGTCTGAAACCCAGCGATATATGACCAATATTGCCATTTTATTTATAAAAATGCTGTACAAACGCTTAAATATTGTGATGATTATACATTTGAAAAGAAGGCCAGCTCCAGTTTCCCCTTAATATTAGGTCAGTAGAAACCATCGGTTGGAGGAATTATTTTTATGTGGCTATGTATGTCTGTATATATTTTGTAGTGTAACGTAAATGTATGAAAATCATTTCTCTCGTCTGCTGTTATGAAACTGAAGCACGGAACATTTGTCACCTTTCATAGACTCACTTATTTTCATTGACAGAGAATCAGGGGAGAGCGCGAACGCAGTCCCCCACTACCAGAAATTATGCAGTCGAGATTCCCACATTTGGGGAATTCGCAGGGGTCAGCACAACCGGAGTGCAATGGCTGAGCCTCACCCTGGGTGAACCACCTTCATGATCATGGTATCTCCCCTGCCAGGTAAGTATGAGTTGCTTCTCTCGCTCCCTGGGATGTCTTTCGCTGACATACCCACATGACTCACGGTGCCAACACAGAAAATAAATAAAACTAGAATCGGTAGGCTGCCGTCCTACATTAGCTAAATAATACGGACAAAACTGGGTTTTAGGAAAAAAAAAGAGAAACAGAAAAATGTTTATACGCAACGTTTGATTTATTACCCACAATGCAACGCTGCGTTACCCTAGCCAACATAAAAAATTGCAACTTTTTCTGTTTCCAATGTGATACAAAACATTAAATACAAAATATGTGAATTAAAATAAACTAATCTCGTCGAATGTATTTCTTACCGTTACGTTACAGAGCACAATGTAAAACATCTACAAGCTTTTTAGACAGCGGGAGCGCTACTTCGTGTTTGCTTCCAGATTTATGTTTTGCTGCCACCTGCTGGCAAATAGAACTGAAAACAACCTAACTTATTTGGTGCACAAAACTTTAATACAAATAGATGGGACGAATAACAATCAGAAGGAAACAGGACTGCACACACTGTTTCCTTCCTAAAACGGTCATTTTTACCAAAAGTGATTTTTGTTGTTTTAAAAATCACTTTTGGTAAAAAAATTGCACAAGTTATCATTTAAGAACCTCACAATATAAAGACTGAATATAGACACAAAGAAGAGTCCACCATCAAAACTGTCAGCAGAGGGCGCTATTATCTCGTTAAAATAATTAACTTTTAATTCTCTTAATAATTGGCGCCGTCCACAGTGGCTCTTAATAACAAAAGGAATCAAGAGCCAAAAGGTATCTATTAAATAACAATGGGTTTCATCAGTATTATCACTAAATAACTGCAATCATTTTCTACACTTGAACAACACGAGAAGTAACAGTAATACTGTTTTTGGTTTTATTTTTTGCTGGAAGACATGTGGTGTGTTTACATCACTTTCCTCAAATATTAACACAGAACAACTTTTATGTTTTGGATTTAAAAACTTAGGAACAAAAATGAAAAGGTAATGCTTTAATAATAAACATTTTTCTTGATATATATATCAAAACGTAATAAATCTGCAGCTCCAGGAAACTTTTATTTAGCTCAGCAGAGGGAAAAATTGCTCTTTGAATTACTTTAGATCTCTAAACTGTTTGCCACAATCGGCCAAAACTGACTAATTTTAATTACTGACAGCCCAAAAAGTTAATTAAATAAAAAAAAGAGAAAGAATTGGTTTATGAATTTTTTCTCTTTGTTTTAATCTAAAACAAAACATAAAAACTGACATTTTCCAAATTTTTTGGATTATGAATACTTTGTTTTTAATCACTCTTGATTTGTGGTCAGGGGATGACAGAAAACTATTACTTTGAGCACCCGTGCAAGAGACTCTCAGAGGTGGTTAAAAATTTGTTCTAAAACAAGAACAACACTACTTCAACATTTTTATTCAGATAAAAATTAAAAGTATCCATGTGATTATTCAAAGTAAGAAAGTTTAAGCACTGATTAACTAATCAGATTATTTGGTTAATGTTTTAAAATGATTCCATCAAACAGACATAAATAGTAAGAGATAAACATATTCTGGGTTTTGTTTCGTTTCGTCTTCATTTAGTGAAGCTACTCACAGTGGATGAAGTATTCAGAAACTGTACAAAAGTAAATTTTTCCAAAATGTTACTTCAGTAAACGCCTCGCCTCTCTCTTCTATCGAGATTTTTTGCTGTAACATTCAGGGCGGCTCTGTTGAAAACACAAACGGACAAAAAACATTCGTCTAATTCTACAGGAAATCAACATAATGTATAAATTGAGTGCTACATGAGCTCATAACCTCTTTTTAGTGGGCACACACCTTTAATATTGAGGTTAATACGTGCAGAAATCGCGCGGACTCCGTCTTCAACGTGCGGACATTGAAAGCATCACCTGTTATGGCTCGAGCCAAGGCGGGCTGGAGGCGGGTTGCTGCTGCTGCTGCCGCGGCTGTTGGTACGTTTTTGCTCCTCCTGTCCAAGCTGGGTTTTCTTTCGAGGGTCTTAAAGTAACTCTCCTCCGGCACAAAACATTTTTATTCACTCAGCTGACCCGTAGGAGACAGAACCCGAGCTCTCTGGGTGGAGAAAACGACACAGTTTGACATCCGGGGGAGCGAAAAACAGGTAAAGTTTAAGCTAACTCGACGTCACATGTGGAAATCTTTCCTCGGACCCTCCGCTGTTAATTCAAACCGTTATTTTCACTTTTTTTTTTAGTGTAACTACATCCGGTTGACAGCTCAGACGTGTTTAATAACAAATATTGATAGAAATGCAGCTCGATTTTATTAAAAAATGCTCTTAGAGAGGCGCTTGATTAATTAAACATTTATTTACAGTTTGAGTTTCTCCTCCTACGTGACGTCTTCTCTCTGCAGCCGCTTTAAAGAAAACTGGAGTCAGTTTTTGATGCTTGTCTGCTCTGGAAAGCCTTTATTTAAATATATTTGGATGAATTTGATTTCAGAACAACTTCCAACAGATGTGCTTGTGACCGGAAATGCAGGTTTAATGATTAAAACGTTTTTATTCAAACAATATGACTTTTTTTTGGACAAAATAAATAGTAAAGGTGGTATGAAAATGAACAAGAAGGGGAAAAAAAGACATTTTCCTTTCCTAATTGTTTTAAAATCCTGGAAAACCTATAAAAATAATAATTTTCTTAGCTTTTATAGTAGCTGAACTGATCTGTAGAGATTCATAAACCTCTGCTGATGCTTTCAATAAATGAAATACCTTTCTGATATTTCAACATCTACTTCTGGTTGTTGTTATTCATCTGTCATGGTGTCTTCATGAAACCACACCCATCATTTGCTCCTGTTGTTGCTCTATTGTTGAACCGCAGGGTGTTTCTGTTAGTGTTGGTGAACAGCCCCAAGCTGGAGACTTTATGTTTACCTTTACATTTCGAAAATGAATGAAATGTGAAGCTGGATGCACTTTTTAATGCGAAACAGAAGCACAGATTAAACCGTTGTGTCAATCTGATGAGTCATTTTCCTGTCATGCTTGTTGTCAGGAAAATGTTCTTCAGGAGACAGAAGGCTGACTTTGTAACTCCCTTTATGTTTATTTGAATGTTCAGGTCAGATACAAAACATTTTACGTTTTTGAACTATATATGTGTGTAGTGTCCAGCATCATTACCCACCATTTATTTCCTGTTTACAGCCTGTAAGTGATACTGACATAAATCGTGACTGAGTTTGTGGAGAATGTTTGTCATCCACTTATTTATTTATGCATTACTTTACTTTCTGTTTAAACTATTCTGAAATGTCCGTCTACAGTATATCCAGAGTAAACAGATTTTATGGAGTAAGAGATTTTGGGTTTTGGTCACTTGAAAACAAAATCTTCTTAAATTGATGTTTCATCTCAGTATTATTTCCATTAGACTGATGTTTTAGTGTCTGGTCTACAGGGTAGAAAACTGTAGTGCTGTTTTTAAACACTGACCTCTTGGTTTTCAACCATTTCCTGTACAAAGGAAGCAGCTTTTAATGCATGTTGGGGTTTTTTTAGTGAGCTTTTTAATGTCCTAAGAGATGTTACGGAAACTGAGCTAAACCAGGAAAAATATTTTTAATTGCCATCCAGTGGTGTGATGTGTTGCAGTCAGACTTTCGAACTGGCCATGGTTGCATCAATGATGCCGTCTAATCTGTGTTTTGAATGATATCATAAGCACCTCTGATAAAGAAAGAATATTGCATTACTGTTTGTGGACTTGCCCATAACATTCTGTTTCGCTGACTCAAGGTTTCTCAAACAAAAAAAAGCCTGGCTTGTTTCAAAATCTAAATCTCGAGTCGTTTTCAGTTTGTGCAAGTAGAAGGTTGCCAGTCGGGCAACCTATACTGGGCTACTGGTGTTCCTCAGGGGTCCAATTTAGGACCACCTCACTTTCAAATCCAACTCAGTGGTGTAGTTCATGCTATTGGTATCTCCCATATCCATTTAAATGCTGATGATACTGTGCTCTACCCTTCTATTTCATTTATTAAGTGTTTGCTATGCTTTTGGTCAGTATATGGTTGTGCATTTCTTGTTCTTCTATGATATTCTTCTGTTTGTTGCTGTACAGTGTTTTGATTTATACTGACCAGGTTCTTGTTGAAAATAAGAATTTGTTCTCAGTCAACTTATCTGGTAAAATAAAGGTTAAAGGGGACGTAAGTGCAAAATTCACATTTCACATGTTTTTGTGTTCTCATTTGGGTTTCTGCTGCTTCTAAAAACAGTAGAGCCCAGCCTTTTTTTGCCAGTAAGTAGGCCAGACGCAGTAAGAGCTAAATAAGTTAAATGCATAATGAATTAAAACGAGCTCATTAACTTCTATAATTTATTCTCTTTCCACCAAAAACTGGATGACAAAAGTCTTCAGTCTGGTGTTTTGGTCTCAACTAAACCTTTGTTCACAGAGACCTTTGTTCACAGAGACTTCATAATTTAACTTATTTGTTGTTTTTGTTATTTTGTTTATTTATTTTGACTATTTAAAGTAAATAGCCAAAATAATCTTTGAGCATGTGTACGTCCGTTGTTACGCCGTTACCTTTTTATTACTTGAAATTTAAGGGTATTTTAAATAATAAAATACCTGAAATATGTTTTTACTTGGAAAAATAAAAGTATAACTTGAAATGACCAAAGAACATTTGAAATTGTACTGTTGTTTAAAACAGCAAGACTATAATTTATCAAAATAACTTCTTGGACAATTTATCGTCCTGCAAAATGTGTAATTATGTCAGGCCCAGAAATAATTTAAGTTTTTTTTGTGTGTGTGTCTGAAAAATGACCTGCTTTAAAAAACAAAATCAGCAGGCACTGCCTGTTACCTAGCAACCCCGGCACAGCTCAGCCCGTCACCTAGCAACCCCGGCAAAGCTCCAGCACGTCACCTAGCAACCCCGGCAAAGCTCCAGCACGTTTGCTTCCCATAACAAAACCGTTTTTTAAAGTAATTGTCATGGATAAACCAGTTCAGGGTCATGTCCTTGCTGTTAATCCGTACTCACACATCATGTGAGTTTAAACCGAAGCTGCCCGCTTTCTAAATAATTCCCCATGACCTGCACTTTTCCCACCGAAACACAGAAGTCTCTTTATCACGATAAAAATGTCGGAGGCCTCGTCTCAGACCTCGGGTTTCATTGTGTGCAGGGGGGATGGCGGCTCCGTACGAAGGCCAGTCTTTTGCTGCTCTGAGGAGGCGGTGCAGACAGAATGGGACCCTGTTTGAAGACCCTCTGTTCCCGCCATCCGACCAGTCTCTCTTCTACCAGGGAAATCGCATTGGACACATTACCTGGAAAAGACCCAAGGTAAGGAAATGAAAAACGAGGACATCCCTGGGAAGGGTTTCTGCTTAACAAAACAAAACAACCTAGAAACGCTTGCTATATTAACGCTTGAACAGTTCCGGATATTAATCTGAGAAATCCTTTGAAACCAGACGGAGAGATAAAGTAGGCTGAAAAAGAGGAGTGCCGATCTTGAATTAAGAGTGGATGTAAACAGAGGAGACATGAATCGGCTGAACATGGAGAAGAATTTAAGGAATTTCTTTTATCCTTCCTGAAATCCAAACTGCTACCAGTAAAAGTCCTTTTTTGTAGTTGTTTGTTTTCTTGCTCCAATCAACGCATTGAGATGTTTATCTGCAAGATAAATAATATGCATACTGGAATTTAAAAAAGTAAATAGACATTGTTGTATATAATCTTTTTAACTAAGGGGATAAGAGATGAGAAGGCTGCCTGATCCAAAACTGCTACTTCCTCAACTTATCGCTTTAAAAGACACAAATATGTCCATAAATGACTGTCTCCTCTGAGTCTGGGTTCCTTTAGTCATGTTGCTCTAAAGCAGAACACCAAAGAGATTTTTAATTTCATTGGAAGATAATGAGCAGATAATATAGAACTGAAATAATTCATTTTTAAAATGAAGGTTTGTGCTCTTTTTAATAAAACAAAGATCACATATTGTAGCTTTTCTGACTAATATGGGTTTAGAACTTTGTTCTTTGTACACAGATGAAAAAACGACTAAAAGACCAAAGAACAGCGTTGAAATTAATTGGAATGTATTTTAATATCAAAGGTCAGTTTGATTAACACAACTGTAAAAACGAGGGATGTTTTTTCATCCAATGCTTAAAACCCAGAAGACAAGTCGCGATATTAAGTTCACAAAAATGAGATCGAATTTCTCTCAAGGAAACGGCAGAGATCAAGTTTATGCAATAACAATGTTTTTCATTCTGCGTTTTCATAGTTTTTGTGCCATAAACTCAACAAACTGGTTTTTCTGATATCTGCAACAACAAAATAAATGTTTTGAAGAGAAATATGGAAGTCTAAAATATTCGACTTTTGGAAATCAGCTTTTCAAACTCAGAAATTTTCATGATTTCTTTCTAGAAAAATTCTGAATTACTTCTAGCAAATTTTTGGCTTTTCCAACTTTCTTTTTTTTGCCTCAGACCTTAAGACAATACTTTACTATTCTGAAATCTGCAGCACAATATTTATCCATTTGCCCCTGATAAGTGTGCCGTGATTGGTTGTATATAAACTGTTGATGCTTTATTATTCACTTTGTAGGTGTTATTAGTTCCTACTGGAATCCAAAATGGTGCCAAACGCGATTTAAGAGAGGAAATACTAGATATTTCTTTTTAAGTGAAAATATTTTTAAATGAAATAAAAATATTTCATGTTTGTTTCTTGCAAACAAACATCTTTGTCTAATATTGTATGTAAAAGTGGATAAATAAAAAAATACTTGAAGGCTCCAAATATTTTTTTATCCAATTAATTAAATGGATAGAATATTGGTTTTTTCTGCAATAATCATTAGTTTAACAGTTTTAATATTGTGAGATCTTCTTACACCCTTACAAAACAGTCTGGGAATCGTCCTTCTCAGCCACAAAGGGGCCGAATTTAGCACCAGGAGCCACATTTTTATCCACAGAGGGCAACAAAACTAAACAACACTAGACACTAGAGCTCTTTAATGTTATCAGAGTTTAATATGCTTAAGTTGTCTTAGGATCTCTGAGTGATGTTTTGCATTTCTCATGATTATTTGTTTGCAGGAGTGCAGCTGCAGTTCATGCTGCTGAAATTGGACTCTGCAGATTAAATTATTGCTCGATAATTTCCATAAATAGATTTATCTTTCAGTACTATCTTCACAATAAAAACACACGGCTCTTTAAAACGCCTCCAAAGGCAGCAGAGGAAATGATGTTTATAGTTTGATGTAAAGTGCAGCTTTCTGTGTCTTCCTCCATTATAATCTGCTCTCCTTCTGGCTTGGAGGATTCAATGTTTGTCCTTTTTTTAATGAATAGAAATAAAATTTACCAGTAACTTTGTCCAGCTTCTTTATTCTCCGTGTAAAAAAATACAAAACAAAAAAAACATCCACTGCCGGATGAAATGTGCACAGTTCAATGCTTTTACTGTCAATCATTAATAATTTGAGTAAATAAATAATTAAACAGGTGGCAAAGTGCACCAGAAAATCAACATTATCGATTATTTTATGGAGTGATGAGGGAATATTGCTGCTTGCTTAGCAGGATCTTTTCCTAAAGTGTTGAGTGAAAGAGTGTAAAAATGCAACTCAGAGCTTTAGTTATTATTTGTTTGGTTAGAAAACTTTTCCATCTCCTGAAATGTGCTAACTGAAGAAAATAATTTTATTTCAATAAAATATTACACATCGAGTCTATGACTGCAACTCCCAATTATTTTAGTTATCAAGGACTCTGATGAATAATTGAATAAATTTTCCACAATATTAGAAATACGTTAAACGATATAGATAAATAATTCAATTCCTGTTTTAAATAGTAAAAAATTAACATTTTACAGCCTGAAATGCCACATTTTAGGTTTGCTAAAGGAATCAATTGTTCTTTTAGCAACACTTCATTATTAGCAATAAAGAATGCATCTGCAGCTAAAAAAACACTTAATAAGTGAAAAGCTCGGCTCTTTCTAAAAGCTCTGTTTGACCTAACATCAACAATGTAGTGCTAATATATTGATTATCTATTTGATTCATAATTTCATAGCAAATGGGGCTTACCAGCAGATTTTCTTTGCAGAATTTGAACCAGGTGAAGTTAAAGATGTCACTAAAGGAGATTCTAGTAGAAGAAATTAATTTAAAAAGTTATTTTTTTTTATATTAAAATGAACATTTTTAATGCAGTTTTGGCTGAATTACTGCTCTAAATGCATTATCCTTTCAGCAGAAGGCCTCATTTTGAGTCTGAATGCTCCAGTTGACGATTAATCGATTACTAAACCGATTTGGCGATTATCTCAATAATTGATTCATCTTGATTAAGGCTATTAATCATTTCAGTCTTTGTGCTTTGAGCAAGTGCGCGTCATCAGGTGACGTTGGAAAAGCAGAACTCCCTTTCATCCGCTGGACATCCAGCTGAACCAGTCTGAAAAAAAGAGCAACGTCTGCCTCGACTTGTTTTATTTAGACTGGAAACCTACAAATAATCTGCTGCACTTGGGGTTCTTCACAGATAAACACAGATCAGTTGATAAGTGATTAGTAAAAAATGTGGAAGTTATTAACTGATCTTCATGATGAAGTGTTTTCCAACAGCTTTGCTGCGTTTTAACCTGAATGAAGGAGTGGCTCCTACCTGCCAGGTGACGACATTTTTCTGGTTCTGGTCTTTTCTTTGAATCTCAAACTCTTCCAGGAACCTGAAGTATGAACCATGAACTCTTTAAGATACATTTGAGCTTGGTCATCTGAACTATTTTTGGTTTTCTTTACATTTCTGACCATAAATTTAAACGTCCTCTGCTGTTCCAGATGATCTAAGTGGCTGCTCCCACAGAGTGGGTGGTTTTGCTGGGTGTGTGCCAGTGGTTTATCCCAGCTCTGTTATTTGCCTGCTCTCTAGGTTCCCTGCTTCAGTCTTTCATTGGCTCTTTTCTTTATTTAATATCACATTTACTCTTTACTTATCTCTTAATGATGAACCCTCTGGGAAACACCGTGTCATTCACTCTGCCCTCCAGCAGCAGCAGGCTTGGATAAATGCGCCACATAAAAAGAAAAAAATGGCAGGAAATTGCTGAGTTGGGTCAGTTATTTGCTTTAAATTAACTTAAAGAACAATTTCTCAGCTGTATACCAAAAGAACAGGCTGAATACTAATTGCATTTACACAGAGGTAAATTATACACAAGTAAGAGTAGCACTACTTCAACATATTTTTACTCAAGTAAAAGTATGAAGTCCCAAAAAAATTATTGTTAACAAATAAAAAAAAATTATTGTTAACAAATAAAAACATATTTGTTAACAAGTGTATACTCAAGTACTGAGAAAGTGATCAAATTATCAATAATTTAATGTTTAAAAATTACATAATCAGATGGACCAAAATATAAAGTTAAGAGGAAATTTTGGTATTTTAAGGACAAAAGTTACAATAATTTGTATAAGTAACAAACAACAACAAAGTCAGGCAACATAAAATGTTTCCAAATCAGTTTATTTCAATAAAAAACTTCAGAGACTTTAACAGAAACTGCAGGTGTGTGTCTGCATCTGATTAATTTTTGGTTAAAATGTGGGGTTTTTGCATTCAGTAGGTAGAAAATCCAGAAATTTTACTCAAGTAAGAGCTGAAATACTTCATAAATGTATCTAGTCACCAATTCTTTTTTCCTTGTAGGAGTTGAGCAGCAACCCTCACCTGTTTGTAGACGGGATCAGCGCTCACGACTTGCACCAAGGCCAGCTGGGAAACTGCTGGTTTGTCGCTGCTTGTTCCAGTCTGGCTTCCAGAGAAGCACTCTGGCAAAAGGTAAGAGATCATCGACAACAGGGGTCAAACTCGAGGCCCTTTGGGCCAAATCCAGCCCCTGCTGTAGCTTTTTATGTGACGCATAAACAGAGCCTTCAAGAAAGCAGCTGCCACCTTAAATAGTTTATCTACAGTTGCGTTTTCATTCAAATTGTGTGAAAAACTTTGTAGATATTCCACTAAAGTTTATAAAAAAGAATTTAGCAATTCAGTTGTTTCCATTAAATAAGAAACATAATTAAAATCAGTCGTCACAATATTTGTTCATACAATAAATAATTAAAACATAATCCTCTTTCCACTTCCTGTTGTCTTCTTTGTCGCTTCTGCCAGTAGTAAATTGCACATGTTACTCGTGTGAGGTAAAAAAGGTGTTTTCATTGTGCAAAAACACATTGAAAAATGTGATTTTGTTTTTCTAAATTGCCGATTTCATTTTGCTCAATCAAATGAAAATGCAGCAAATCAAAGCAGTTTTATCTGCATGCTGACAAATTACAACAATCAGTCCTTCCAGGTTTTTGTAGTTTTGTAATCTTAAAAATTTCTGTAAAATCAACAAATCCATGCACTTTTTTACATTAATGCACAAATGTGAATTTATTTCAATTCTTCTGCAAAGATAATAAAAAAGACAATCGTGTTTAAGTGATGCTAACTCCCACCTACAGGTGGCAGTATTTCTTACTTTTACTACACTGCTGCCACACGAAACATCTTACATAAATATCGCAAAATTTCTTGCAAAGATTTCGAAATTAGCACCACAAAATCAGTGATTGCAAAAAATCACAAAAACAATTTCAAAACTCACTTTAAGAACATTTCTGATATAAATTTGATACGGCACATAATAAAAATGTGTTTGGCAACACTAGTCGAGATGGTTTCAGATTTTAAAAATGCATTAAATAGGAAGAAAATAAATAAACCAAAGGCTAAAATTTTTTATTATTTTTAATTTTCCTTTGAGGTTTGTTGTTTTACAAAACAGTATTTAATTTAATAAGAAATAAACTACTAAAAATTAAACTAACTTGTTATTTTTTATTTAGTTTTGCTGTAAGATACTCCTGTAACTTTAGCAATGAATTTCCAGTTATTCTGACGTGAGAAGTCAGCCAGAGTTTCTGGTTTCTGTTTGTTTTGTGGGTCACACCTCTTTAGCTATCAGGCTGATTTCAGTCCCAGCAGACCTTCAGTGTTGTAAACGAATATTTTAGTAAACGAGTAATCTATTGATTAGTCTGACAATTAGTTGGGTAATCTGATAAAAAAAAGATAAAATAAGACATTGGTAAATCTGACATAACATCAGTAATATCTGCTTAACTTGTAACAATAATAGCTCACTTTCTGAGTTAACCTGAAGAAAGGTTTTACAAAAATCTGAAATTATATTCAGTGTATTTTGAGCAAACTATTATAAAATATGTCTTTACTCCAGCTTTTCGCTTATGTATTCATGTTCAGTTCGCTGTGAACCAGCAGCTCTGGGAGGAGAAAAGCTGCCGTACTCCAGGCATCGCTCCCGTCAATTTAAGGAATCTTATTGGTCCCCGGAAAACCACAAAAACCCTGACATGATCCTGAATCAGGAAAATCCTCCTAGGCCTAATTTGAAAATTGGACTTTATGCAGCGAACACTTAGTTTTTATCAACAACTTTCTTGTTTTTCTGTACATGAAACATTGATGTTAAAATGCTGTTTCTCTCTCGTTTGCATGGTAATCTACACTTGGAAACATATTTTATTTCTGTGTGTGCATGCTTTTAACAGTTCTTTTGCATCACTTGTTAGGCATTTATGTTGTGCTTTAAATCACATATTAACTCACTTATTAGTATCACTCATGAATGGAGGTGGTGATCAGTGCCATTAAGATTTTACCAAAAAGATTTGTTGGAAAATACTTACAATATTGAATAGTCCAACAAACTTCTCAACAAGTAGCATCGATCATCCACAAGGTGGCACCGATAACTGCCTAAAATGCCTCCTGTCTGATTTTTTCATTTAATAACTTAAGCCTTTTCTATACTATATTAGAAATACATGAAAATATGGATATAAACAAACAATTCAGTACATTTTTTAATTAAGAAAATAAAAATTTTAGTGCCTAAAATCCAGCAAGATTGAACCAGATGAAGCTAAAACTGGAGTTTTGGGTGAGACATATTTACAGACAGTTAATTGAAAAATGTATGTATTTTTAAATTTTTTACAGTTTTGGCTTAATTACTACTCTGAGTGAGCTGTTCATTCAGCAAATGTCTTTTTTGAGTTTTTGTCCTCCAGTTAATGTTTAATCGATTACTAAATTAGTTTTTGATTATTTCACTAATCGATTAATCATGATTAATCGTTTCAGCCCGAATAAATTTCACATTTATAAATACATTATTGCTAATGCATTCTTGTCAGCTGGATAAATATTCCTAATGATTTCGGGACCCTGGGTTTGGTTTTCTGCAGATGCTTTTTAATAATTTGCGGTTTTTTGTTTGGTTTTTGTTTCTGGTGAGTAAGGAACTTAGCTTACTACAAAAAATACAAATACTTTTATCATTCTCAAAGACATAAAAGTACTTGTGGATATTTTCTATCTTAAACAGATTTGATCTGTTTTCTTTCTCTCAGTGTTTCAGGTCAGCCATCTTCAGGTTTTTGGAAACTTTGAACATAAAGTTCGTGGGCCGTGCTTTGTGTCCGGCCTTTGTGGATTGTGTGTTTCCTCTGTGTTTTCTCTGCTGTTGCCTCGTCTGTCTCAAAGGTCTTCTGCACCTCTCAGTTTTCCATCAGCCCAGAGGAAACTGAACTCTTTCCCGGTGTCGGTCTGTCTCTGTGGGCCTGGCAGTTGTCTAGACACCCTGCATGGTTCCGAAACAAACATGGTTCCAGTGCGAGGAGGGCAAGTTAGATGACCAGTTTCAACACTATATGTAGGATTTCCAAAAGCATTTTTCATTTTTACATTAAGTATGTGTTTATTTAGGCCAGGGCTCTTCAGCCTGGGGGTTGTGGAGATATTGCAGGGGGATTGTGAGATTTCTGATTAATTGTTGTGTTTTTTAAGATATTCTATTGGCTAATATGAAATAATAGCATTTGTTTAGTGAAAGCTCTATCACTGGCAGCTAAAAAATACTTTTAACATCATCATGTGAAAGGCTCACCTCTGAAAGGGGCAGTATTATTTAAAATATATATATATATATGTATTACCTTTACATCATCAAATACTCACCTGGAGTGTTGCCTTCATTCTTTCATGCGTGTTTGAGAAATCCTTTAATCTACATGGCAACCATTCGCTTAGATCCACCAGTCCAAAAGGCCTGATGGATTTAGCTCCGCCTTCGAGACGTAGCTCCTCCCCCACTTAGCTCCTTCAGACTAGCCAGCAGCAATTAGCAACCACCTCGTGGACCTGTTCATCTTCTGAGCTCATTATAGGTGATGCTTCTCAGTGCAACGCTGATAAAAAAGGTTTTTAAAGGGTTAATAGAGGAGCCATGTGCTTATGACTTCATGAAGACAGAGTTTGAGAAAGAGCAGGAGTTTTTAAAGAGACAGAGGCCCAATTTCAAATTCTTCAATTGCAAAGTAAAATTTCTTTCAAATCATATTTGATATATGATTTTTATAACAACTGAAGGTAACACAGTTACTCGACTGTCCTGTAAAATGCACTATATGCTTGGACAATACAAATACTGCCCTTTTAACATGAATACAATCTGGAGCTAATCTGTTGATTATGTTTTTCAATTAAGTCGTTTTTTATTATCATATTAAATGCAAAATGTTTATATTTTTGCAGTAAATGCTGATCTCAGTGTGTTCTTTCCGCAAACAGCCTTTTTTTAAAAGTCTGTATAGTCTAGTAATCCATTACTAAATTAATTGACAAGTATTTCAGTAATACATTACTAGTTTCATCCCTAATAATATTTCTGTTACATAATTAACCAGCCTTGCAATCTGTAGCATTTAAGTCTCTTCTAGCCTTTGATTCACCATCATTTCTCTACATTTCGTGATTTATTTCTTGTGTAGTTTTCACCGTAGTGGTTTCTGCCTAGACTACGTCCCACACAGAAAGAAAAGACAAGCTTTTGAGCAAAAGAAAATCTAAGATAACGTTTCATCCAGTCACAACTCTGGTGGTTTTAGACAGGAAGTTATGGAGACAGAAAAACCAACAGCGTTTGAAGGTTTGTGAACACTTTATTGGCACAACAAACTGCAGGATACAGAGGAAAAGCTATAAATATGAGAAATAAAAGTTTTCATTTCTTAAAGTTGTATTCTTTAGATCCAAATTTAAATGCATCATGAAATAGATACAAGTCCTTTTCTGCATCAGGATAACTCAGCTGGAGGATTTTATTTTACAAAATAAATACATTGATTATCTTCACACCTTTTTATTGCACCTGTAAATATTTTCTTTATTCTGCTCTCCTTGCTCTGTTGCTTTAATCTTACCAAGCATTTTTATCTAGTGTAAATATTTATTTAATCTACAATAGGAAAAAAATAACTTCAAATAATGTTTCAGAAAAGCTTGCTTTAAGTAAATAATTACTTTATTGATTAAGATAACTAGTTTCACTGTTTTTGTTTCCAAGACATTTTCCCCATGTTATAAGTGATGTCTGAAGCAAATACTGTTTTAAATCAATATTTAAGAATTATTGATTTAAAACAAACTCAAGCGATTACTTGCAAGTTTTGTCCTATTTAAAGTGGACTAAGATATTTCAAATAAAAACTAAACAAAAATACTTGGTAATGTTTTGTGTGTTTACAGTTCAGCGTAAGGAAATGTAGACTAAAGGAAAAAACGAGTTTTTATAAATCAGGATTTGTGTCTGTTCCCTCCCAGTGAAAACAAAAAATTGATTTTGCTCCATTGATCTCCGTTTTCTGTCAGGTCAGTGTGTATGCATTTTCGTTATTTGAGATTTCAGTCACTGCTGTTCCACAGAATAACATAAAGAAAAAAAATTAACTTCAGAATATATCACAATAATTGGCTGAAGGTGAGAAATGAAGTGATTTTGTCAGGCATCGTTTTTTTTTAAGCTCATTGTTTATTGGGTGTAAAAGCATGCAACAGGACTAGTTGCTTTGAGACTAAATTTACTTTGTTTTGTTTTTATTAGTTTTTAACTATAAACGTCCGCTTTGGCCTTCTTTTAGTGTTGTAGTTCGACCGCCATCCCACAGAGGGCGCCGCTGGTCATTCTTAAGCGCAGACCTTGAGCCCGAATAAAAGATGGCGGTAGCGATATCTCAAAACTGTGATGAGAGACGGTCCAAACGGAACCCGATGTGGGATGAAAAATGCACTTTAAAAGGTTCTGTTTAAAAATATAAACACCCAATAAGCTATGTAACTTATAGCTGAATGAGCCCTATTCATTCAGCTACATGTTTTCAGCTTTTAGCATGATAAAAACAACATGGCGGCAATTAGCAAGGTAGAGTTTGTCGTGAGCAAAGTTTTACATCAAATTAATTCATGCAAAATACTTTCTTTAAGTGTGGAAATAATTAAAATAAATCTGTAGCGGCGGCTAAAGACATGCAAAGATTTAACAACGTTTAGTGGGTCTGAGGGGGAATTTATGCTGAAATCTAAACAGATTCTCTGAACGCGGAAGGTTACTTCTCGGGTATGAACTCGATGGTGCAGTCGAGGTTTGCTGCTGTGGACCCGTCCTTGTACGCGAACAGAAAATACATGACCTTCCTCACTTTGGCCAGCTCCGCGATCCTTTCCCCGAACTCCTGCATGTCGGCCTCCAGACACTTGAGCGGCGAGTCCTCCGGGTCCTCGGCGTTTCTCCAGAACGTCCCGATCGGCTCCAGGAGCTGACGGGTCATCAGGTTGGTGAGGTCCGGGGTCCAGTGCTGGGAGATGCCGGTGATGGTGACTCGGCCGTGGCCCGAGAGGGAGAAGTACCAGCGGGAGAAGTTGAGCTCCTGGACGGGGAAGTCGAGGCGATGCACGGCCTCGTGGGGGAGCAGCAGCCGCTCGCCGTCCTGACGCTTCTGCCCGGTTTTCTGCAGAGATGAGACGCGACGACGCATCATCTGCAGAGAAAATGGAGGGAGATCCAGATGAGCAAGAAATGAAAAAAAAATCAAAAAATATTTACATTTTTTAAAGTGATGTTTACACTGTAAAAACACAAAATCCTACCAAGTATTTTTGTCTCAGTTCTTGTAAAAATATCTCATTCTTGCAATAGGACAAACTTAACTTACAAGGAACTTGCAGGCAAGATATAGTAGCTTGTTTTAAGTTAATAATTCCTTAATATTGCTAAAAAAGAAAAACAGTTCTTCTATAAGTAAAATAATCTACCATTGCAACTAGAACTTTTTATATCAATATTAAGAAATTATTGACTTAAAACAAGCTCCTTTATCTAGCTAAAGAGTTACTTGTAAATTAATGTCTCATTTCAAGTGTACCAAGATATTTGCACCAGAAACTAAACAAAAATACTCGGTAAGGTTTTGTGTTTAAGTGTAGGAGATAGCGACTCACCCAGGTTTATTTATTCTTTGATTAATCTAGCAAAAGAAAATCTAGCAAAATGTCAACATTTCAAACTCATTAATGCTCCAGTACTTTTCTAGAACTTTTCTGAAAAGTTTTTAGCAGGAATTTACTTCTAACTACTTCACTCACGACAAACTGCGCCACTAACACTAAAGCTTACCAAGAACTTTTTGTTTCTAACTTGCACACAGCTTTTCAGAAAGATACAGGTTCTTGTTTAAAAAATTTTTTAAGTTTATTTATTAGCATTACCAGAAAATGTGTCACTAGCAGATTATGTAACTTGTAAAAAGATATTTTTCCCAAGTTATGAGTGAAATAATCTGCCAGTGGAATTACAACTTTTTCATCAATATTAAGGAATTATTGAAATCAAGCTCCTATATCTTGCTAAAAAGTTACTTGTAAGTTAGTTTGCCTTATTTAAAGTGCACTAAAATATTTTCACAGGTAGTTGGGCAAAGAAAAATACTTTGTAAGATTTTGTGTTTTTGCAGTATACCAGGGAAAACTCACAATCGAAAAATGGACAGTTGTATCAAAAGAAAATCTAAAAGAAAAAAAATCTAAAGATTATATTTTTGAGTAGTTATGTCTGATTTCCTGAAGCTGTCAGAAAGTCAGAGCCTCACCTCCGTCAGATCGGTGTCCTCCTTAAACTCCAGCACCAACTTCTCGGAGGAAGATTTACCCACGTCCATGTCCGCCTTCGATTGTATTCCCAGGTTCAGGAGAGGGAAGAAGTCGGCCTGTGTAGAGGGATGCAGTGATGGATGCAGCTGAGTTTTCCCCTGCCTCCTCTTCTTTTCATAGACTCGTTCTACTCCTCCCTCCCCTCAAACTGTTTCCATCATGGTGGACCAGTTTCTCCTCCTCCTCCTGCCCACAGGGAAGTTCAGTTGGGACATATTGACTGTCATGACTGGATGTAGCAGGACACGAGATCGACCCAAAAACATTATTGTTCCGGCTGTATTTCAGTCCCTCAGTTAAATTTAGAAAATAAACACAGTTTTCCACTCAGACGTTTTCAAACTTTGAGCTAAAAGTGATTAAATCTTTCTAGAAATCAGATTCTCCCAGATTTGCATGATAGAGAAAGCTGTGGGTAATTTCTGATATATATATTTTTTATTATTATTTAATGGTTTTTTTTAAGGTGCTAACTTGGTGAGTGATGTTTGAAGATGCTAGGCAACTGGGACGTTGATGACGTCCAAAAGGGAACGCTGAGAGTTTCCTGAGGGACTCTGGGAGCGCCGCTCGTCTCGGCTCGGTGGATCTGGAGTTTATTTTTATCCGCCACCTGGCTCAGGTTGGAGCTACATCAACGTTGATGTGATGTCAGCGGGGACGCGGCGCAAAATGTGGAAGAACGGCATTCCCTTGGTGGAAAAACTCTGAACAGTGAACAGTTGGATAGAGTAACCAAAAATTAGACCCAAGAAAGAGCAGCACTGCTTCAACATATTTTTACCCAAGTAAAAAATAGGCGTGCAAGAAATTACAGCAAAGTAAAAAAAATTTTGGTAAAAAGTTTAAGTACTGAGTAACTTATCAAATTACCACTTAATTAATATTTAAAAATTACTTAATCAGACTGGCCAAAATGTAAAGTTAAGTGGCAGTTTTGGTGTTTTAAGGACCAAAATGGCAATAATTTTTATACGTAACAAAATCAGGAAAGAAAATTGTTTCTAAATCAGTTTCTTTAATAAAAACTTATGAAACATCAACTAAAACTGCATCTGTGTGTCTGGTGAAATTTTGGTTAAAACATGTTTTTCATTCAGTGGGTAGAAAATCCAGAAGTTTTACTCAAGTAAGAGTAGAAATACTGAAAAGTAAAAGTTCAGAATAGTAAAAATATTCCTAAAAGAAAATAATAATAAAAAGTTACTCTAGTAACTGTAACTAGCTACTGGGAACTCTGGTTTTTACAAAGAAAAAAAACATCCATCCATCAAAACAAGCTTCAGCTGAATCTATTTTTATTTTTGCTTGTTTTTTAAAGACTTAATTAGAAAAAAATCTATTTGTTTCCATATTTCAGTGACGTCAGCCATATAAGTGAGTTTTAGAACATATTTTCTGTCATTTGTAATTTTTTTTTTAAGAAACTCAGCAGAGTTTATCATACAAACTACTTCTGACTCCAAATCTAAGAACTAACGGTTGTAAACGGCATAATGGAGAAACATTGTGATGACTTCCTGAAAGAAGGATCTTAAACTGTCAGTTATAGCAACTGAATGTAACATAATTTATTAATTGTGTTATAAAATTGCACTATGTGCTTGGAAAATACATACTCCCTCTTTAAAATTGGAAATTAAATCTGGTATTAGAAAAGTCAGGTCTTATTTTTAAACCATGTAGCTCGACTAATTGTTCATTATTTTAGTTAAATGGGGATAACCAGCGGCGCCCTCTGCTGGAGAGTGGCAAAACTAAAATACAGTCTCCAAGTGGATTAATTGTGTGCATCTCTTGACCTCAGTTACATTTCTGTATTTATTCATTCTCCTGTTTCCAGGTGATTCCGGACTGGAAGGACCAGGAATGGAACGAAGAGAAGCCAGAAACGTACGCCGGGATCTTTCACTTCCAGTTCTGGCGGTTCGGTCAGTGGGTCGACGTGGTGATCGATGACCGGCTGCCGACGATGAACGGAGAGCTTGTTTACTGCCACTCCAACGACAAGAACGAGTTCTGGAGCGCGCTGGTGGAGAAAGCCTACGCCAAGTGAGCCATTGGTTATTTTTACTTCTTCTTCAATGTCTTTGTCCTCTTTCGTCTTCATCTGACTTTTCTTCTTCGTGCTTCTTTTATGACCTGAAGATCATGCTCGACCATTTTTTTTTTTTTAGCATTTACTGGATTATTTTTAATTAATCAAAAATTAATTTATTAAATTAGTCAGGGCTGCAACTGAATATTATTTTAGAAATTATTTATTCTATTCTGACAATCAAATAAATTCTGCCAATTTTTTATTTGACCATTTAAACTTTTTATACAATATTAGGAATACATTATAATATGCAAATAAACAAATAATTTAATTTATTAAAAAGGAAAATAAGCATTTTATTACCTAAAATGCAGCAACATGTTATTCCTTTGGTGAACCTTCGATCATTTGTTGCAAAGGATGCATCTGCAGCTACAAAATATATATTTCTGGTAAAATGGTTAATAATTGGATTACAAAAGGTGGTCAATAGAAGATTTTATTTACAGAATTTGGACTTGGTGAAGCTGAAACTACGCAATTTAATCAGTTGTGGGTAGACTGTTTGATTTGTTGGGCTGACCTGTGAAGACTGCAGTAACCAATGCGACTAAAGATAAACGCATGGATGAGTTTCTCTGGATCGCACTGAGACATTAATCCTCTGATCCTGGTGATGTTCTTCAGGTGATAGGTGGCCGACTTTGTGACTGTGAATGATCACAATTATTCCGATGAATCGATTCAGCCTTCCTTACATGTTGTAGTTTCTTTCCTGCTCGTGTGTTCGAGGTTGTGTGGGTGCTACGAGGTTCTGGACGGGGGAAACACCGCCGATGCCCTGGTGGATTTCACCGGCGGCGTCTCTGAACCGGTGGATTTGACGAAGGATGAGATCAAAGACGAAGACGAGAAACACACCAATCTGTTCGAAAGAGTCCTGAAGGTCCACGACAGAGGAGGCCTCATCAGCTGCTCCATCCGGGTGAGAGTCGGAGGAAACCCGGAACGTCTGAAACTATTTAGGAAACGAATCTGATAATCACTGGCTGTCTCTCCAGGCGGTTTCTGCAGAGGACATGGAGGCCAAGCTGGCCTGCGGCCTGGTGAAGGGCCACGCGTACGCGGTGACCGACGTCCGCAGGGTGAGGCTCGGCCGCGGCCTGCTGGCCTTCTTCAAGTCGGATAAACTCGGCATGATCCGCATGAGGAACCCCTGGGGCCAGAGGGAGTGGAACGGACCCTGGAGCGACAGGTAAGCAAACGCACCGTCACTCCAGACTCAGATTAGCTCAAAAATCAGTAAAAATACTGAACATTGTTTTATTTATGTCAAGATGTGAATTTAGAATCTCGTTAAAAACTGAGAGATGGTATCAGTTTGTGGATGAACGCTGCAAAAACACAAAGTCTTGCTGAGTGATTATTGTCTAGTTTCTGATGCAAATATGTAACCTTGAAATAAGACAAAACTAACAAGAAACTTTTCAGCAAGATGCAGGAGTTTGTTTTAGGTCAGTTATTTCTTGATATTGATGAAAAAACATTTGGTACATTTGTAGATCATTTAACTTAAAACAAGAAATTTTTCCCATCTTGTAAGTGAAACCAATGAGACTACAACATTTTTATCAATATCAATAAATTATTGACCTTAAACAAGCTCCTCTCTGTTGGTGAAAAGTTACTCATGAGTCAATTTTGTCTTATTCAAGTGTGTAAAGATATTTGCACCAGAAACTAGACAAAAATGACTTGGTAATATTTTATAATATTTTATATTTTATAATATTTTATGTTTTTGCAGTGCATGTTGGACCTGAAGCCCATTTTATTGGCTATTTTTGCAGAATACACCAGATTTGGACGGTTGTGTTAATCCTTGAAAGAGTTTGAATTTCATACTTTGGGAAAATACTTGATTTCTGTCTGAAGCCCTTAAAACTGCTGGATGTTCAAACTTCACAGTTTGGAAATAAACTTCAATCTAATGTTTGATTAAAGCCTGAATGAGCAAAAGGATGTTTATAGCTGAAACCAGATATTGAAAGATAAAAAAATATAAGTGCAGATTCTTTTCTCACTCTCTGAAGTTAAATCAGACTAATAGTTTATTTTTTTTACTAAAATTATTCATATTTGCTAAATGCCAAAAAATGTGACGAGATTTTTTTTGTGACTTTCTTAGACCAGTCTGGTGTGTAAAGTGAGATGTTTCAAAACATACAATTTTGTTATATTTTAGGTGCTTTGGAATAAAATAAAACATTATTAACAACAGTAATAAATGATATTCTATAATTAAAACGGAATTTTAGTTCATTTGTATTGTTTTTATTTCCCATCAAGCATATTAAATAACTGCAGCCGTTTTTACTGGACGTAGCGTCACAGATAAATATTTCGGTGTTTTTCAGCTCTGAAGAGTGGAAGCGGGTCAGTCAGAGTCAGAGGGAGCGAATGGGCCTCACTGTGCAGGATGACGGCGAGTTCTGGTGAGTTTCAGCGCAACGCCGCCCACTGCTGGCCACGCCAGGCTACAGCAGCACTGCATCGCAACACAGCTGCAGCTAACCACTGCAGCTAACCACTGCAGCTAACCACTGCAGCTAACCACTGCTTTAGTAATCGATTATTCTGACAATTAATCAGACGAAAATTTGAACACGTAAGCCCTTTTTATACAATATTAGAAATACATTAAAATATGCAAATAAAGAAACAATACAGTTTCTTTAAAAAAAAAAAAGAAAAGAAACTTTTTATTGCATAAAATGCAGCATTTCTTCCTCATTTGTAGCAAATGAATTTGAACCAGATGAAGCTAAAACTATTATTTGGATTTTTTAAAAATCTGCTAATTTTATACATTGTTAATATAACTTCAAATTAAAATATTCAAATACTTAAATTCCTATTTTAAATAAGAAAATTTATGTGTTACTGGCTAAAATGCAATAATATAGTATTCCTTTAGTGAATTTGAACCTGAAAAGGTGATTTTTTTTTTAAATGTAAAATGTCGATACATACATTTTGTACAGTTTTGGATTAGTTATTGCTCCGAATATGTTATGATTTTTATCAAATGTTCTTTTTTTAGTCTATATTAATCGATTATTAAATTAGTTATTTCAATCACAGATTCATCACAATTAATCTAATTAATTTTTCTCAGCCTTCCTTTAATGCTTTTAATTAACAGTTTACTTCAACTTAGACGCTTTCTTTCCTCTTCATCTCCTAATTTCTTCGTTTATTGTCCTCAGGATGTCGTTTGATGATTTCCTCGCTAACTTCACCGACCTCATCCTCTGCCGTCTCATCAACACATCCTATCTGACTTTATATAAGACCTGGGAGGAGGCTGTGATGCGGGGCTCTTGGCGTCGCCATGACAACCCGCTTCTCAACCGCGCCGGCGGCTGCAGCAACAATCTGTCCTTCGTTCAGAACCCGCAGGTGATCTTCGCTTTCACTCAGCGACGTGAGGCTGAAATATGACATGATTCTTTATTTTGTTTTGTTTTATTTTGATTTAATTTTTTCTTGAAATCCAATCTTTCTAACTTTTTTTTTTTATGATTTAATATTTTATGGTCGGTCATCCTACTCAATTAAGATTTTTCCCCTGAAATACAACTTTTTGAGTTTTTTTATTGCTGAAATCAATTATGTGTTTTTGCATAGTCATTCATTCAGTAATACGAGACGAAACTCATAATTCATTAATACGAGTTTCGTCTGTTTTGGGGGGGTTTATGATCATTTGTATTACTCAATTACGATACTCTTTTTGCTGGAAATATGTTTTTTTTTATACAACTGATTTTGGATTTCTTTCTAAAATCAGATCATTTATATTACTCACTGTTGAGTTTTTCCCCTGAAATCCAACTTTTTCTTCGTATTTTGTTGTTTTTATTTTGCGTAGTCATACATATAAGTTTGTTATAAGTTTGCTAGTTTCTGGTTTCTTCTGACATTTCATATTTCATGTCGTAAAAGTCCAACAAAATGCAACATGGCCGTTCAGACTGCACACACTTTGAAAACAATCACATCCAAATTAGTTCCAACAATAAAGTGGCACTGATTAGATTTTTTGGGGGGTGAAAAGATCAGAGTTGGTTCATTCAGACTTCTGTAAAAAGTCTGATTTTAGTCGTATTTACCTGCTGTCCTCTTCTGCTGTCCTCTTCTTTATTTTGTGTCGCAGTACGTGTTTGACGTGAAGAAGCCGAGAGATGAGATACTCATCTGTCTGCAGCAAAAGGACCGCAAAACCGCTCTGAGAGAAAAACGTGAAGAAAACCTGCCGATAGGCTTCGAACTCCAGAAGGTAGTAAAGAAACATCTGTAACACGAGCGCCGTGGCTGCAGCATTGGTAAAACTTCGCCTCACCTGTGGACAGGTGGAGCTGAACAGGAAGTACCGTATGCATGTCACGCAGCAGAAGGTTGGAGGAAGCATCTTCATCAACTCCAGGTCTGTGTTTCTGCGCATCATGCTGAATGAGGGCCGCTATGTCATCATCCCAACGACCTTCAACCCCGGCCTGGAGGGAGAGTTTCTGCTGCGCGTCTTCGCCGACGTTCCCACCAACTGCAAGTACGATGCAAACCCGAGTTCCTGCAACTTCTGTTCAACTTCAAAATGAAATCCAAACACAGTTCAAGAACAAATCAAACTTAATGGACCAACGATTCAGTTATTTTAACAACAAATAGCGACGACACCTTTCCATTGTTTTGTTATTCTGTCTCTTACAACTATGCAGTTATAAGTTGACAAAAGAAGAGGAAATAGCAAAAGTATTGTCAAAACTTATAATAATGAATACAATGTAAAAATGAACACAGTCGGTTTGCAGCTATTTTTAAAAAAAATCCTGAATGTATTATGCAAAATTAAAGTTTTGCATGTTTTTGTAATTCCGTTTCAGTCTCTACTGCTTCTAAAAAAACAACCTTAGCAGTTAAAAAAAAAAAAAACACCCAGTTGATTCTTGGCAACAAATTCATGTTTTTTCTGTGTGGAAAATGAGTCGTTTAAAAGAAAGAACACTAGAAATATCAAGTGAACTGCCCGTTACCTAGCAACCCCGGTGGAATTCCGCCCGTTGCCTAGCAACCCCGGTGGAATTCCGCCCGTTGCCTAGCAACCCCGGTGGAATTCCGCCCGTTGCCTAGCATTCTGCCTTATTTCCTACAGGGAGTTGACTCTCGATGAGCCGCCTCAGACCTGCTGGTCCGGATTGTGCGGTTACCCGTCTCTGGTCACGCAGGTCCATGTGCTACAAGCTAACGGACTGGCAGGACAAGACTCAGACGGAGGTATTTTCTACCATTATCTTATATTTTATTTTTTTAATTTATTGTTCATTTTAAAATTTCACATTAAAATATTGTTCTCCTCCTATGAATTCCAATCCTGATTTAGTGGGAATTTACTTCCCTATTTTTTTTCTATTTGCAAATTAAATGCGTTGTCGTAAATATTTATGGCGTCACTTATTTTATGTTCCGTATTTTTAAATTGTCATTAATGACATGAAAGTAAAAAAATTTGTTTTATTTAATCAAGATTGATTTGTAAAATCAACACCAGGTTAAAACTATATGCATGTCAGAATCATCCAGCCAAACTGAGGATATTTGTAATTTTTTTTATCAGAAAAAGCAGCAAAACACTAAAAACTTTCTCTCTCCAGCCTCAGATCCTTATGTGATCATCCGCTGCGAAGGAGAGAAAGTTCGCTCTGCGGTTTATGAAAACACCTGCAGCCCCGTCTTCAACACCAAAGGACTTTTCTACAGGAAGAAAGCCAACCAACCAATCAGCATCGAGGTTTGAGTCTCTCTCTTTTAAAACGTCTAATCCTGACCACGACGTTGACCTCCTCTCCGCTTCTCAGGTTTACAACCACAACATCTTGAAGGACGGATTCCTGGGCCGCGTGTTGGTGCCGGCCGAGCAGGGAAAGGTCCAGAAGACGCTTCACCTGAAGGAGAAAGGCGACGACAACGACCTTCCTGGCACCGTGAGCCTGGTCATAGAGACCAGCTCAGTGCTCACCAGCATCTGACACCAAAACCTTTTAGGTTTCTGTTTTTAAAATAAAATCTCTTCTGTATGAACTCAATATTTGCCAATCAAAACACCAAATAAATCCTCCGGGTTTATCACCACTTACTTAAAAATAAACTTTTATCGTTTACATGCATTAAAGTATGAATCAATATTAGGGACATGCAAAGAAAAAAGAAAAAATAGTCATAAAATCACAAGAATGAAGTCATAATTTTATGGGAAGAATGTTGTGTTCTGATATTACAACTTTATTCTTGTTTTCTTGTAACTTCTCGTATTATTACTTTATTCTCATAAGTTTACAACTTTGTATTATGAGTTTTTCATGTTAGTTTGTCTTTTTGTCGTACAAATTTATTCTTTTTTTTCTTAGCCTGTCCCTAATACTTAGTTGGATTTTTCCACACTGTGCCTTCTGCTTTTATGTTATGGTGTTTTTCTGTATATGGCACTTGGTATTATGAAGGTTTATTTCGTTTTTATTACCATTAATAGTTTAAATTGTAGAGTTAATTCATTTAAAAAACACATATTAATGAATAACTGTATGAACTTAAATTTTCGTCTGATTGTTGGTACAATCGTTTAGATAATTTATTATAAAGAACTTATTCCAGAAAGGTCAGAGGTCAGGTGTGATTTAGTTGGGTGTTTACACTCTTGCCATTAGGGGGCGCTGTGTTGCATAATGCTGTGTTTTTTGTTTTTGTTTTTTTAAACAGTGCCAACTTTTACAACCGGAGTTAATTTACAGAATCGGGTTCAACGCGCCTGTGTTTGTTTCCGGCTGGTTTACGTGTCACTGCTGCCATTTCTGTGTTTGAAATAGATTTTAAAAATTAGTTTTAACTGAAACTTTTACCTTTAAAAACAACGGACCAACAACACAACGCTTAAATCTTGAGCATGAATTGTTTCATCTTCTCTGCTTCATTTTTATTGATTTATAATGTTATATAACACCTTCTGTCTATTTGTACATGCAAGATAAATTTATTAAACTTTTCCAGTCAAAGATGTTCAAAGTGAAAGTATCTTTTTGAAAAAATGAATGTTTATATATATATATATATATATATATATATATATAAACATTCATTTTATACATTATATATATATATATATATATATATATATATATATATATACATATATATATATATATATATAATTGGAGTAAGCTGTGTAATTTGTGTTTATCAAGATGTTTTTAAAGATTTGTAATGAAACAAAATTACCTAAAGTGTTTTAGGGGAGGAAAAAAAGCAAATTTCCACCAAAAAACTTAAAATTTGCGATTAATGTTTTCTAGAATTTTTCTTTTAGGAAGTTTAAAACATTTTACGTTCTTTTTCTAGAAAAGTTCCGATTAATTTGAAACTTGAGTTTTTCTTGTAAATGTATTAATTTTTTTTACATTGTTTAGATTATCTCAAAATTTAAGTTTGTTCTTGAAATGTTTTACTTTTGGAGCTCAGAAATTTCCTTTTTTTTCTGAGAAAAATGTTTATTTTAAATATTTATATCCTGACAGTAGGGAAAATAGAAAAATGAGGGTTAATAATTTTAAAAAAGTGCTCTTTCCACTCAACTTTCTATGAACATGATAATTTAGCACTAAAATTATGGAATTTTATTACTAATAATAACAAATCTATATAAGTGTTATTGCCTGGAATTGGTTACAAAAACTTTTTTGTTTTGGCTTCATTTGTACAACATTTTGGAGGCTAAATGTTTAATAAAGTTGTATTTTAGATGAGTGCAAGTTCAGGATAAAAATTAACATCTAAACTTAGTGAGATTAATCTTTTAATATATATTTTATGTAAAAACATAAGATTGTGAGTTATTAGATTGAGAGGCAACAACTTGAACTTTTTAGGGAAAAAAACAGTGTTTCTTATAGGGGATGCTTGAGATGTTGGTTTTAATAACTTAGAAAACATTTGTTACAGCAGCACTACAGTAACAGTACAACAGAGATAAATGGAAGGAGCCGCATTCACATCCAGCGGCGCCGGTTTTAAACAAACCGGAGCACAGAGGACTGACCGGAATGATGCTGGACTGGTGAAAACAAAAAAGCCTCACATCGTGACCTCACGTCAAATAAACAGACTTTTACTGACACCGACTTCTTAAAACACTGAGTCAGATCCCAGAAAACATGCTTGCAGGTTCCACATGGATGCAAATCATCAAATTTCCTGCATCGAGGACATTGTTTAAACTCTTCCGATGAGAAGAAAACATGATTATGAGCTGTTGAATCCCAGTCAGGAGTGTTGTAACATAATCCCACAACAGCTGAACAACCACAGGAAAGTACCTGAAACAACGTTTGGTTATTTACGTAGCACTGAACCAAAACCCAATTCTGTTCAGAGTTACAAAGCTTTTTACACCACCCAGATTTTGCCATTTTTAGGTGGTTTTCTATTGTAACAAAGGCTAAACTCACATTTTAAATAATCAAATGTTCACCTTTACATTAATTAGTTTGACTTTCTCATTTTCTCAGGCACAAGCAACAGTAACAAAATCAACTTTTAAATAAAAAAAATATTAGAAAAGGCTGCAACTATTTTTATAAATCAATTTTCTTTTCATCGTGCATCAAGTGTAATTCATAAGAAAAAAGACGGATTTACTCTAAAACATTTATGCATAAACATCAAGGAAATACTTGGCATTTTAATATAGGGTAATCTCTTCTGTTTCAAGAGTAATAGATTGCGCCTGTGTTTCTCTAGCAAGTTTTTTATTTAATTATTTCAAAAATAAAGATGGCGCCGGAGGACTTCAGCTAACTGTTATTTGCACTCAAAATGGCGTAACAGATTTGTAGAAGGGGGGGAAACTTTTTAAAAACTCGATTAAAGCAAGTTGTGATCAAACGGAAAAATAGAAAAGAAGCTATCTGATGGAAACGGTTAACGGTCACGTTTCCGCTAACTCATTAGCATAAACGAAGGAGACTAAAAATAGCGCGGAAAGTTCCAGAAAGAACATGCTGAGTCATCCGTCGCTATGGTGATTCCCGCCTCTTTTTTTTTTTTTTTTTTTTTTAAAGAGCAGCAGCGCATAGAGTGGAAGCCTCAAACAAAAAGCCACGGTAAGAAAACTACAAATAAAAAACAGATATTTATGAGTATCTGAACCTGCTAGTGGCTACTTTTTAATTTTTTATTTAAGAGAGGCGGAAAATAAAAACCCTTTGAAAAAACTGTTTCTTTTTAAGTATGTTTTGGGTTTTGACAGATACGTCCCACAGCAGGAGGCACACTGAGTGAAAGCTGACAGAAAAACCAACATTTTGATGTAAAACCTGTACATATGGAGATGTTTCTGAATATTTCACAGGGTCTGAAGCCTTCACGGAAAATCAAAGGAAAAAAAAACTTGTAAAACTTCAACTACAATTACTTAAAAATAATAATAATTCAGGCAGAAAAAAAATCCAACTTCCTGTGACCTGTTTAAATGAATCTCAAATACCAGTTGACTATTTTTCCACTCCTTTACTTAAGAAAACATTACAGTCTGTAAACACTTTACAATTCACTGTTACTTGAAGTCATAGCTACAACTGTTTGTTAGGGCCAGTTGACAGAAAAAAAGGAGTAAATTGGCAAAAACACAAAAATAAATTTTAAAAATTTTCTAGAAAAAATTGTTTTCATTTTTGAAAGACAGAACATGAGAATTTTTACCTTTCTGATAACAGATTTTTTTCCTTGAAAATCTGAGCTTTTTGGGGCTTTTTCTTTTTAGCAAATTTGACTTTTTGAGCTCAGAAATTTGCCTGTTTTTTCTAAAAAAATTTGACAAATTTTCACGTTTTGACCTCTTTTCCTCTGATTCTTTAACATTTCTAAGATAAAATTTCAAATTTGTCAGTTATTATTTGCAGACTTTGGAACTAAGAAATCTCAGATTTTTTTCTGGAAAACGTCTGAAATTTATATCAACATTTCTGAATTTTTTTGGAGATTTGATTTTCATTGTTATTGTTTTTAATATTCCATCAATAATGACCCTAATATACAGTCATACGTAGCCGCTGACCATTTAAAAAAATATTTTTCAGGTTTTTCTCAGCTCTGTGGGCGGAGCAATGACCAGAGAGAAACATGCAAATATGCCAATGAGGAAGAAAAATGTCCTCCGGACAATTTGTTGCGCTGAAATGAAGGTAACAACGAATAATGTTTGTACTTCTACTTGTATACTGTATGCTAGAATAGAAGTACGTAGTGTAAGTTTTCACCCTCACTTTGTTTCATAAAAGGCAGCGTAGAAAATTACATCTGTGTGATTATTAATAACTGTTTCTAACAGCATCTCTTCCCGTTGACAGCACAACTTCTAAAACCCGTCTTAGTTCATCTCCAACATGTTAGGAGATAAATAATCAGGTTCCTTAAAGTTTTATTCCTTCCATCAGGACATGAAATGTTAAAAACCTATAAAAAGACAAGTAGCTAAGTGTTAACGTAGTGTTCAGCTCTTTCAGGCTCCAAACACAAAAAATAAAAAGTAATCATCTAATGTGTGTCTTTTTTTCTTTTTTTTCTGAGAGCAGGTTTTTTTTTTCCACGGCAGATTCTCAAAAAAAAAACAAAACAAGCAAACTGCTGAAAGCCGATCAATCTAAACTCAGCGCTCGCAGCAGCAGCATCCCTCCTCCTCACCTTCTTATATAAAATATAACACTATATTTTACAAGAAGACTAAACAGGACATCTATTATCTTACAAAGAACAGCGTACAGACAGTATGTTCAGCAAACATGGACCTCCAGGTCTACGATTTGTGAAAATAAGAAGCCGTAAACTGAAAAACACTGAATCCAAACGTTTTAAATGAAATGAAATGGATAAGGGGAGATATATTTGCTGTATAATTGAATTTTAAAGAATAAAATATAGCAATTAAACAGTGCTTTGCAAAAGTATTGACAACACTTAACTTTCTCAAGATCACTGTCACTTTAGAACCACAAACATCAATGATTTTATTGTTGTTTTCTGTGATGGATCAATGCAAAGTTAGTGTAAAAAGTGTAAAAATAGATTTTTTTTCTAGCAAATTTGCAACTTTTCATTCTGAGAAAATCTCCTGTAATTTTCTGAAAATTTACTCTTTTTAATTCTTATTATTGCTTTCATATCTTTATTTCCGCAAATGTGGTGTCAAAAGTTTATATTGGGAAAATGCGCTTCACTCTGTTTCTGGTTTCTGTCAGCGTAAACAAGGAAAAAAAGGAAAAAAGTTGAAAGACATCAGAGTCAAACTGATCTCTTAAGTTTTCAGATTATTGTTCTAACAGAAATACTAAAACAGGAATATTGATAATAAAGTCATAGAATGAGAAAATAAAGTCAATATTTTGAGTCGTAATATTACTTTTTATAAATATAAAATAAAACAGTAGTACATAGATAAAGTTGTATAAGATCAAAGTGGAAATAATAGAAGAATAAAATTGTAATGAGGAAAAAAACAATATTACAACTTTACTGTTGTAATTTTTCAATTTTCTTAGCTTCGCCCTAGAAATCCATCATACAATTACAACATATTCACTAGAAACACAACTTTATGTCAAAAAGTTGTAAATTTTCAAGAAAAAAAAAAAAAATTATTTCGATTAGAAGGTATAAATTTATATTTATTAATCTGGGATATTCTCTGATATGATAAAGTGAAATATTTGGTAAAAGGAGTTCTGATCCAGAAAAAAAAAAACACAAATCAGCAACTTGAGACTTTAAAAAATATAAATTCACCACTTCATTCTGGCATTTTTTTCTATCTTAAATATCATACTGTCAGATAATATCATAATCTCAATATCTCCCATTTAAGTCATTAACTTATTTTAAAAAGTAGTAATATTATAGCCAGATATTTTTAATTTTAATTTATAAACATGCTAAATTAATGTGAAAATTCCTGGAAATGTACTCCTGACCCAAATAACTGTGACTGTATAGAAATATGGAACAAATGTTTTTTCTGGATAAACAGATTAAGAAGTTCAATTGCTAATGCTACTGCTAAAGCATCCCGACTCTCACTCCATTTTTCTTTTCACACAACAGAGAGTTTAATCGCTTTGTCATCCATTGTAGTTAGCCTAATTGCTAACTAGACTGTAAAAACCCTAAAATGTTAGCCAATATTTTTGGTCAAGTTTCTAATGCAAATATCTTCACTTAAAATAAGACAAAACTAAGTTACAAGTAACTTTTCTGCAAGATAAAGGAGCTTGATTAAAATCAATAATTTGTCAATAGTGATGAAAACGTACAAGCAGATTATTGCACTTGTAACAAAACATTTTTATAAGTTATACGAGAAATATAATTCAGAAATTATTTACTTAAAATAACTTCCATTGTTTTGCAGAAAAGTGACTTATAATTCAGCCATGTTTTACTTTATGTGAACTAAGATATGTGCACTAGAAACTAGATTGAAATTACTTGCTAAGATTTTGTGTTTTTGCAGTGAAAAATGTGTCTTTCAAATGTGTTGCCTAATGCAAAGGCATGACACACTTTTCAGATTTTTGTTCTGGAGAAAATGCTGGTCTATCACAGGAAAAAAAAATCTCACTGATGTTTGTGGCAAACGTGACAAAACGTGAAAAAGTGAAAGAGGTACAAATACAAAAAAACAAGGTGGGCGTAAAATAATAAAAAATACATAAAACAGTAGTTCTCATTACTTTAAATCTACTATATATATACATTTTTAAACTTAGCCAATAAAATACCAAATCCTAATAATTAAACACAATTTCCTATAAGCTTTTTGGGGGGTTTTTTCTCCTCTTTTCAGTTTTATTTTGGAGGATTTTGGTCGTCACCTCACTGTAAAGAGTTCGGTCCGACGCCAGCTGGAGAGTTCTGCTACGATGAACCGACTCCGGGTTTTCCGCTCCGCCGGGTGGGCGCGCTGCTGCGGCGCCGTCCCGATCCGTTTGTGGAGGTCGGAGGCGTTTGGGATTGTAGCGCTCCACCACAGAAGAAGAATGAGAAGCAGAGAAGTGATGGAGGTTGAGAGGAAAATAAAAACATTGGAGATTTATTTACAGACGGCCATCATGACCGCGGGCTGTTCTGGGCAGAGTTCAAGGAGTCCGACTGGCCTTCATCATCATCCTCCTCTTCCTCCTCGTCTTCGGCGGGATGCGTGGGGCCGTTGTGTCTCTCCCGTCTCTCAGCGTCTCTGGAGGTCTGGTGTCTGTTTGACGGAGACAGGCTCCGCCCCTTTTCCTGAGCGCCGCCATCGCTTTTGTGCTCCGACTTCTTCCTCTTCTGTCCTTCGTCTTCGTCGTCCGAATCGACGCGTCTCTCATCGGAGTCGTCGTCGGAGTCGATGCGGTTGAGTCTCTTGCGGATCGGCCGGTCGTCTCCCGATGAAGACTGGGAATCGTCCGAGTCGGACTCGTCTTCGTCGGTGGACGGCCGGCGTTTCTTCAGCATCTGAGCGAGGAGTTTGCGGCGCTGCTGCGAAAGCATCTCCCTCCTCTTCCCCCGGCCCATCCGCTCCGGATCCTCTTCGTCTCTCTCCGTCCTCCTCCTCCCATCATCATCATCATCCTCTCTCCTCAGCTGCCTCCTCTTCAGCCGCCGCCCTCCTTCCTCGTCCTCCTCATCCTCGTATCTTTTCCGCTTCTTTCTCGTCCTGCTGCTCCGGAGCTCCTCCTCCTCCACTCTTCTTCTTCTCTTGTCGACTCTCCGCCGGCCATCTTCCTCCTCATCAACATTGTCGTCGTCATCGTCCTCAGAATCTCTCGAGGAAGCGGAAACTGAAAACAGAAAATATGAAAATGAAAGAAGCAAAGTTATTCTAGTGAACTAAAACAAAATAAAAACTGAAAACATTTTTGATAAATAAATGAAAAAGGTAATTAAAGGGAAACATGAGCACAGCACAGAAGGGTATCGGTGTAAATACCAGAGGAGCCAAACACCAACTCCTCGTAGACCGCACAGTTGCCCGAGACTGCAAAACCCGACACACCAACCTGTGCATGGCTTGGATCGATTGCAAGAAAGCCTATGACTCAATGCCGCATACTTGGATCAATGAATGCCTAGAGTATAACATCAACAGGATTCTGAGAGCCTTCAATGCAAACTCGATGAAGCTGTGGAAAACCACCCTTGAAGCCAACTGCAAACCACTTGCACAAGTGTCCATCAAATGTGGCATATACCAAGGAGATGCTCTGTCCCCGCTACTGTTCTGCATAGGCCTGAACCCCTCAGCCAAATCATCAACAAGACTGGCTACGGATACCGACTCAAAAATGGGGCCAACATCAGTCACCTGCTCTACATGGATGACATCAAGCTGTACGCCAAGAGTGAGCGAGACATCGACTCACTGATCCACACCACCAGGATCTACAGCACTGACATTGGGATGTCATTCGGACTAGAGAAGTGTGGTCGGCTGATCACAAAGAGGGGAAGGTGATCCACACAGAAGGGGTCTCACTCCCACAAGGAACAATAGCAGACATAGAGGACAGTTACAAGTACCTAGGTATACCACAAGCAAATGGCAACCTCGATGAGGTCACAAGGAAAGGAGCCACAGCTAAATACCTCCAACGAATAAGGCAAGTCCTGAGAAGCCAGCTCAATGGCAAGAACAAATCAGTGCGATAAACAGCTATGCCCTGCCAGTAATCAGATACCCTGCTGGAATAATTAGCTGGCCAAAGGAGGAGATAAAAGCCACAGATATTAAGACTAGAAAGCTACTAACCATGCATGGAGGGTTCCATCCCAAATCCAGCACCCTGAGACTGTACACGAGCCGCAAGGAAGGAGGCAGAGGACTAGTGAGTGTGAGAACCACTGTCCAGGACGAAACAACTAAGATCCATAAATACATCAGGGACAAAGCCTCAACAGACAATGTGCTCAGCGAATGTCTCAGACAACAGGGAACGGAGGTTGAGGTGCCAGAGATACCATCATGGGAGGACAAGCCCCTACATGGGATGTACCACCAGCAAATAACCCAAGTGGCTGATATCAGTAAATCCTACCAATGGCTGGAAAAAGCTGGACTCAAGGACAGCACAGAGGCCCTCATCCTGGCCGCCCAGGAACAGGCCCTAAACACCAGCAATAGAGGCCCAGATCTACCACACCAGACAAGACCCAAGGTGTAGGTTATGCAAGGAGGCCCCTGAGACAGTCCAGCACATCACAGCAGGGTGCAAGATACTGGCAGGGAAAGCGTACATGGAGCGACATAACCAAGTGGCAGGCATAGTGTACAGAAACATCTGTGCAGAATATGGACTGGAAACCCCGAGATCAAAGTGGGAAACACCCCCAAAGGTGGTGGAGAACGCCAGAGCTAAGATCCTGTGGGACTTCTAGATCCAGACAGACAGAATGGTAATGGCGAACCAACCAGACATTGTCGTAGTGGATAAACAACAGAGGAAAGCCGTTGTGGTAGATGTAGCAATACCAAGTGATTGCAACATCAGGAAAAAGGAGCACGAGAAACTGGAGAAATACCAGGGCCTCAGGGAAGAACTGGAGAGGGCCTGGAAGGTGAAGACCACAGTGGTGCCTGTGGTCATCTGGGCCCTCGGGCAGTAACCCCCAAACTGGAGCAGTGGCTACAACAGATCCCAGGAACAACATCAGACATCTCAGTCCAGAAATGTGCAGTCCTTGGCACAGCCAAGATACTGTAGGACCCTCAAGCTCCCAGGCCTCTGGTAGAGGACCCGAGCTCAGAGGATAAGAACCACCCGCGGTGGGTGAGAAGGGAATTTTTATATATATATATATATATATACACTATATTTACCCAAACACTAATAAAACCTAAACTGAAACTAAACCATTTTTGATTAATAATAACTAATGAAAACAATCAAATACACTCTTTAAACCCTAAACTAAATGAATTACACAAACAAAAAGTCAAAACTAAACTGTAATGAAAACAGAAGAACTGAGAAGCGTCGCCAACCGTCGCTGTAGTCGCTGGAGAAATGCTCCTTTCGCGGTCGGCCGCGCCGTTTCACCGGCTGCCTTTTTGTCGACGTCCTGGAGTTGTCGGACGACTCCGATGTTTCGCGGTAGTTCACCTGCTGGCGCTGGCCCCGCCTCAGGCCCCGCCTCTTCCTGTCTGCGTCGCTGTCCGTCATGTCGCTGAACCGATCCGAATCTGTTGAGCAAAAAGCACAAAATAGACGATAAAGTTCAAGACGGGAAACATTCAGGATTCTGGGATTTGTTTTAACCTCAATATGGGTTCTGGATCATTGGTTCTGCCGGGGCTGTAATACATTTTAAAAGTTTCTTTGTTTACTTACTGCATGGAATAAATCCTGAATTAAACTTCCACAACAAAATGACAAGTATCAATAATATTTATACATATTTTTAATCATAATCAAATTGAAAACTGTATTTTTTGTTGTTGTTTGCATCATTTTATTTTCTAATTTCTGCAAATGTTTTGTTAAAACTGTTAAAAATCTTTTTTAATCGAATGAATCTTATTATTCGGATTAATCATTTTAACCTTAATAATTTCTTATGATGAGAACAAATCAATGTTCTCAAAGTTTAATTTCTAAACTTATGCTGATTCATTATTTTAAAGCTTCTTTATGCATCTTTAACAAGACGGCTAATGATAGAAACTAAATTAAAAAGAAAAAGAAGTGATGGCACCCACCCATCTCTACATCCGTCTCTTCCTCCTCCTCGCTGGACCGCCTCCGCCGCCGTTTCCTGCCCCGGCGTTGGGGCCTCCTGGGTTTGAATTTAGGCGTCCCTCTCGCGCCCCGTTTGGGACGCGCCCCTCTGTCCCAGCTGCCGCCGTCGCTGCCTGCGTCTTCCTCGTCCTCCTCACCGTCGTCGGCACCCGAAGCGGCGAATTCTTCTTCCTCCGAGCTGCAGGATGAGAATCAGAAGGAATCAGACAAACGTCAGCGAGGAGGAGGAGGGATAAAACCGTGATTGCGACCTGTTGCTGAGCATAAACTCTTCTTCGCTCTCTATCGCCGTGCTGTCGCTCTCCAGGTCGTTCAGCCGCCGTCTCTTTTTGTTCCTGACGGTGCGGCTCTGGGTTCTGATTGGCCGCTGGTTCTCCTTCACGCCCTCGGACAGAACGGAGGGGATCTCTTTCCCCGTTTCTGCTCCTGAAACCCAGTAAAAGTTAAAATAAAGAAACTCAAAGTTTAGCTATATTAAGAACTCAGTCACAATACAACCACAAACCTGAAGTATTTCATTGGCATTTTATATTAAGGACCAACACAGAGTCACATCATTAGGAAAGATGACCCATTATGGTTCCTTCAGCAGGTCAGCATGTGGCTGTGGTCTACACAAAACTGTTTTTGCAAAAATAATTTATTCTTTATTGTTCATTCTGCTCATTTCTGCCTATTCTATTGTTTTTGGACCTCATTTAAATCCAAATAAGCCGCCACTGGCGAAGCCCCCAACTCAATGTTTCCACTTACATGTGAAAACAGATGCTCAATTATACAACCTTACATCTTTGAAAAGCAGAAGTGGAGCCTCCTGCACAACCATCCTCTTATTCATCAGGTATAATAAGTTAGTCAGTCAGAGTCTATGGGTACGACGGAGTATTAGAAAATCTAAATAATTTTGAATAGAATATACTTTATTGATCCTCAAGGGAAAATTGCTTGTTGGGGAAATGATCCGCCATCAACTCTTAACTACAAAAATAAATTTTATGAATATTCTCGTAATTTGTAAAACTCTATTCTTGTAATTTTATGACGTTATTCTCATCACATTTCGACTTTTTTCTTGTATCATTACAACTTTTCTTCCACAATATTACGACTTTATTCCCGTAATTTTACTTTTTAATTCTTTCATACAATGGCTCTAATTGACGGGAATGATTGAGGTAAAATAGAACAAATGCTGCAGAAAAAAAACTTGAGACTAGGGCTCACATTCTAGCAGGACAGCAGAGTTCGAATGGCCTAGTCAAAGTTCAGACCCAAGGTTTGTGGTTATGTTGTGACAAAGGGTGTCTAAGTACTAAATAATGCTCAGATATTGGGTTCTCACCACTGCAGAGATCCCTGATATCCTCCTCTATGGCCTCATCAATGGCGTCATCGAAATCATCAAACCTGCACCAGAACCAGAGTTTAACCTTCCGTCGTTACGGGTCACAGAAAGCAAAACGAACCTGCCCCCACCTGTAGCTGATGTGTTTCCTGGTCCTGGTTGATCTCCTCCCCAGGTTTTTGGTCTTTTTTGGATCTTTTTTCTTGGTAGATTTCTCTTCCTCCTCCTCCTCCTCCTCTTCCTCCTCTTCCACATCTCCCTCCTAAGAAACAAAACAAACGACTGCAAACAAAATCCTCTTCAGAAAAATCCTCTCAATGTGTCGGAGTGCAGAGGTAGAACCCGACAGTGACACAAAACCTTACCAAGTATTTCTGGTCAAGTTTCTAATGCAAATATTGTCGCAAGATGAAACTAACTTAAAAGTTCAACTTTAAACAAAACAATTTAAAGTAAAAGTGGGCGTGGCTGGGTTTGCTAGGCAACAGAGCAGTGGAATATTAATACTTTCCATTAATATTAAGGAATTATTGACTGAAAACAAGCTCCAATGTCTTGCTGAAAAGTTACTTTTAAGTTAGTTTGTCTTATTTCACGTGTAATGAAATATTTGCACAAGAACTGCACAAGAAATACTTGGTGAGATTTTTGCAGTGTACAGATTTAACGTGGCAGAACCGGACTTACAGGAATGATGTTCTCCACACTGATGCCGACGTAAACCAGCCGTTCCCTCCTGGAGCGAAGGAAAACGTTAAGAATTGATTTTTTTTCTCAACGGTGTTCAAACTTTTTGCACAAAAGACCAAAATCTTTGTATTTTTCTGCAGTAAAAAATGCAAAAATATATATTTTTTATCTCAATTATTTCCATTTTTCAAATTTATATAACACACTACACAAATGTAACATTAGAAACAAAATAATACACAGTGCTAAATATTTTTTTTCAGCAAGTTGTTTTCTTTTTACTTGCTCAGGAACAAATAAACATGCATTTTAATTTAAAAAGTCTGAAGAAGCGTCTCAAAGTTGAACAGTTTCATAACTTGTTGGTCAAGAAATCAATTAATTTTATTCCAGCAACAAAAGCGAGAATTGAATGAACTGTATTTAGCCCATTTTAATTGTTGGGTGTAATAAAGTTTGGTTTTGGGTAAAAAGTTGGAGAGCTGTGGCTCTGCTCATTTTGATAATAAAAGTGAAAGCAGAAAAGTGGAAAATACATGTTTTGTGCCTAAAATGAATGATCTAAGATATACATTTGTTATTGAAAATATGCACACAAAAAAAAAACATGTCTGGATCAGCTCCATTTGATGGAGTAAATAATTCATAAACTACATCCAAGTGCCACACTAAACTTTTCCTTCAGTGCAATTTACAAATAAATAAAGATGCTAAAAAACGATCATATTTTGTTGGTTTACCGCCGCTCTGCGCGTTCTTTCTTCTTCAGAGCGCTGTCCAGGTTCTGCAGCTGCTCCTCCAGTTTCTCACACAGCATCTTCTACAAGAACAATACAGACAGATACAAACAGATCAATTCATCCGATCTCCTGAGTCCAATTTTTTTGATTTCATGATAAACCCCCAGAACAGAACCAGCCTTTTTAAATGGGAAATATTGTGTTTTCCAGGCACATTGTTCCATTTCTGTGGGACAATATTAATTAGTAATTATGTTACCTTCAGTTGTTATTAAAATGCTGTATATCAAACATGACTTACACTTAAAATAAAAAGAAATTTGACCCCGTAATAGATTAAACAAAATAATATAAATGAATCACAAAATTTGTATGAGATTATAATTTTTCTGACTGATCAGAACCGTAAACATATAAATAAAATTTGTAAATATTTCCAGCTCACATGTTGGCAAGGTGGACAGAACCATTCTCCATCTGGGATCAGCATGAGCGGCGGCCGCAGACAGGCGGTGTGGTATCCTCGATCGCACGAGTCACACAGCAGGATCTGAGCAAAAAACACACAAATGCATGGAGAAATGCACTGGAATAACACACACTGATGAGAAAACTCAACACAAAACCTGCAGATCGCACCAACAGGAAAGTTTCTCATAATTTAAAAACAAATGTTTTGATTTTTTTGACTCAGGAGTTTCTGCTCGTGTTATGCGAATGGGAAGTCTTAACCTGTAACAGCGTCTTCACTGTAAAACGGTCCAACTTGAAAATAAAAATTCACCTGCTGCCTTTAAAAAGCAAGACAATTAAATAATTTTAACTCAGAAATGAAAGTTCACCAAGTCGATTTAGCAACAAGAAGAGGTCTTAAGATTTTTCTTTCAGTTCTAAAAACTCATAAATGTGAGTTGTTATAAAGTTAAAACTGGAATTTAAACCAAATATTTCTCAACATTGTGGAAGTTAAAACAACTATTTTAAGATAGAAGATGCTGGACGATAAATTGTCCAAGAAGTTATTGCAATAAATGATAATATTGTTATTTTGAGACCATTTTCAAGATATATAGTCATGACATCATAAGGCAAGAACACATTCGCTATGATCAATAAACGATCATTTCTAACAGACATTTAAATATCCAAAATAAATAAACAAAACAACAGAAAAAACAAATAAAGTGAATTGTAATATCTCTGGACACAAAATTGTCCTTAAAAAAAGACACCAGACTGAAAACTTTATCATCCAGTCTTTGATAGAAAAACAATAAATAATTCAAATAAAAATTATTGAACTTGTTTTAATTTATCATGTGATTTAATGATTTATTGTTTACTGTGACAGGCCTACCCTAAAATAAACATTTGGCCTAATAACTCTGAGGAGATTAGTCCCATTGATTAACTAATTTTAATCTAATAAATCATTAATCAGGAATTAATTGTAAGTCGATTTCTTATTTCCCGAGAAGAAAAACGTGTGAGTTTGTACCAGTTCGGGGTGGTTGGGCAGGCCACAGTGAGTGCAGGCATCCTCAGTGGGAATCTCCTCAGATTTACTCAACTCCTCTTCTGAGCCACCTCCTTCGTTCTCCTCCTCTCCTCGTTTCTTCCACCCGCCTTCCTCGTCTTCCTCCTCCTCATTTGGTTTGTGTCTCTTGGGGCGAACATTGGTCCACCGTGGTCGCCCGTGCCTTCGTTTACCCTGTAAAGACGCAACAGACACATGAATAAAAAGCAACAATTAAATGATGGGTCCATTTTTAACGTTAGCAATAGCTGGTGCCAATTCAGCAACTTTCTTGCTATATTGAGCAAAATTTCAGAGGAAAAAATATTGGTATCGGCCAAAATCAGAATCGGAAGGTAAGCAGGTATCGGCCAGAAAACTGCAATCGGTACATTATTAGCACAGCTACGATTCTTATTTAGCAAATTAGTGGTTAGTGAACTTAACTGTTTCCCCACTATTGGCAATAACTACTGCAAAATTTAGTGCAAACATACATTCTCCATTACAAGCATGGCAGCCATTTTGAAAAATGCCCACCAGAGCAAAGAAAACCAAAAGGTATCCAAAAGATTGGTACATTTAATTTTCTTCTGCAATAGAGGGGTTACCCTTCGCTTGCTAAATTTTCCAGTGGGTTCGTGTTTTTGGTTCTTTGTCGAAGGTGAGCTGTGCTCCTCATCGTCCTCTTCCTCATCCGCCTCTTCTTCATCCCTCGTTCTGGCAGGCGCCGTCTGTTTCTTTTGCGGCTTCTTTCTCTGGCTCTCTGCCGCCTTCGAACTTGGCCTGCAGTTTGGCAAAGCAGATGATCTTCAAGAAAAAAGGTGCATATATGAGGGATGTTTAGTGACAACCAGCAGGAGATTTTGACTTCTTCGTGATTTTATCCTACCTGCAGATCCTTGCAGATCTCCTCAGCGGCCTCCCTTCCTTCTGCCCCTCTCGGGTTTTCATCTCCTCCTTTCCTTCTTTTCTCCGTAACTTGTTTCTCCGGTGCGGTGGAATCTTGATCTTCAGGCGGATTCCTTCTTTCTGGAGTTCGGAAGACGCTTCTTCCAGTGGAACCCTCTTCTGTTCCGAAACAAACCCGATCTTCTTAAGTTTGACGACGCTGACCAGCCCGCCATTCACCCCTTGTTCCTGCTGGATTATCTTATTCAGCTTTTCTGCTTTTTGAGGTTCAGAGTCTCCTTTTCCAGACGCTCCTGAGATTAATGCTGAAATGATTAATCAAATGAATTGTGATTAATTGATTATAGAAATAATCGTCAACTCATTTAGTAATCAATTAATCGCTAATTGGAGCATAGAGACACAAAAAGAGCCATTTGCTAAAAAAACCAACATATTCAGAGCAGTAATTAAACCACAACTTATCTATGTTGCATTTAAATAAAACACATTACTATGTAGTATAGTTTCAGCTTCATTTGGTGTAATTCAATAAAGAAAAGCTATATTATGGTATTTTTGGCAATAAAATGTTTACATTTTATTTAAAAAGAGGAATTTAATTACTTGTTTATTTCAGTGGTGCAAAAACTTTTTGCAAAATGAGTCAGAATCACAAAGTTTAAAATATTCAGGAGTCATGTTGTTTTTCTAACCTGAAACTTATAATTTTTTTATTTTTATTTTCACTTGCTCAGCAATAAATTACACATGAAATATTTTAACTTTGATAAAAAATATATATTTTACATTCTTGTTGAAAGTGTCACTTGTTGAAAATGTTGTGATAGTATGTAGCCTGACATGTAAAATCACGTCAATAAGTGAATAATTTGTTTTGTTTTTCTTTTCCTGTTTTAACTTTTTGTCAGTTTGAAATAAATAAATAATCGTTAGCTGTAGCCCTACCTGAGTTTATTCCAGGTTCCTCTTTGACTTTTCGGTTTTCCTCCTGTTGGCCGATTTGGTCAGCCAGGTCCATTTTCTCTGGCGTCTTGTTGTTCTGATTTACCGTCATCTGAGACGAGAAACCAACAGTTTCTCCTTTTCTCTCTGTAAGATCCGGCTTCTGGTTTGTTAGCGGTGGGACTGGATGAGCAGGAAGTGTGGCGGCGGCGGTGGCGTCTTGCTCAGGTGGCCCCTTCCTAACCAGAACTGACTGCCGGCTCACTTCCTCTCCAGCCTTCACGCCACTTGGTTCCGACTTCGGCCCGTTTTCCTCCGGAGCTCTGTGGAGCTCAGATGGGCTGCGGATGACGCCGACGTGACCGATGACTCCGACCTGGCCGATGACGCCGTTATGCCCGTCTCTGGGAGGCGGGTGAGGCGCTCTCCCATTGGTCAGCTCCTGAATGGAGGGGATGACTTGCTGCAGACAGGACGCTGGGCTTCCTTGCAGTTCTAACGAGTTGATCGGCTTCCCGTCTCTCCCCCGACAGTCCTTGCTGTTGATCACAGAGGGGTTGCAGACGATGATGCTGCTGCTGCTGGCGTTGTTCAGGTGGTTGGTCTGGAAGCATCCAGCCAGCTTCAGGTCCCTCTTCTTCAGTGGTATTTTCGCCTGCTGGTTGCTCCGGACGGCGGCCCTCTCCGCTTCATCTTCCTTATTCAGCTTCATTAGAGCGGCGCTGGGCGCGATGAGGACGGACACGGCGTTTTTAGGTCCGTCTGCATCTCTGGGCTCAGATTTGACGGCGGTGATGGTGCTGACGCGGTTATCGAAGGCAGCCGTCTTCTCCTCCGTCTTGGGTTCAGTGTTTTCCTGCTTTACCTCTTCTTCCTTTACTACTGCAGAACAGTAAACAGGAGTGAACTGTCACTCACAGAGAAACATCTCGACACTGTGCCTTGAGAAAGTATTCACATCATTTAAGTTTTTCAAAATTGACCAAGTTACTGTATTTCAACCTGTGAACACATAAAAGAGGCATTAAGCTGAACTGAAAATTCAATTAAGGAGCATATTAGTCTGACTATTAGAGTTCTTTAGATAGTATAATGTTGTGGGGATGCTGTTAGCTAATTGGAATATTTTGAATAAATGAAGCAAAATTAAGTAAAATTCTGTCTCTTCATCTTGCTAATGACACCTTCTATATGGTAAGACATGGTAGTGGCAGCATAATGCTGTGGGGAACATTTTTTTAAAGCTGAAAATAAAAGCCTATTAGATTTCTTTCTTTACGTGGAGCGAAATTATGCTAAATGCTGCCTCTACATCCTCCTAATGACACAATAATAAGACATGGTGGTGCCAGTGTCATGCTGCGGGAATGCCTTTTCAGTCAAGAAACTAGAAGCTAATTAGATTCATTTTGGTGGAAGAATTTTGTTCTTTAGATAGATGGAGTTAAATTATGCAAAATACTGTCTCTACATTTAGTGTTACTGACTCTAAATTTACAGTTAAAATGTGATTTTTGACAAGACAACCCAATGTTATTCATAAGCAATAAAAATTAAAAGCTCACTTTGCATCTTTTCTGTCACTGGGTTGGTCGTCTTGTTGTCATTTTCTTCCTCTGAAGCTTTGGGGACTTTGACGCTGTTGATTCCATCGTCTTCATTTGCTGTGGATCCCAAACCAGAAAATACAAAATTACATAACCTGAATCCGATTTAAGACATTTTAATACAATCTAGTAAAATTAATCAGGTGATTAATTAATCACCGACTAATTTATTAAACTGATTAATCATTAACTGAAATATACACTCAAAAAAAGAGCATTTCCCTTTTTGCAGCCAAAACTGTACAAAAATATTTACATTTAAGATTACCATAAAAAGCTAAATTCATTTGTCTGTAAATATATGGCATAAAGCTAAATCTTTTATTGAGCATCTTTTGTTAGCCAATTAATTGATAAACTGAAAAATATTGTCAACCGATCATCTCTACACTGTGTTGATGTTAAGTCAAAGAGTTTTTCATATTGTTCATCTACAGGTGCATCTTTTGATACAAATGATCACAAACAAAAACGCTGCTGTTGCAGACAACTCTTTTTCTTATTTTAGAGTTGAATTACTTGTTAATTTGCCTTTTTAATATTGTATAAAATAGGATTAAGTGGTTAAAAATCTTGTGAATGTGACAGTTTTTTTAAAATCCAATTAATCAAGAGAATAATCAATAAAATGCTTGATTAGTGAAATAATTGTTAGTTGGTGCCCTAATATAATGAGTGTTTATCAATTTGAACTGTAATCCAATTTACTTTTTTTGATAGATGATTAAACATAACAGCTAAACTATTAAACTGTTTACTTACAATTAAACGACATTTTTATAGCATTTTTTCCACTTTTTATGTGAAACTTTAAATAACAGAGACACTGTCTGGATAGTTACTCTCTGATTTCCCCATGTCTCTTTCTGCAGGGCTGGCGCTCCTGGATCCAGGATGGTTCTGGTTTTGGTCCTGATCCTGACTCCTATCGGACTCAATCTGAGCCTTCAGCAGCTCCAGAGCTTCGGCCAGGTCGTTCCGGGTCCGGACGATGCACTTCCAGGTGGATCCGTCCAGATCGTCCTGCTCCTCCGTGTAGAGCCGGATGTTTTGCTCCTGGTCCAGCTGGAGCCAGTACATCAGTCCCTGCTGGTCCCGACCGACGGGCTGCAGACGCATCTTCTCGGGGTCCTCGTCGTTGACCACCATCTTGAACTTCAGGTTGTCGTCAAACTGACACTCACACAGATACTAAGGAATGAAATGCAGGTTACAGTAAATATTTAACTGCATATACTTGAGACTTGAAAGAAGGACTTAAAAGATTAATTGTGATCAATTGACTTTTCAAATACTCAATTAATTTAGTAAATGCTTAATCATTAACAGAAGGGTACAATCAAAAGAAAGCAATTTGCAGAAAAAACACCCAGATATTAAACCAAAACTGCACAAACAATAAGTTAATTTTGCAATTAAGATGAAAAAAATATGTTCGACCCAGAAATCCTCTCGTAGTTTTAGCTTAACTTGGTTCAAATTCTGTAAAAAAATAATAAAATCTCCTTTTTTATGCAATTACTAATCAGATAATCTAAAAAATAATCAACACTGTATTGATGTTTAGTTTTCACATTTTTTTTCACAGCAGAGGTATACTCTGCAGCAAATGATTAATCATTTACTAAAAATGCTACATTATTGCATTTTAGGCTATAAAACACTGATTTTCTTATTTAAGAAACAAATTGAGTTGTTTATTTTAATCTTTTAATGCATAAAAAATTAAAATAAAGGATCTAAATGAAAAATCAGCAGAATGTGGCAATTTGTTCTAGCCGATTAATCGATTAATTATCAAGATAATTGACTGATTACCGTACTTTCCAGACTGCAGAGCGCACCTTACTGTTAGCTGTACCTAAATTTTAAAAAACCCAAACAAACCCTCAAACATCCATATGTAACCTGCACCAGGCTATAAGCCGCATGGTGCAAAGGTGGGGAAAAAGTAGCGATTTATAGTCCGAAAAATACGATAATCGATAACTAATATAATCTACTTTAAATGACTTTTAAAACATATCACCTTGAGGATGCTTGACTTGCACTCCATCGACATCTCCTGGTAACCATTCTGCTCCAGCTCCCAGGCCCAGGTGTTGTTCAGCTCCTGGCAAACCTAAACAACACAACAACATGTTAGTCGTGTCTGAACTGAATCACAAAATCTCACCAAGTATTTTAGTCTACTTTATAGTGTAAATAAATATCTCGATCCTCTTGAAATAAGACAAATTACAAGTAGCTTTTCAGGAAGATACAGGAACTTCTTTAAAGTGAGCAATTCCTCAATATTAATAAAAAGTAGAGCTGAGGCAATTAATCGGATTGAACGTGATTAATCGGTTATTGAAATAATTGTCAACTAATTTAGTAATAAATTAATAGTTAACTGAAGTAAATAGACTGAAAAAGGCATTTTCTCTGAACATTTTCAGAGCAGTAATTAGACCAGAACTATTAAAAAATATATATATTTTCCATTTAAGAAAAACAAAAACTTCTTTGAATATATTTTTTACCCAAAACTCCTCAAAAGGCAGAATTTTAATTTCACCTCGTTCAAATTCTGTAAAAAATAAAGATATCTCCTATCTCACCTTTTCCAATCCACTCATTAATAAGATCATCCAAAAAACTGCATTGATGTTAAGTCAAGCAGAAAGAGTTCTTCACATGTTGCTGCAGTTGCAACTTTTGCTCCAAATGGTCAAGCATTCACTAAACAAATGCTGTTATTGTATTTCAGGCAATAGTATATTTATTAACTCGTTTTATAAATAAATTGTTTGCTTGTCATTTTAAGTTTAAGTTTTTATCTGATTAATCGCCAGAATATTTGATTACTAAAATAATTGTGAGTTGCACTCCTGATACAAAGTACATCTTGTTTTCTATGTGTTTTATCTGGTTTTGAGAAGAGTATTTTTTGCAGTGATTCCCACACAGTTAACACAAACTGTCTGGTGACATCAAAAAACAAGAGTTAAATGAAAACACATGCTCGATCTTCCCACCTTAGCCAGGTATTTTTCCCAGCGGTCTGTGGTCACGGACCTCCCCAGCTTTCTGAGCAGCTTCACATGGAGTTCCACCAACGGCTTGGGAACTGCAAAGCAAACACAAGAAAAGAAACTGTTTAAAATCTACTGAATATGAAAAAACGTCTGCTAAGAGCAAATAAAACTTTTTTTTTCTTTTTCTGAATGAATATTACAAAATATAAGGATAGGATTTGAGGCAAGTATAAGTTAAAATAGAGTTGTTTCTTTCCACTGTTACCAAAAACTTGCACAGAACCAGAGATTGCTGAAAACTCTGCGTCTCCAAGCTGTTGCTTTGGTGTTATAAGTTAGATCTTAAAGCAATTGACAGAATTTGATTGCAATGATTTATAACTAGTCAAATTGTAAAGAACGCAATCTAAATTTTTATATTTTCATGAGACTGAATTCATCTACCTTCATATTTCTGTATTTTAATTCAATTTGATTGTCTTGAAAAGATCATATTTATTGTTGTTTGGCACTAGATTAATAAAATGATTTGATGTGGAAACCACTTATCACTTTAGAGTTAGTAAGCTTTAAGTGGCTTCTCTTTAACGAGACAAACTGCAGACAATCCTGAGCAGATACCAGACTAACTAACCAGATATTAATCAGTTTGCTATATTTCTACTAGTTAATAAACACCTGAGGATTACTTTTAACAATGAAACTACTATAAAACATGAATATAAACAGAATAAATCAGTTTACACTTTCTTCTACGTTTCAATAATGGAATTTTTCAGCATGTGTTTTAAATGCCATTAAGCCATGTTATTTTAACTCAAGGTTATCAAAATCCTAGATTAATGTGTTGCTCCGTGTCTACTGCTACATCTAACAAGGACAGGATTTGTTACTTTATATCCAATGTTTTCAAGAAACTCCACTGGTACTTTACCTGCTTTCAATTGCACTCAAAATGATTTTAGGGTTCGTAAGCAAGTTTTGACAACTTATATTACTCAAAATAATTGTGATTTAGAGATAAAATGCCTTAACAAAAGAATGGAGGATTTTTACACCCCCCAATAAAACATCAACCAAGACACAGAGATCTGACATTAAATGCTGGTGGCTATTGAAGCTTCTTTTCATCCAACTCTAAAGAGGAAACTTGTACCCATTAAATTACTAAACAAACATATTTGCATATAAAAACTATCTATGCATTTATTGTGTGGAGATATACGGAAATACAAGCTGCCAGAAGTGCTAATACACTATTTATTACAGAAGCTAACAATGAATTTGACTTCAGGTGAGCTCCTGGTTTATTAATGGGTAAAAGGTTTGTTGTTGTTGTTTCAATCTTTTGTGACAAAACGACAAAACAATCGCTCTGTCACATCTTGACAGTCTGGTGACTTAAAAAGCTCGTTGTTTAGTGATGTAGTCCTTAATTTGAAATGTTTTAGAATCACTGTTTTACGTAATTATCACTTTAATGGTTAGAATGCATCAGAATCTGAATCAACTTTACTGGATAAGAATGCGTGTAAGATTATGACTTCGGTTTTCAGGCGTCCAAAATATAAATATTTTCAATTCTGAAAAATAAAATAAGGAAAAATTAACATCATGTACATTTGTGAAGCTATTTTATGCTTTTGGATTGGCTTATTACAGGTTATACTAAATTATTATCGCATATTTTGTTGTGTAGGTACTTCATTTTGAGATTTCTTTAGGATAAATATTTGTATTATCGTCTTTAGATTAATGTTATTATACACATATCTACTATTCTTACTTTGACAGTAATAATAACACGTTCCTTAAAAACAAAATTAAACAAGATAAAATTAAAAGGCTTCTATGGGTGGTCTGTTGTGAGGATGTCACGGAACATTTAAAATGTCAGGAAATTCCAGATTTCTCTAATGACACGCTAACCCGTAGTCTAATTTCTCAGTTTATTAGCTTAGATTGAGGGCCAAAACTATTAGGGCGAACATCCACATGTATGTGTGAATCTGAATAAGGACTTTCTAACTAACTATGGTGTTGAAAAAACAACTACAAACCTCTAAAAACGCATTTTACAAATATTCGAGAGAAATCCAGCTAGCTTGCTAGCCAGAGGCTAGTGCGCAGGCGCAAATTGACTGCCACTTTACCCCTCTTCCAGAAAATAACATCCAATGTTCCGAACGAACATGGCTCTTTGGGGTCTGACAGCCACAATAAAATGCCGACCGTGGTGAGCAGTTGCCGCGCAACACACCGGGAACGGTTGTTTTCATGTGGTTCAACTGCCTGCGAGACAAGGCCGGTGAAAAATTACACCTGACAAGGCTCCGGAGCTAACCGGTTGGCCGTGTGTGGTCACTCGGCGGAGCTGCATCATGGCTCCCAGTCCAACTTTAATAGATCAATCTGTCGGCTCTGACAACATTACCCACCGCTCCTCGCTAAATGGACCGAGAAAAACATGGCGCCACATGTTGTGCTCCCTAGTGTGCCCGTTTCCCCCCAAAGTTTAACCTGAACGACACCTCACAAAACTCGGGGTAAAACTGTCAGACTGCCCTGGAAAACTGGCTTCGACCCGGGCCGTGCCTGGTAAAATAACGGCCCGTTGAACGCTAAAGACCCGGCGGTGACGCTGCTCTGTCGAGACAAAACCACATTTTCCAACGGAGTCCAACAACATCACGATGATGAAGGTACCAGTGGTGGTACTGGCCCCTTCGGCTTCCAGTGTCGCAGCTTCCCACCACTTCTTTTTGCCAACCGCTACCGAGCGCTCACCTGCCGTCGTGTCACGCAGATACCTCTCCATCTGCGGGAAAGTCAGCTCGGGGAGGTCCAACGCTGCTCCGTAGCGCTCCAGGAACGAACATACCTCCGCGAAGCTCGGGCAAAGCGGCGGGCCGGAGCTTCTCGCCACCGCCGGAGCAGCCATCTTTCCAGGCGGAGAGAGAAATGTGAGGGGAGGGTTCGCCACTCGGATGCGACTGTGCGCGAATGAAATGAATGGAAAGGCAATGGAGGATCTACCGGTGTAAAACTAAACAACGGAAATCAGAGAAACTTCCGGAATGTACTTTCAAAATAACACCCGACAATAGGTGGCTAAAATTAAATGATATTTAATAATATTTAAGAAGATACATAAAGTAGCAAATCAAAATGAATAAAGATCAAGTAAGTGTGATAGAAAAAAAGGCATGAAATGAAAAAATTGGATCATTCAAAACAAGGCATTGATTTAGTTTTGCTATTGGGGTTGTTATTTTGACCTTTTTTGTTTTGAAAAAGTGCAAACTGTCGAGATAAAATATTTTTAACAAAACGAACTAATCCAACAACATTGATACAAAACCAAAAACACAATTTCCGAACCATAATAAGGACAACACAAATAGATTAAAACAAAGCAGCTATGATAGGAAAGGAAGCGTAACCTGAACAACTTTACTGTAAAACTGGTGTGCAGATCAGGACAAACTTGACACTGGATGAATTGTTTTTTCTTTTTATTATAATTTAGAATATTTTGTCATAAGAAAATATATCCAATGATTAATTGTTGATTCTTTATTTTCTTACACAAAAATACATATGTTTGGTTGATTTCAAATTAAAACCACAATTATTTCATAAATTTTAAGCTTTGTTAATAATGTTGACCTAGTTTGAAACTATAAACAACATTCCTTTTTTTGTATTTTTCTTGAACTAATCATAACAAATCAGAGGTACTTTTTGGAGCTTTATTTCGAAATCCAACTTTGAAACTTCCGGGGAAAGCGTGGTGATTTTTTTCCAACTTGATTGTGGCTCAGAGAAGTTTGGGAGGACCACAGAGGGCACAGCGAGAAATGCCCAGAATTCATCGCGACTAACATCAACAACATAATGGTTTTGGTTTTCATTCTTCAGATATTTCCACATATTTACACTTAGTGGCCCCACATGTTCACAGATTCTCTCTACATCCTGTTGTACGTGTGGACGGCGCATGAAAATCCATTTACAAAATATTTCCAGTTAAACTCTATAAAGCCAGATGTTGGCATGTTTTATGGGAAGGCAGTCACTGACTAACAGTATGCTACATTTAGGGACTGTAAGAAATAGAAATTTTCGAAAGAAAAAAAAGAAATAGAAATACAGAGAAAAGAATTGAAATTTTTGCTTTAACTACCAACTAATTATGATTACCGAGTTAAATTATTTTTAAAAAGGTGGATATTAGTAATTCACTGATTCGAGTTTATAGGAAATCATTGCTGCTGAAACTTAGCTTGTCTTGGTTTTTATTCATATGTTTATTATCATCAGTATTATGGTATTTTCCGCCGATTTTATGATTGTCTTATTATTTTTTACCAAACGTAATTTTATTCTTTGTTTTATCATTTGCCTACCTGTGAGGCCGTGATTGTTGTAAAGCACTTTGGCCAGAGAGGATGTCGTGAAAGCGCTATGTAAATAAACTTTGACTTGATTTGAATTTGAAGGAATTAATTTGAGGCTTTCCTCTGCAGCTTTTCTAGTTATTATAACTACCCTAAAAGTTATTTATTATTATTAATCAATCAATTAAATATTTCTTTATTTTTCTCTTTTGCAAAAGAAAAAACAATTATTTTATAATTTATAGCTCACATTATAAATGACCGAGTTGCTGTAAACGCGTCACGGTGACGTCAAAACGATATTTTTGGTGTGTCCGTGAACGCAACTGCCGTATAAGACTGGCGGAAGGAGTTCGCAGCCTTACAGGAAGACTGTGGTTTCGAAAGTTATTGTTGTTCTTTTCTGAGACGCGCCGCGCTGCTACATTGCTCTGACCTGGAAAACAGACCAAGCTAAATCTAACTTTTTGAAGCGACCGGCTTCTGAAAACCACAACAATGATTCTTTAATCTTTACATAAGACACTCAGTATTGGTAAGTTGTTGTTTTTTTTTTCTAATTTCTTTTTTAAAATCACAAAGTTATATGACATTGGATTAGTGAGTATAGTTCCAACGTCTAAACCAGGCCTTTGTCTTAAAATGTTATTTTTATAAGTATATATATATATATATATATATATATATATATATATATATATATATATATATATATATATATATATATATAGAAGTAAAATTTTACATGTATTTTTTAAATGTGCTTCTTACCAAAGATATTGCATGTAAACAAAGCAGGCTGTTGATGCTTCAGTCACGGGTTGTTTTTAGCCTGGACTCATGTTTCACCACTTAACCCCATTAAATTGCTTAACTGGAATATTATTGAGGGAAACCACTTGCCACTCTTGGGACTAAATTTTTTTTTTTTTTTTCTTGTAGGACCCCTACCTCCTTTTCTTCTGACTGCTGCAGGTGAGAAAATACACCTGTTAAACATATTTTAAAGGAGAAAATGGAAGTACATAACTGTTATTTCCCTCACACATTTTTATATGGATTTATAAATGTCTGGTGAGAACTGTCAATTAGTTATAGTGCTTAAACAATCCATTCATTTATCACCTTCTGCCTGTCTGAGGCCAGTTATCACAGAAAACAGGTCCAGGAATGAAACCCATAAAAATTAAATGCCACATTAAACGTATAAACATTTTTTTGGTAGTTTTGAAACTGTATCTTTTTAAAACAAACACAGGACGTCTTTTATTTTTGCCCAATTCAGACCAAACTTTAGGAATATTGTGGTGAGAAACTGGCTAGTGTGGCTTTATTAGTCAGACCCAGTCAGACATCTGATCCCAAAGTGTAAACATTTTATGAACGATGTGTAAGCTTTAAGAAAACAAACATAGAATTTTACAAAATGTTGATATGCTCCACCTGCTGATTATCTAACATGTTATCTAACTACTGATATAAGAGAATTTAATGCAAAAATACAAAATCTTGCCAAGTATTTTTGATATGTTTCTAGTTTGAATATCTTAGTGCACTTTAAATAAGAGAAAACCAATTTACAAGAAACTTTTCAGCAAGTTATAGGAGCTTATTTTAAATATATAATTCCTAAATATTGATGAATAATTTAATAACTGGCAAATAAATTTTTAGCACTACATTTTTTTTCCATAAGTAAAATAATCTCCCAGTGCGACAAACATTTTTTTCCTTTATATTCATCAATATGAAGGAATTACTTACTTAGGAAAAGCTAAAAAGTTGCTTGTAAGTTTTGTCCTATTTCAAGCATACTAAGATATGTGCATTAGAATCTAGAACAGAAATACTTGGTCATGATTTTGTGTTTTTTCATTGTAAATCCAGAGGGAATTAGTTCAGCCGGCTGGGTCGTGACAAATCGGACGTTTTGTGTGCAGATAAGTCCAGAGAGGAGAGATGGCCATCGCTCATGTTGCTACAGAGTATGTGTTCAGCGACTTTCGGCTGAAGGAGCCAAACCAGGCTCGGTACCAGAACATCCGAACGGAGCTGGTCGCGGACAAGATGGTGACCTGTGTGGCTGTGGGGCTGCCCCTCCTCTTCATCTCCCTGGCCTTTGCTCAGGAGGTCTCAGTTGGTGAGTCAGACCAGAGCTAATCCAGTAAAAATCCAGATTATCTGCTTCTAGCCGGGCAAAATGAAGAATCATCAGCTGATCTGTCTTAGATTTAGCTGAAGAAATGGGAACAAATTGTGTCTATCGCATTTTACTTTTAGCAAACAGTTAAAAAAAATAAACATTTTGAGTTTTAGGATTTTGTTTAGGCACAAAATGGTACATATTTACTAATATATTGGTGTTGATAATGTTGATATGGCTGCAAACATATCATGATATAAGTGTTTCATATCGGTACATATTGATTTGTTTTAAAATACTGCTAACTGGTGTAATTTTAACTCTCATCCACAGTTTTTACCACTTCACTCTGTTCTTTCTTATTTTTAAGCAACTATTAGTGAAGCAGTTAATACTTTGTTTTTCATTTCAGGTACTCAGATAAGTTGTTTTTCTCCCACCAACTTCTCCTGGAAGCAGGCAGGTTATGTGGATTCGTACTGCTGGGCGGCTGTTCACAAATACACTCTGGTTCTGGGGCTGCACAAGGTAAACACACACACACACACACACACACACACACACACACACACACACACACACACACACACACACACACACACACACACACACACACATCCCAGAAGTGTTTTCATCATCACTTGTGGGGACTTCACAATGACTTCCAGTGATTTCTAGCCTTAGATTTTTATTCTACACCTAACCATCACATACCTAACCTTTACCTTAACCTTTACTCTAAACACAGACCTAACTATTAAACCAAAAACAATTTCCTTCCTGGGGGCCAAAAAATGTCTTCACAAGGAGTAATGGTTAATGATTAATGACATGAAACAACCTCCTATTTCTGACTAAAATGTTACTCTTCAGTTAGTTTCGTCTTTTTTCAAGCATAATGAGACGTTTGCACTAAAAACTAAACCAAAACACTAGGTAATATTTTGTTCTCCAACATTCTCCAATTCAAATAAAAACATTGAGGGTTTTTGGTTTTCAAAATGAAAAACATTTCAAATTGTATTAATTTTTTTTTTCTTTCGAAAAAATTTATTGTTACTTGGAACATTTTAAAAATATGGCATTTATGCAGTTATACAGAGAATCTTTTTCATTTTAAAAAAAAATACAGTTTCGTTAGTTAAATTAAACTAAAAGCAGATAAGAACAAGAACAAAACCATCACAGCTAAAAGTTGTGCAGGAACGGGGTGATATTTGAGTAAAATATTGATATTTTACTAGAACTATAAGATCTCACACCAGGTTGTATAATTTGTCCATCTGAAAGCAGTGACTTATTCTGCTTTTGTTGTACTAAAATAATTCACGGGTGTGTCAGAAAGGTTTCTAATGACATGCATTAAGACGGGGTGTATTCACATTCCTGTTTGTTCTTACTGGCATCATGAGGAATTTATATTTATATAAAAACAAGTTCAGGCTGAACATGTTTTTGTAATGTTTTACATTTTACTCATACTGTAAACTTTTTTTTGTAACTGGTTTGAACTTTAATCTCACTGCTTTATGTTTGGAGTTTATTTCTTCAGTATTTAATTTTCTTCCTTTTAAACATCAGGAGAGGGTAGAGTGATTCGTGGTGTAGGAGTAGAACGGAGGCTGTTGGTTTCACACAGTTTTGGTTTCATTACTCCTTTGAGTGTGTTGTTCCATCCGCAAATGGCCTTTTATTGAGTCTGTATGCTGCAGTTAATGATTAATCGATCGAAATTAATTCCCGATTATTTTAATTATCAATTAATCCGACGAATGTTTCAGCCCCAGTGCATTCATTAGCAGGAAACGTAACATTTTGGTGATAATATTCAGGATTGTATGATAAGCACGTGTTATCGAGCTGCTTCAAATTAAACTAAAACATGACATTTTTTAGTGGACATTCGACCGAATACAACTGTTGATAGTTACCTGTTTAGGTCATTCTCTGTCCCCTCCACATCAGGTTGTGTTATCTGTGGGTTAAACTTTCTGCTCGACCGAAGCCGGTCACCATTAACCGTTCCTCCTCACCCCGTCTCTCCAGTTCTTCCCCTACATCCTGCTGCTGGTGGCGGTGCTGATGTACTCCCCCGCCTTGTTCTGGAGGTTTTCCGCAGCGCCGCTCCTGCAGTCGGACCTTGCCTTCATCATGGAGGAGCTGGATCGGTGCTACAACCGCGCTGTCACTCTGGCCAAACGCTTGACGACCTCCGGACTGCGCACCTCAGACAGGTACGCTGAGGGATCACACAAAACATTGGTGCAGCTGAAGCTTCTCACATTTTTACTTCTAACTCTTGGACAAAAGAGGAATCATAATAAATAGCACCATTTTATTATTAGACAAAGCAACAGTTTGGAAAATGTGTGCAAAAAACCCCAAATGCCTGCCGTTTGAAAAGCATTAAAAAGGAAGATAAACTCTGACAGAGGAAGGCTGTGTCTTGATCAATGGTTGCTCAACATATACTCTGAAAAAATAGGTATTTTTGGTCTAGTTTATTCTTTAATTATCTTAATACATTTGCAAATAAGACAAAACTAACTTGCAAATAACTTTTTAGAAAGATGGAAGAGTTTGGTTTAAGTAAATAACTCCTTAATACTGAGGAAAAAAACTAATTCCACTGAAAGATTATTTCATTCATAACAAGACATTTTTCCCATTTTTTTAATGAAAAGATTTGCTGAAGGATAAATATTTAATGTTTTTATAATATTTAATTAATATTATTGACTGTGTTTATAACTTGTTATATTCTTGTTATATTCTTTAAGCTACATCATTTTTGTAGTTCTCAAATCTTGCAAGACCTGCCAGGTTTAAGCTGCTGTAAGTTAAAATTTGTGACTTTATCTTCCACAGACAAGGAGTGATTCACTAAAACTAAATATTTATTATATTGTTTAGAAGTGAGTGAGAGTTTAAGATAAGGTAATAAATGTTAATGATCTGCAGAGGACAACAATAAAATAGTTTTTTTTTTTTTTACATCAGTGTACTAGGGCCATTCTAGATTAATGAGGAGTAAATTTCCACCCAAAATTTTCTAGAAACAAGAACATTTCTGAGTTAGAAAAGGGGAAAAATTGCTGAACAGTAAACTCAGAAAAATATGGAAATTTCAAAAGTCGAACAATTTCGACTTTTGAAACAGAAAATGTCCTATAGTCGATTTTTATTTTCTGGACATTTCTGAGCCTAATCTCTAAATTTCTTTTTTTTTTTTTATTGTGGAAATGTGTTACTTTTTTGTTTATCTACAACGTCCTAATACGCCGCTGTAATTCTCAGCGTAAACAATTTATTTAAACTTTTCCCTGCTCTCTGGCCAGCGATCCCACAGAGGGTTGCTTCAACTACCCGCTGGTGGAGAAGTTCCTGATGACCAAGCGCTGCTCCCGGGTGCTGCTGTCCTACTACCTGCTGTGCCGCGGCCTGACTCTGGTCACGCTGCTCTGTGCCTGCCTCTACCTGGGCTACTACCTCCACCTGGCCTCCATCACAGACGAGTTCAGCTGCCTGCTGCGGGTCGGCCTTCTCGTTAACGACACCAGCATCCCAGAGAAGGTTCAGTGTAAACTCATCGCCGTGGGAGTCTTCTCTCTGCTCAGGTAACTTTGCATCTGCTGCAGGGATGCAGACAGCTGCGCTTAAAGGTGACTAGCAGTACCCCCTGCTGGACGGCGGCTAAACTACAACACTAAAAATACTTCTAAACGGACATTAGTTATTTTAATTAATTGTGTCAATTAATGGTTTATTAGTCCAAATCAATTAACTGATCATTTTTGTTTAGTTTCAGTATTGTAGTTTGGCCTCCATTCAGAAGAGGGCGCCACTGGCCTTCCTTAAGCAGAGCCATAGATAAAGATATTCAAGTAGTTATTCAATTTTAAAGAAAATTAAATTGTTTCATAGAATTTGATTATATGTAGTAGGTGTAAATGTTGTGAATGTGCGTATATAGACAGATAAACAAATGGATTAATATTTATCAGTTCATACCTGGTGAGGCACTAACTTAATCAGATTTATAAATGTACACCGTTTTCCAAATTATTATGCAAGTGATATTTTCTGAGATTTTCTTAAATGGTCAATGCAAATGATGGGCAGTATAATTTTCAAGTCATAAACTATTACAGCATAAATCAAGTTTTACTGAACGCAGCTCCCCAAGAGAACAGTATGTTTTTCAAAAATAAAAAACTCAAACACAGCAGATTTTCTAAACATTTTTTGAATTATATAGAATTGAAAATGGTCATTCTTTGAATGTGCAGCATTAAGTGGTCACATCAAAATCAAAAGCTATTTCAATCAAAACACGTTAACAGACCAAGTTACATGTTAACATAGGACCCCTTCTTTGATATCACCTGAACAATTCTTGCATCCATTGAACTTGTGAGTTTGTGGAAAGTTTCTGCTTGAATGTCTTTGCAGGATGTCAGAAAACCTTCCCAGAGCTGCAGTTTTGTTACGAACTGCATCCCACCCTCAGATCTTGAGCTTGAAGAAACTCCAAATGTTATCAATAGACCTCCCCCGACCACACATCACTGATATTTATGTAGATATATAAAGATATAGATATTATAAATTAGATCACAAACCGCACTCCATACCTCCAATAAAACTAAGAAGAAAAAAGATGGCGGCGAGGGCATTGAAAAGCTAGAACCGGAGAGAGAAACGGTCCAAACAGAGACCTGTGTGGGATAATAAATGTACTTTGTGCGGTTCCATTTTGAAATATAAAAACGCAAATGAAGCGTAAAAGTTTGGGAACTGGCAGGGGCCTCGGCAAGTTTATAACCTACCTTCCGCTCTCTCTGTCTCTTCATTGTTTGTGTCCAGTGCTGTCAACCTGGCCATGTTCATCGCTCTGATCCCGGTGGTGATCTACGCCAGCCTCCGCCCGCTCTTCTGCCAGGGATACGCCCTCTTCCTGGAGACCTACCAGTCGCTTCCCACCGTGAGCGTCCTGCCCACTCCCGGCGGCCAATGGGACGACCTCTCTCTGTACCTGCTCTTCCTGGAGGAGAACCTTAGCGAGCTGAAGTCATACAAGTACATGAAGGTGTGTTTTCTTCCTGTACAGATTAGAGAGGACACTAGATGGAAACTCTAAAGCTATTTTACATTTTTAGCTCCGGATTTCTAGATAAAGTGGTATCTGTGTTGTATTGACAAATTATTTAATAAACTAAGACTGAATATTATATCAGTAACAGTGAAAACGTCCCTGAAATCAAAAGAAATTGGTGTTTATCTGCTGCGATCGTCATTTGTGCCACTAAATCTGCCACAATAAAATAATCCCTTGATAAATAAAATTATGATTTAATATTATCTAAACAGCAGTTTTATCTACAGATGTATTATAATTTCATTTATGATTTCAGTTGTATTTTTTTATTTAAAATATTTTCCAGTAACTGTCATTCCTGTAGTGTTATCAATAATACTATTCAATAATAATACAATATTATTATTATAATTGTTTCTGGGACAATTTATCATTCAGCAAAATTTTTATATTGTGACAGGTCTTTTGTTCCACTATCACTTTAAAAATAAAAATTAAAAATTTAGCTCAAAGGTCAAGTAGCCACCCACATTTACAAAATGAAAACAAAATTGGTGTTTGATTCAACTCTGCTACATTTGTGCAGCAAAAATTTCGACTGTATTCCCTTCCATTAGAAGATATTACTTTATTTTGGTTTTTATAAAAGGGTGGGGGGCTGATTGACCTTTCATGACCTCTGGAAACATTTATTACCTTTAACACAATGGCAGCAGAAATTAACATTTTTGCACCACAATCTTTTGACAACCTCTTTATTTGATTTGAAGAAAACAGTGGGAATCAACTCCACATATATTGTGATAAACAAAGTCAATCTGTTGATAATAATTCCTCGATGAACCTTGATCCAGAACCGCACTGCATTCTGGGGAATGTAGGCAGAGGCGGAATCCCTCACTATTTGGTTACCTAGCAACAACCTGCCTACTTGCACAGCAGCAGTTTCAAGTTTTGCCACTGTGACTCATCAATCCATCCATCCATTTTCTGACACCCTCGTCCCTCATGGGGTCTGGAGGTGCTGGTGTTTATCTCCAGCTAACGTTCCGGGCGAGAGGCGGGGTCAACCTGGACAGGTCACTAGTCTGCCGCAGGGCAACACAGAGACATACAGGGCAAACAACCACGCACACACACACACACACACACACACACACACACAGGGAGAATTTAGAGAGACTAATTAACCTAACAGTCGTGTTTCTGGACTGTTGGACGAAGCCGGAGTCACTGTGCCTTATTACTGCTGAAAAATAAAAAAGATTAAGGTGGAGTGACAGGAGAAAACAGCTTGAGAGGAAACTTATGGATAAAGCAAGAACGGTTATGTCACTAGTTGGCCCATATTTCAGATATTTAAAACAAAAAACAACTAATCAATAATTATTAGCGTCGACTTGTATGAACTGCTCATTAATTAAAACTTTGTCGTCTTTTGTAACTCGTCTGTTTTCCATCTGCAGGTGTTGGAGATGTTGAAGAAGCGAGGCGAGTGCGCCGGAGAAAACTTTGACACCGTGGGGCTGCTGCAGACGCTCTGCCTGGTGAAGATGGACACTGTGGATGCGAAGAAGGCCCCGGAACCTGAAGCCAAATCGGACGGCGGTTTGGCTTCGGGATCAGGACCCGTCGCCAATGACGACAAACCTGCAAAGAACAACGTCAGCCGTCCGAACGACACCAAGACAGAAACGGAGATGCAAGGTGAGCGCTGGATCATACCTGCCAAGTTTAGGACATGAGAATACTGGAAGTCTTTATCCGTCCGCTGCTATAAAATCAGTTTTAGCAAATAGTTGATCAATTATAATCCAAAAGTGTTTAGATTAGATTTTTGTAAACAGTTTACTCCGAAAATCACAGAGGTTTTAACCTAATTTCTGTCTTTCGATGTTGAATTTAGAACAATCTCCATTTTATGCATTTCTTAAAATACAAACAATTTATAGATCAAATTGAACAGATGATAATATGAGATTGCTTTATTGCTTTATTATCAATGTGTGATCAATATTTTAAAGGCATTATAACAATAGATAAAAGATGTCTAATTAACAAATATGCAACCAGGCTAAAGTAGTGAGGAATATGGATCATTTCGACTTGATCATGTTGATTTTTTTTGTTCAGAGCTCCATCCATTGCTGCCAGGAATCGACGAGACAGGGAGCAAAACCGCAGAGGGCAGGACTCTTCGTCAGCGAGTGATGTGATTGGCTGGAGCTCTCTACTCATGATGGATCCACAAAGTCGGTCTGAATGTCTGGATTCTCCAACATAACTTTTTTTTTTCTTTCATTCTTGAAAAAACTTGAAACTGAAGCGAACAAAAAAGGACTTGCTTTGCTTTTATTTCAGAATTTTGCTGTTTATTTTCTTAAACTTTTGGTTGTATTTCTACAGAAGAGGATTAGAGCCACTGGGAAAAAAATAAAACACTTCTGACTTTAATTTCGGAAATCAGAATTCTGAGAAAAAAGTCAGAATTCTTTTGTTTTTCAGTGGCCCTAATCCTCTTCCGTATATTCCAGATGTGGTGGGTTAAAAAAAAAAAAAGAGAAAGAAATCACTACAAAACCATAAAGTGACTCCAGCTTTTCCCCTTGATCGAGCCGACGTCGGAGGGGCTGCACTGACAGCAGAGCTGCAGAATGTTGCTTAAAATTAAATCATCTCAGTCCAAGCTGAACAGTTTACAGACTCCTTTTGTGAGGACAGCTGGTGCGCCTGAATATGATCATTATTCAGACTTCATTCGAGTTATTGTTTGAATCTGTGCTGCAGATTTAATCTCTCGTTTCAAACTTGGGGCTTCGATTGCATCATCTCACCTCTGAAGCCGGTGTTACAAATTTCCCCTGTGGAGAAACTGAATGTAAAATCTGCTCACTGGATTTTCTGTTAAACGGTACAAAAACAGAAAGAAAAAAAAAACATGCATGATGCATCTTTGTTTACTTGTTTTCATGAGATGGTCGATCACATTTCAGGATGCTTTAAAATAAAAATTGCACAACGTGGTTTGTTTACACTTTTTTCACAGGTTTTTATGCTCATGACTTTCAAAAGAATTAATTTGAATCTCTACGTTAATTTTTCCTGCTGAAGTGGTGGGTAGTTTTCTCAAATTTTATTTTATCATTTTAGAGATACAGCTGCATGATGCTTTTGTATTAGGGGGAGATATTTAACAAGGTACGGTGTGTTCATTTTTATCTCTTTTAATTTTGTTGACTCAGGAACAAACATCTGACTTCTGATTTTACTTTATATTGAGTCCGTTTTGCTCATGAAATGGCTTTAATATCCAGTGTTCTTGATGACGTTTTTATTGAAAAATGTTCTTGTGGTGATGTCGACAGTGTTTTTGTACTTGTAGCGTTTTGTAGAATTAAAGCAAAAGTTTGTTTTTATTTTGTGATGAATAAAGATTGAATCCTGTTCTTACAGGTGAACTTTTGGATATGCTTTATTTATTATGTAGGGTTTACTAAGTGGGTTGAATGGGTTGCATTTAAAAAAACATCCGACTTGTGTTGTTCATACTGTCATAAAAAGATCAGATACAGGTCATATTACGTCAAAAAAGTAAATCCGAATTGGGTCACTTCATGCTGCAGAGTGAATGTAGCCCAAGAATAAACTCTGGTCTCCCACAGGGTCGTGTCCTAAGCCCCCTCTACGGCCTGAAAGCCCACGGCTAAGCACATAACAAATCAATTAAACGCCCAAAGAATTAAGAGCTCAATAGTTTCCATTTGCATGATTGGTAGAAAGCGAGACATGAGGAAAAAAAACAGTCTTCAGTTTGGTGCTTCGGTCTCAACTAGTCCCATTTTTTTGAAGGGCAGTTTTATTTACAAACTTTAGTATGCATTTCATTGGTTGTTTCAATTGTTTACTTTGGATATTTAAAATGCCCAGGTCTAGTGATAAATGTGTGTATCTGCATTATGCCATTATTATTATATTACTTGAAAATGACCATATTATTATTTATCACAACAACTTCTGAGACAATTTATCGTCCAGCAAGATTTATCGTGGCAGGTCTAGTCTTAAAAATAAATGTCATTAGAACTGCATAGTAAAGAAAATTGGAATTGTATTAATCCTAAAAACTGCAATGATAATTTCAGTTACTATTAAATCTTATTTTTCTGACTATTCCAAAAATAAACAGCAAGCATTAAGAGCAATCACTGGTGCATTTGGAGCAAGGTATATTTTAATTTTTTGGTCAAATACTTTTATTTTTACAGGTTGTTACTGCAGTGCAGTAAGAAAGTTATTTTGAGGTTTAAGAGACAAAACTTCTAAAGGTCACTTTACCTCACTCCACTGATGAAGATAATGTTAAATTACTAAAATGTTCCCATCTTACGCTATGAATATTTTTTAACACAAAAAGGAGCAGAAAAACACTAACAAGACTCAAAACCACAAAGTCCAAATTTATTAGAATTAGCTGGTTTATTTGTAGAGAAAAACAGAAGCTAGAGTCTGGTTGCCAGGTTTTGTTATTTTATTTTTGTTTTTTTTCCTCCCCAGCATCAAACAGCTTGAAATAGAGGTGTGGTTTTTGTGGGGAAAAAAGTAAATTGCAATAAATAAATAAATGATTACTAGTGTATGTCAAGAGCAAATATAGGACTCTGGACTTCATTTAATTTCTAAGAATTATTAATACAAAATTTAATTACATTTATAAAAAACTAAAGCATTTGAAATCAACTGTTGCTTATCTGGTTATGTCAAGATTACACTTGACTGATATTTGTAACTCAAACTGTTATTTACCGCATGTATGTGTCCGCCGTCCCTGAATTACTTGTTTATTCCCCCGGTCTGGCAACACAGCAACCGCCCGAACGGGGCTCATTTGCATAATTGGGAACGATTTCACAGGAGGCCGAAGAAATCCTTTTAACTCCGTGTAAAGACACAATATGACGCCGTGAAATCTTTCCGGTGAGTCTATCAGTTGAGTTTATAGCATTTGTAGGTTGGTTACGTCATTTTGGGCAAATATTTGAACGTTTTCCAGGGTTTGGTCCAACGTTTTGACCGAAGCTCTCCGCGGCGCCATGTTTGGTTCGAGGCGTTTCTCAGGAGCTCGTGCTCGCCTGAAACGCCGAAAACACGATTAATTCAAATAGACATATCAGTGTGAACTGTTTTTATATATATGTTTATTTAAAGCACATATGTTAATATAAGCTCTATTATAAGTTTTTGTAGGCCGCTAAACTTCTCGGTCAAAAGTAGTTTTTGTCCATTTTCTTCAACTAGTCAGTGTCCGAAAACTAATGAGAAATAAATAGGAGTCGCATACAAGAAGTTTTAGTCATTTATGGTTGACTTTGGGACTTTTTACGCGCTTTTACCGCAACTAATAGACATGTGTGCCACTTCTAGTCCAATTAGGCATGTGGTAACAGGCACGAAGCTGAAGTTGGCTTTCGATTCGGAAAACCTGTTGGTAACTTTTTTTTTTTTTTTTTTTTTTAGCAATTATTTCACCATTTTCAAGGTTTTGTTGCAACTTTTGACCTGAATTTAGACGATGGTGTAGTTTCCACGGCGCTGTGTTTTGCTCCAGGTGCTTTTTTAAGGTTGTTCCCATCTGCCAGGCTAAAAAAAACGCAATTAATGTAACTTAATCCTGTTTTCTCAGGGATGACTCCATCTAATTGTTCACTACCTTGAGCATTTTTTTATTCTGTTCTAGTTGTAAACTAAACTTACAGTTTTCATCTGGTTTGTTTTATGCTTATTGTGGAGTATTTAGAAGCAGGTGTGATTTGAGAAACTTCAATAAAGAGATGTAATTTCTTTTATTGCAGTGAAACCACATTAGAAACACTCCAGCTCCAAAACGGCAACACATAGACTTTTCAAACCTGATTGACATGATTCACTACTAACTGTAAAATACATAATCATATTTTTCAGAAACACTTTTCAAACCACATTATTCTATACCGGTGGGTGATTATTTCAAACAATATGTGCGAGTTGTGAAGGGCTGGCCACATTAGTTATTTTTTTTGCATCCAGACCACATTAGAAACAACGTAGCATATCCAGACTCTTCAAACCTGGACTAGATTATTCTACATTAACTTATTCAAAGTGTGTGATTTTTGATACTTAACGTCAAATGAGGTTCTCCTCAGTCTGGCAGCCATGTTCACTCTGGACGAAATGGATCCTGAAGACCCTGGATACTACAATATCACCGATAGCATCTTCTAGAAAATCAAAAGGGACGAAATGGAGCAAGATCTATAGAAACGGTCTAGAATACTATGATGCAGTGGTGACTTGATTCTGCCCAGAAAGATTCATAATCAGCTAAAGAGGTGTTTCATGTCGGCTCTTTAATCCTCAGTAGATAATTAAGTTATTGAGGACAGGTGTGAAGTCTTCCATCAGAGATCCTTTGTTCAGAAAGGAGTCTCACAAGCGCACAAAAAACACAAACAGGATTTTTATGATTACACCCCACTGAAACAGTGTTGATAAATGATTACTCTATTGAATGTTTAAAACAACTCAACTAAATGTTTATAAACAAATACTAGACTCAAAATAAAATGTGAGTATTTTCACCTGGTTTGACATTGAAAAAGGTGTTAAATACAGAGCAGATCTTACATAGTTTAATAAGAAAGGCCTCACAAATCACAGGTTTTAAATATTTTGCTATTAATGTCTGGCGTGCCTGTTCTGGTCTGGATGCATAAAAAGCAGAGAAATCGCCCTTCAGTGAAGTTTCACAAATCAAATAAAGGTTTTCCTCTTCTGGTCAGCAGGTGGCAGCAACATACAGGAAATCTGAAAAACAGAGAACAGGAAGCAGGAAACTCACAATTTTCCTGTGAGTTTTAAAAATATGTTTTAAAGTGCGTTTTTTATTCTTCATTCTGACTTAATGGTGCTCATTGGAGCGTTCAATTGTAAGGTTTCACATGTTTCAATCAATTGAACTTTGATGGGTTGTTTATGCTTTGGAGAAGAGTGAAAGTGAAATAAACTGTTAGGTGAGAGTTAGCTTTTTAGCTATGCTCATGGGCTATTGCATTGTGGGTAATCAAACATTAAATTTAAAAATGTTCCTGGTTTATTTAACCAGGTTTTATTTAACCTGTATGTTTTAGCTCATGTAATACTGCAATCCTGTTTATCAGTTTTTATTTTTCTTTAAGCAAAAATGTGTTGGCACCGTGAGTCATGTGGGTATGTCTGCGAAAGACATCCCAGGGAGCGAGAGAAGCAACTCATACTTACCTGGCAGGGGAGATACCATGATCATGAAGGTGGTTCACCCAGGGTGAGGCTCAGCCATTGCACTCCGGTTGTGCTGACCCCTGCGAATTCCCCAAATGTGGGAATCTCGACTGCATAATTTCTGGTAGTGGGGGACTGCGTTCGCGCTCTCCCCTGATTCAATGTTAATGGAAATACTACCTGTATTGCAGATTCTACATTCTTATTAAACACTGTAGTGCTAAAATCTGTAACGTCTAATATAAGAGAACATGATTAGCATGAGAATAAAGCCACTTTGATATCATATTGTATGAGAATAGTCATGGTATATGTGAGTTTACAGTTATAATAATATATTAAAATAATTAAATTGTATCAGAACAAAGTTGACATTTCAGAGCGAAGTTATAACATGGCAGTTATATTACAAGAATGAAATCATACAAGAATAAAGTTGACATAATATGGAAATGATGTCAATATTTCAAGAATAAATCATATGAGAAAATGTTTTACAAGAGTAAAGTAGAAATAGTACAAAAAATAAATTATGGGGCTTTCCTTGTTATTGTAGGATTTTATTTTCAAAATTTTTTATTTCATGATTTTGTATTTTCTTAATACTAGGTTGCATAAAATCTTTTCATTCTGCATTGGTCATATAATAATAGTCTTCCAATTTATCAAACAATGTAGTTATTTTCAAAATCAATTAAGTGAATAAGTTGCATTTTCAATGTTATGAGTGGGTGTTAAAAAAATGTTTAAACCCTTCGCTGATGCAGAGAAACAGTAGCTGATGCTATTAATCTTTAACATCTTCAGAGAAATCATCCCTAGCATCATGTGAGGAGCTGCACTTTACTCTCATCTGGTGGAAACCTCACCAGAAACACGACTATCTGAGTTAGCTTTTTAGCTTTGCTCATGCGCTATTGCATTGTGGGTAATCAAACAGTATTTTAATAATTAGATCTCGTCATTTTCCTGGTTGGCATTCTGTTATTAATTAGTAGCTTGTAATAGGCGGATGTTTATTTTATTCATGAGCTTCTGCTCGGTTACTGGCAGGGTTTACTAGAAGTTAAAAACGATACAAATAGAAACTGCGGGATGCAGAATGCAAATCATATGCAAATCTTTTGGTCTTGTCCTAAACTAAGTGGGTTCTGGAAGGACATTTTTG